CCAAGCCGAGCGAATATGCAAATAAGTTAAATCGGTGCGTGATTGTCAATTTTTCTTGCCCAACAAACCTTTCTAGAGTTTTTCCATGTAGAATTGTAGAAAACTTTTAGTCTTATTCCGGATATGTCGCAGATATGGCGCTACCGTTACAATTCTTATTTTCACAGAGCTTCTCCAGTTGATCAGTTCCATACTACGTCTATGACATTTGAGCTCCGCCTTGTAACAATAAACTAGGAGGGCCTTAGAATACATTAATATGAGCTTAGGGCTCCGCCCCGCCCTTTGTCCTTGAGCCAGTAAAGTGGGCAGGATCTAGTAACCATAGGCGTAGGCAGAATATTCCTACTTTCGATATATTATGAAGGAGATTCTGTCCATTGGAAAACAATTAAAACAGCTAGAATTTGCTTGACTCAAAAATAAAAAATAGGTACCTACCTATTTAGTTTTTCCATCCATAAACATCCTACTTTTCTTGGGTTTGATTTTACTCAGCATTTAGTAGAAAATTAACTGAGATAAAGTGTATACTAGATAGTTTTTATTCAGCCTAAACATATTCTCAAATCGGTTTAAGCCCTATTGGATAATTCAACTTTAAAAATAGTAGATCCATATGGTTGAATCTCATGAATCGGCTTACGGCCATTTCCATGTTGACGTTTAAAACACTGTTTGTTTATCGGAAAAGTGCGCAGTGAGTGCAATTAAATCGAAATTAGATTCAAAATTAATTGAATTAATCTAAATGCACCATCAAAAATTGAAAATAATTTTATAATATTTTAATAAAACCAGGTTTGACTCGCAACGACCAAAGGAGAAAATCCAATGAGTTTTTTTTTTATCAATGAAGTTGTAGTCGTTTTATAAATTTCGCTGGAACGTAATAATACCTCTTCGCAACAAGAAAATGGAAATTCAACGATTTTCAATTAGTACTTTTGACAACTTCACTACTTGAAAAAACTGAAGACCAAAAGACCTAATCTATAAAACTTCTTCTCCTCTTTATGAACACGTGGAAATGTCTCAAACGTAGGGTAGGTACTATAGAAACTCGTATCAGCAAAAATATTTAAACCAACGAGTTCTGGTGAATTAAAACATTGGATACCGATAACGTCCTCCTTGTCTTTATAACAAGTTCCTAAAGTTTCAACGAAAAAGCTATGTGAAAAAATCGAAAGATATTTGGGAGGTTCAAGGGTGGCAGCCAAGAACATAAGGAAAGGTAGAAAGAATGCAGCGAATGTCCAGATAATATCTATGGAAGAATAGACTGAACACTACAAGAAGCTGCAGATAGAGGAAAGAGAACAATTCAAGGGACATCAAATTAAGAAGATTGGGGAAGATGAAGTAAATCATGTGGAAGCTATAACGGCGAAAGACGTTATAGAACAAATGTAGGTACAAGATATGAAAAATGGAAAGGCTCCGGGGCCAGGAAACATTCCTTCATTCTTCATTCCTATCGAGCTAGTCAAATGTGTGCCAGAGATTATGATGGAAACTCTAGCAGATATAGGTACCTATATATAACCATTTGCTATACTAAGAGGGCACACTATACTTGCAGACTGGAATATCTGGAATATCCACAAGAAAGGAGATCGAAAAACGTATGGAACCATAGTGTGACTAGTTCTTTGGGAAGGTTGTGCAGCCATATTTCAGAGAGAAGAATTGAAATGGAATGGAAGAGGAATGGCTTTCGTGCGGGCGGGACATCTATGCATGGATGGTACTTTCACATTACAACAGATCATAGAAAAAAGGAAAGCTCGAAATCTATCTATATACCTAATATTTGTAGACCTCGAGAAGGCCCCCACGATACAGCGCCCGATGTTTTGACAAAGACTAACCTCGATAAAGAATACACGAGCCATTAGTGGTGTAGGAAAAAGCGCCCAAACTCTTTTTAATTAGTTAGATGGTAAATGGCGAGCGGTATATTGATGGTGTTTATTTCCTTGAGTGGCTACCTATAAAATTATGGAGGGGGTCTATTCGCAAATGAGAGAAACAACTATTAAGGTTTACCAAATTATATTTTATTATACTTAAAACAAAAAAAATAGAGCAAATATCTTTCTAAATCTGACAGCCGCTTCTAAATTTTCCCAAATCAATTTATTTTACATCCTTTCAAACTTTATTACTTCGGACCAGGAATTATCCATACTAAAAGCGCCCTACTTCTTCTATTCTTAATAACTTAAGTTTATACATTTACTCTTTCAAACAACACTTCCGATTCATATTCCTATCAAAACTACCCTTCACCTATATCTATAAATTCTTAAAACTCCTAAGTCATTTACTGACAGCTTATGCAGAATAATTATTTAAAGTTATAATCCTACTCACTAGATTAAGTAGGTATGTATGTATTACCAACTATATTTTTATAAAAACCTTACAATAATTTCTAAATGATTAAAACCCTAATTCAAAATTTCAGCACTTAAGGTCATCAATGTTACTTCATGAACAACAATTTTCAAACAAAACTTTCCAATACTTTTAATGATTAACGACAACAATCTTATTTCATAAAGAACAATAGTTTTTAAATTAAACTTTCCGTTACTTTTTAAATGATTAATGACAACAATCTCATTTCATGAACAACAAGTTTCTTTTCAAAACTTCCCATTACATTTAATGATTTATTTTTTTACTAAGGATCAATTCAATCAGAACAATTACTATTTTCGGATTCCTAGTAGCCAACAAACACAATTATTTAAATTCTTATTAGTTAGTTACTATAGCTCTTAAACTTCAATTGGACAATCCAATTCAAAGTTCTTTAATAATTCCTACTCAAAATTGAAAACTGATAAGAGCATTATAATTTTCCCTTTTAAATTCTTTGCAAAATTAATTAAAATGTCATTTCACTCGAAGGCAATTAAAGTTATGCAATAATGTTCCATAGTCAAAACACTCGAGTTATTAATATTTATGCAATAAAGTTCCAAAGGTTATTCACTTCATACTTCATAGCCATCTATCATTTATAGTCAAAATAAAACTTGTCACTAGAGTACTTAAATTTTGGCTTAAAATCACTAAACTAATCTACTTTAATTCTTTTGCTTACTTAGAGCTCGCACATAACGTTGAATGAATTTTCTGTTCTTTCTGTCTCAATTTTCCGTTACTTTTTCAAAGTTCAATTAAACGCGTTTTCCCGAGGCATCTAAATAAAAGAAACTCTTCGCGAATTTTTATCCGGACTGACTCGAACTGTACAACTGGACTGATGTGAAGACTGAACTTAAAACTGATCTTAAACTTCTAAATCCGTTGTATTTATATTTTTCGATTCCCCCCAAAATATTATTAATTATCCACCAAAATCGACAATGGGCGGTCGTTTGACCATCTGTAATTCAGTTCTATTGGTCGACCTAGATATTATTCCAAAAATTAATTTCATCATTTAGATGATGATGCAATCTGTTAGAAATTTTTGTCATTTTGGGTCCAATTTAATTAGGTGCTTAAGCTTGTATTTTATCTTTTCCGGGTTTTTATTTACGAGTTCAAATGATGACACGTGCTTGGTCACTGATGGCTTGTTTAAGGGCCGAATTTATAGTCGTTCCTTGGGTCTTCTTTGAAGGTTGTGAGTTTAGAATAGACACTTGCTACTATTTGACAAGTTAGTTATCTCAATTCTAAACGTTGAAGGCTTCCTTAAGGTCTGAGGAAACCTCTAGGAGCGACTATAAATTCGGCTCTAAAATTTGAACGTACCTATATAAATATTTTAATTAATTTGGGTCAATGCTAATTTGTTTCATCATCTTTCAAGTTATTGATACTGAAATATTGGAAATTCAATTTTTTGATTATTTGATTACCTTTAATTTTTACAGTTAAGACATTGTAAATTACGGGTCTATTTTTCCCGGGTCATTAACAGTGGTAACATTTATAAAAACCCGCACGGTAAGTATAGTAATAGAAAGGAATCAAGTTTCAGAAAGTTTTAAAATTTCAAAATGACCAAAGCAAGGTTGCTGTTTATCACCTACACTATTCAATATATACATGCAGGAGACCTTGAAGAAGTTGAGAAATAAGTGCTCTGCTATGGGAATAGAAGTGGGAGAAAATTACTTGTCCACACTATTCTTTGCAATCGATCGGGTAGTAATAGCTACATGTGAAGACGACCTGGATCTCATGTATAGAAAACTTAAGGACGAATATGAAGAGTTGGGAATGAGAGTTGGAGATGATAATGAATTCCCGGATCTTAGCTTCACAGATCTGAAAAAGTGTTAGGAGCACAAATACTTAGAAGCTTAGTGTCAACAGAGGGAACGTGAGTCGTGAGCGAGATATAAATATAAATAAAAAAGTAACACAAGGTAAAAAATGCGTTACCATTCCGAATTCTTTACTCTAGAGTAGTCAGATCTCTATAAAAACAAAAAAGACAATCTATACGGAGCAATTGTAGAGCCGATATTGACTTGCTGAATGCTAGCAGCTATCGGAACGACATAAAACGAAGGTAAATGCAGTGGAAACTTGACTTTTTCAGACGGGCATGTAGAGTTTCAAGACTGGGACATTTACAAAAGGCTGAAATTCGACGAAGAATATAGAACCACTGAAAGAATGGACGCCCGACGATGATGATGATGTGAATATTCAATTATTTTTTCTGTTGCTCCAACGAGTTTTCATTACGTGCCAGCAAAGTTTATAAATTTTCAACAAATTCTCAAACTTTGTTGCTCTATTGTTTGTCTGCAATTATCGTTCCAACGAGTATCAGGATAATTTATCAAGAAATTCACGTTGTTCAAACGTAACAAATATTTGTTTTAGTATAGTCTACAAAATTCATTGGATTTGATCTTTTTATTGATTGAAGCGAGGATTAAAGATTCCTTTTATGCTTAAACTAGATTTTACCATAACGTTTCTCTTGATAATCCGGTCAGAGAGAGCTGGCCAACTGAGTGGAGTTTGGAAGTAAAACCAGGTAAGGCGAAAAAATATCAGTTCCAGTTTCGATATTTTTCAATTTCAATTTAAAATCTTTCATCGATTACCATTCTATCAACAACCTGTGGATTTTCCAATTTTAATCTCGCACATTAAATTTGGTCTACCACACATGTCTTGCACGCAGTGCTGGTAGCTGGGTAGTTCATGGAATATGAGGTAATACAAGTTCTATTTCCTTTGTGGTGATAGTCCGGTAATTCTTTAGGCTTAACATTCGTGATGTTTCCTTTAACTATAACGTCGACATCAAGCAATCTTTTACTGAAATTGTACCTGATTTCGATGAGTTTCCGGAGAATTTTCCTTTCCGCATAAAGCATTAATCATTATAAGAGATATACACTATTGCTTAAGTGAAAGTGAGTAAGGCTAAATATTGTCTATCCATGAATGATTCATTGAGGTCTTACTTTGCCAAAGGAGTTTTTATCACATTCTCAGTCTCATGCTCAGTTTTCCTCGATTGCTTCACAAAATGTTCTACTAACTTAGATACCAAAATTTATTCTTTTTCAGGCTGCCGTATACCAGACATGAATCCATTCGACATAACAGTCAAAGAGTTCATCGAAACTCCATCGAAATTCAGCTGTGACAAAATAAACGCGCCACTTTTTGACAGTAACGCTACATCTTTATACATGTTAACAAGGTCATTAAGTGTTTATAACGTCTCAAATTCTACCGACCTAACATGTTGCTACAGAGACTTTATTAGATTGGACGCTGAAGGTTCCGGCGAAGATAATCGAGTTAAATACAGCAAACAGTGTCAAAAAATAGGCCAAGAACCTGTAAATATTATTAATAGTGAATTTGTACGTGTAAGTTGTAAAAATTCCGCTGAAAAGACAGTTTATGATGATTTTTTTGCATTCGTACCAGTTAAAAAGCCAAAGTTGAGTATACCACGAAAAAAATTAAAGCCAAACATATTAATTATCGGCTTAGACGCAGTATCAAGACTGAACTTGCACCGGCAGATGCCAAAAACTCACAAATACATAACCGAAAATCTCGATGCAATCGAACTATTAGGCTACAATAAAGTAGCAGACAATACTTTTGTTAATCTAATGCCAGTGTTTGCTGGAATGTTCGAATCAGAATTGAAAAACTCTTGCTGGCCCGAATCACGTTCGCATTTCGACGATTGTCCGTTTTTATGGAAGAATTACAGCGCAAATAATTACGTAACGGCAGTCGGAGAAGATTGTGCCGAAATCGGGTTGTTTTACTATCAAAAATATGGCTTTATAAAGCAAACTTCCGATTATTATTACACGACGTTCGTCAGAGAGGCTGAAGGCACGATAGGCACCGATAAAAACGTGAATTGTAGACAATGCGTTGGAGCTAGAGATGCCTACAAACTTATTTTGGATTACGTTAAAAAGTTTACTCGCACGATGCACTTGCAAGCGGCGCCTTATTTTGGATTTTTCTGGAGTAACAGTTTGTCGCACGATTACTTGAATGAACCTGGCTTAGGTAAGTGTTAATTACTGCCCATTGAAATCTCATTTCTCTTCTTACAGAAGTGACCCAACAACATTCCGCTCTTGTTACATTTTAGGTGACGAAAGTTACTACGACCTCTTCAAAACCCTTAAAGAAACTGGCGCATTAAACGACACAATACTTATATTTATGAGCGACCATGGTATCAGATGGGGCGGTATCCGACAAACTTACCAAGGCCAAATGGAAGAACGATTACCGTTCGTCATAATGGCTCTTCCCGAATGGTTCAAATCCTCATATCCTCAAGCTGTGATGAATTTAAAACGAAACGTCCGAAGACTGACCACACCTTTTGATCTCCACGAAACGCTCAAAGAACTGTTGGATGTTGATAATTTACTGAATCCTAGTGATAATAGTAATTTTGTTTCGCGTGGGTAAGACCTAAAAAACCCACATGCAGCTATAATTTCATATAGGTAATTGTTTCCAGCTATAGTTTGTTTAGTAACATACCCAAAACTCGTACATGTAAAGACGCTGAGATTCCTAGTCATTGGTGCACTTGCCAGCAAAGTGCTGCCATTTCCACAAACGACTCAGAAGTGATATCGGCAGCAAAATTTGCCGTGTACCATATAAATTCACAATTAGCTGGTTACGCTCAATGTGCCATATTAGATTTAGATGATATTATTAATGCAAGAGTGACAGTTTATAAGGAAGATCATATTACCAATAAGAGATCTACCAAAGATTATATGCTCACTTTACAAACAAAACCTGGAGATGGAATTTTTGAGGTAAATATTTTTTGGTTTTTGTATATTAATGGATCTATGACGAGTCACGGGTCAGGTTTTCAGGTGACTGTAAGATCAAGAGCGTTGAAGAAGAAAGCCAAGCGGAACGTGGTAAGTTATTTTAGACGGGAATCTGTTAACACCAAAATATCTAACTCTGATTTTTTTTCAGGATTCTGTTACCAGAAATAAAATTGAAATTGAAAAATCAGCAGTAAGTGAACTGGTACCTATAAATAACCTAATTTTTATTTGTGTTTGATTGATTTTTAGTTGGACGAGGAGCGATTTAATATTACAGGTACAATCAGTCGCTTGAATTTATACGGAAAGCAAAGCTACTGCGTAACCGATTTTCATTCGAAGTTATATTGTTACTGTACTAATTTATTGAATTTCTGATACGTTTTTTGATAATTGTTACTTGTTACTTATTATAAATGCCTTCTGGAATTTGAGTTATTTTTTGACCTTCTCATTTCTCTAACTTTGCATCTAGTCATTGCAATAAACAATTGAATAGGTAGTTAAAATATGGTTAAAAGATTCCTATACATGTACTTACAATTTTTCCTTATTTTCACTAAACTATTCAATAAAAAATAGCTTTTGATTACCTACTAAGAGCACGCACATAATGCAGATTAGATCAACCGTTCTAAATTTCTCTGCTGTAAGAACAGACCGAAAATCACCTTTTCTACATTTAAAATCGACGAAAAAATTAACTCACTAGCACAGCCTGAATCGCAAGCATTCCATCGAGGACTGCGGGTGACGTCATCACTATGAGCTGCTGATAGTCACGTCACTCACAGGCCCAGAATTTGATAAAGAGGGAGTTAGGAGAGTATGACACATCACATAACTTAGCATAATTAGATAATGCTTGATTATACTCGCGAAAAATTGTCTAATATCCAAACGTTCAAAACGCTGTCATTTATATTTTTTTTCGAATTAATAAATTCTAAATTTTGACAATAAATGAGCTTGTATGAAATCATTATGATATAATGAGCTCATTTCATCACTAGTACGATAATACAACTTATTACGTAACTCAAACGGGCTAAAGTGGTTTACGTGATAAGATCTTATAATGTAGGTCCTATGAAGTCTTTGTCGAGTTCCAGAAATAATCCAAGAGAGTAATTTATCCATAATTTGCACTAATTTGTTTGTTCTACATTTTTTGTTCCATAATATATGGACTAAATTATTGTTTAAATAAAGTACGAGCATAAATAAATACGGATTACCAAGTTGATGTGCCTGTTCGCTTTCACGAGCTTCCATGTTCAGAGCAGTAAAATGTGTTCCTAGTGACCTAATATTACGTCTGTTTCTGCAGAAATCTCAAACCAGTCAGAGCGAATTTCATTGGTTGAAAATAGTAACACAACAAGTTTCAACCAATGAAATTCACTCTGACTGGACACTACTACTACAGGATAGCCTATCCTCATGAGGCCTGCGTGGAACAAATCTGAAGCCCCCCACCACACCAAATCACCAGTTGTAGGTGTAGGCAGCATGTCCTTTCTCGCCTTGACGAAGGCTGTGCACTAGGTTATGATTCCGCGAACTTTTGCTTTATTCCTAAAATCTGTTTTTTTTTTTTAAAGTCAAGTCAAAAATTTAGTAACTATGTTGGCAGCACAAGCCTTTTCTACATAAAAAATTTGAAAGCATTGACAATTTTACATTGTATTGCCAACATAATGTCAGTTTGACTTTTATCTTTAAAAAAAAAACACACTCTACTTGGTTTCACTACAATAATGGCCGTTTCCAGCAACTATTTTAGGAGAGCCTTAACGATAAGTATTCCCTAAACTGACATTTCTCCATGTAAAAATGTCATTTTAGAAAATACCTAACGTTAAGTCTTCGCTTCCCTCAAATAGTTGGTGGAAACGGCCATTATTAACATTCTAAAACAACTCTTTTTTAGATCTCGTTTTCATCTTCCTCTTTGCCTATTGTGTTAATCAAAATGAATATTTCATACATTTAAAGTCTTCGACCTTTAGTGCAAACAGCTAACGACTTGTTAATGACGTCGGAAATGGTGACACACCAATATGGCGGCAATTACCAAAAACGAGGCCAATTAGGCAATTCAAACCACGTGACATTCAAGATGGCGTGGCGGCCACACATGGGCCAAAAAACACAAAAAAATATCTAGTTTCTGCCGGAATTAATAGTTCAGGTATCTAGTCAACAAATATTTTATTAAATAATGAAAATCAAAGTTGTAAGCAAAACTGTATGCAAAATAATTTAAAATACGCATAAAAACATATCCAAAACAAACTTGCTTGGCCGCCACGTCACATTGAATTTTCCGTTTTGACAGATGGATTGAATTGCCTAATAAGCAATCCTTAGTAGTGTGTATTTTCATTGCAAATTCTGGGCTTGCGAGTGACGTCACTATCAGCGGCTTATAGTGATGACTTCACTCGGAGACCTCGCGATTCAGGCTGTGCTAGGATAATGCATTTTACGCCAAGAGTTGAGGTCTGCGGCTGACGTCACAAATAGTGGGGAGCTTTCGCGTGGACATGGCAGACCAATGACATTTCACTGTGAAATGTAGTATATGTTCCGTATATATAATAATTTAACCAGCTTCTTGGTTTGGTGTCCCAAATTCCTGAAAAAGTATCAACTTACGAAACATTGTTTTCCTGGAAGCTGATAATTTATCTGTCACCAACTTAGAGCAGGTAAAGCGCTGTCCTACGGACATAAGGATAAGGAACGCGCCATTCTACTTATGAAACTAAAGTGAAGCCAAGTTTTTGGCAGGTGTTTGGCACCAAAATACAGGTAAAGCATTGAATTACCTGTACTGCCATTTTTTTGGTGCCAAAATACCTGGAAAAAAACAGCTTCATTTTCAAACTCCATGTTACTATATCCTGTTCACAATCCGATGTCCACAGGTGCAGGTAAATTTATCACCTTTCCCTATCAAAACGCATTGAAAGGTGATTTTACCTGTACCTACCTGTGGACATCGGATTGTGAACGGATAATACTCCTCTTTACCTTTACCTGCTCTAAGGTCACCAAAATAACCAATGTCGCAACTGCTTGTTACCTACTGATGAGTGAAAGTCTATATACGGAACATATCTTATGTCATGTGGCAGACACTTTCAGCCATCTTTCAGCTCAATATCAGTCCTATTAGGTTATTAGTGTTCTTGGTTCAATAATGAATACTTATCTATTTAAAATATGAGTTATTTTGCTTCAAACGCAGATCGCGTTTATGTCTACAACCAGAATACAGAGTAGGAACTCTGCTCTGTCAGCTCTGCCCGAGCTTGCCACGGTATCGAACGGGAGAATTATTTGTTCCTCCTGACTCTTATGACCTTATTCAACCCGAATAATTTTATTGTACTGCACTGCCAAAATGCAAGCCTTTTCTGAACCGGATTCTTGATTCTGAACCAGTTTGTTTGAACTGCGAACGAAAAGCTTTGTTCGGGGTTGAAAAAAGGGTGGTTATCACAAAATTGTGCTTGATCTACGCTGAGGCGAACTCGGACCAGAAAATCGAAAAACCGAGCTGGAAGCGGATTCTGTGTTCTATCGCTTTCTACATGTCGAATTCTAATGTCGATTTCTACATTTAATATAAGGGGAAATCGTGTAGGAAACGGTACACGGAATACGAAATATTGAACACGACATGTCGCTATAGACCTAGAATTCGACAGTGCACGGAATTCTCCCCCCGGATTACAATTTTACAATACGAGGTGTTGAGCGTTTTTGTCATCATTTGCGATTCTAATTTTACGAGCATTCGTGTAGGATTCGAGATCTCCTGTCATCTACGTTCACATCGGTTTAGGAACTGAGATGACACAGGAGAACTCGAATCCTGCACGAATTGGGCTGCTTTTCTTAAATTGGATTAACCGTGCGTTCGGAATTCTGATCTGAGTCCGTTTATTAAAATTTCTGGCACTCTGATACAGTGTTCAGCTACTCTATTCGCTCGCTGGTCACGTGATTACGGCTCCGCTCAGCCCGCTCTGCTCTTCGAGCAAAATACCGAACGCAAGGTTAGTACCATCCTAAAAATAAAATTCTACTAAAGTGGGTTTTTTTTTTAAGATAAAAGTCAAAATGACATTATGTTTGCAATACAATGTAAAATTGTCAATGCTTTAAAGTTTTTTATGTAGAAAAGACTTGTGTTGCCAACATAGCTACTAAATTTTTGACTTGGGGAATTATCTTTTAAAAAAAAAAAAACTTTACCTACAGAATTCCTGCTAATCCTGCTCCTTTTATTCATCGAGTTACACCAAATGTGTCGCTCTTGAGCTACTCGGAGTCAATCCAAAACACACAATTCAGAAAATTAATTATCAAATTCTTTTAAGTTAACATAATCCTAAATCTTAAAGAGTTTCTTGTTGCCCCCGCAAATTTGGTGCATCAGGGGAAAGGGGGATGCACTATAAGCAACTCGAATGCTTAACGCTTTTTTAAAAGGAACGTTCGAGCTTTTGTCATTAAGCAGCTCTGAGTAACTCAACCGGTAGAAAAAAATACAGTAAACATCAGAATATGTACATTTTTGCCAAAGATAATACACACTACTAAGGATTGCTTATCGGCCTCGTGTTTGGTAATCGCCGCCATATTGGTATATCACCATTGCCGACGTCATTAACTAAGTCGTCAGCTGTTTGCGCCAGCGGTCGTCGCTTAGAATAGGCTCCTCGCATCAAATTTTTTTATTGCTGATTTCGATAGTCCATGAAAAATAAGTCAACACGTGTTTTTTTTTTTCTTGTTAGTCAAAAATTGACAGAGATACAACGCTTTGAAATGTCCTTCCGACGTCATAACTTAGGTATAATACCTTGTGAGTTGTGACGTCGCACATGCTCAGTATATCTATATATACAAAAACTCAATAATATTTGTATAACTTCCAAAATAATCATATTTGGACAAAATAAAAAAACACGCATCGATTTTTTTTCGATTTCCTACAGTCTGCAATACAAAATAATCAATTTAATTTTTCATGCAAGTACCCTATTTAAAGTTATGATGAAAAATATTATTTAATTTTGATTAACATAGTAGGCGAATAGAAAAGATGCAAACGAGATCTAAAAAAGAATTGTTTTATAAGAATGTTAATTAATGTAGTAAAACCAAATATGCATGAAGCAAAAGGCCGTGGAATTATAACCTGCTGGGGGATTCTATTTCACGATACGAAATTTCCGAGTAGTTCGACGCTGAACTCGATTTCGAATACGATCGGATCGTATTTTGCGATTCTATTATACGATCGAATTTCAATCGGATTTCTTCGGTTGTCGGAAGAAAGTTTTGACAATCGGCGGCTTTTACTTATGGAGTGAAGTTAGAAGTGGGAATGTTTTTTTAACTTTTTTCACAGAAAATAACCTCAAACCAAACAACTTCAACCTTTTTAAATTGTTTATGTTCTTATAGCATTTTTAATTGCAATTTTAATTTACCAAGTGTTATTGGTTTGCTACTTCCAGTACTATTACTTGTTCTTAAACCTCTAAGCAATAGTTGGGACTGTTAGGAGACTTAAATTGTTGATTTTCGGTTGATTATTGACAGTTTATTTATAATGTTGCCAATTGTTCGGGATCGAGTTCTTGCAAACGAAAATGCAGTAAGAAATCGCAAGCTAATGCATCGAAGAATGGAACTTCGCAGCCGCAGTGATGCATTTTCTTTATCTAACCAAAGATTTGTGGAATTATTTAGGTTAAATAAAGCATTAACAAGAAACCTATTTGACATCTTGCGTCCTCATCTAGTAGACAGAAAGTCTCTGAAAGGAGTGAGTATCGAGGTCAAAATATTAACAGCTTTACGCTTTTACGCTACTGGTTCTTATCAGCGCTGTGTAGGTCAGGAGTTTTATAGTGGCTTAAGCCAAACATCAGTCCATCGGAGTATTCATGAAGTTACAGAAGCATTGGCAAATATTGCTGATCAATTTATTTTTATGCCCAATACTCTCAATGAAAGAAATTCAATAAAAGAAGAAATAATGCACCATTCAGGATTTCCAGGAGTGGTAGGCATGGTAGATGGTACCCACATAGCTATTTTAAAGCCACCTCTTAATGAACAGTTATACATCAATAGGAAAGGTTACCATTCCCTAAATGTCCAGGTTATTTGTGACCACAATTTAAAAATTCGTGGTCTGTTTGCAAATTTTGGAGGGGCCACTCACGACGCATTTATATGGAATGCATCACAAGCCCAAAATTTCATGAGAAATATATTTGAAAATAGGGAAAGAAGTTGGCTCATAGGAGATTCGGGATACCCTCTACAGCCCTATCTAATGACACCTTTTAGAGCTCCTGAAAATGAAGCACAAATTAGATACAATCGTGCTCTCACATCAGCAAGAAGTGCTGTTGAGAGGTGCATTGGTCTGTGGAAAATGCGTTTCAGATGCATTTTACGAGAAAGATCTGCACGTTACTCGCCCCAATTTATGTGCAACATTGTCAAAGCCAGTGCTGTTTTACACAACATTTGTGTGGAAGCAAATATGCCTTTTGACTATGAGTTTTTACCAGATTTGGAAGATATACCAGCACAAGAAATTCAGCTCCCACGTCATCATAATCATGCTGAAGCTCTCAACATAAGAAATAATATTGTGCAGAGATACTTCCAATAAATGTTAGATGTAAGTGTGACTAGTGTGAGTGCCCATTTGTGGTGTAGCTGTTTATGTTAAAAACATTAGTACTACATCTTTAAAATAAGTAACAGCATTGTTTAATTAGTGAGTAATTGAAAATAGTAGATCAAAATTAGTATTTTACATTCTTAGCCAGGTATATAAAACAGTTTTCACTGGCAATTGAAGGAAATGACTAGCGAGCCATTAGTCCAGCTTGTCACCTTTAAAAGCCAGTAAAAACTGCTACATGGTGTATAATGTACAATAATTTATTTGTTACTCATTTGTAAAAGATATATTTTTTTTCCACAAATGAATAAGCCAGAAGATAACGGGTCTTCAAAAAAAAAACAATCAAAGATTGCTATGGTTTTTTGAAAGTATGTCTTATGTCATTTATGGTCAGTATTATAAACACTGAACCGATCGATGGTTGAGTTTCAACCTTTGGTTGACTCCGGGCAAATTGATAGGATTCAAGGGAAGGTTGAAATTCAACCAGTGGTTCAGTGCTTTATAATACTGGCTCTTAAACAAATACCATGACACTACGTTCACATTCAATAATTTTATTTCTAATGTGAATTGGCAAAAAACTTTGGTTAAAAATAAAATAGTAATACTATGCTCGACAAAAAATTTAATTACTGTCTCAAGATATAGTTTATCTCGACACTATGTGTCTTGATAAATTGTAATATCTCTCGACAGTAATAGATTATTTCCCGTCTCAGATTGTAATATACTATTACAGTTTACCTGTCCTTTTAACAAGTCAGTAGCTTGTAAATGTAAAAATCAATTTTTGTTGTTTATGTTTTAACTTGATAAGTGACGTTTTACAAATGAGTGACAAATAAACATTTGAACAGATGTGTTTGGGTTAACTATAAATACTGAATCAATGTCAAGACTTTAGATTTTCTTCTCCACTACTTACCTACAAAAAATAGATTTTAATTATTACTTATATTGAAACTGTAATATCATTATATACTGTGATGCTTTCAGATTTTATACAATAAATGTTCACTTGAAATAAAAAAGGACAATTTCTCAAATCTTTATATATTTCATAAGACAAAATAACAATAAAAAAATAAAAAATATATTCTATACAACGCTCCTGCAATGTGCAAGGATAAGTAACAAAACAAAAAAAAAATTCTTAAAATAATACTAATCACAAACGAAGGACTAAAGAAACAAACATAATTTTATTTTCAAATAGGTCATTTATACAAAACACCTAACGAAAACACCTACAAACTGCAAAGGTAAGTAGGTAAGTAACAAAAATATTGATTCTAAATTTGAAAAAACACTACCCACAAATAAGGGTTGAAGTAACAAACAAACCTAATAATAGTTTCAAATTGGTTATTAATGTGAGAAACAAAGTAAAGATGTGACAGACAATAAAATGAGTCCAATGATTCATACAGTTTTCTGCCTACTAGATATCGAATGAGTTATACCTTCACATCATGATTATCTAGTATTGTGTTTGCTTGTGATGTACCTACTTGGTGACAATAATTGAGTAAGGTGACTTCCTTGTGTTGTAACTTATTAGTATTGTATATATTTATAGGTTCTCACTCTTGTACAAAGTCAGAAAGTACAAAAGCGAATACCTACCTATTAAAAATAATTATTCTAAATCTAAAAGTCCAATGATCACATTTAATAATTGCAATTATCCAAAAATTTTAATTTGAAATCATCTAACAATCTTTTCTTGAAGCACATCACAAGCAAACACAACACTAGACGCTGATGATGTGAAGGTACAACTCATCTGATACCTAGTAGGCAGAAAACTGTATGAATCATTGGACTTATTTTTATTGTCTGTACGCATTGTTAAAAGATTGACATAATAATAGCAAACACTGAAAAATCTATTTTAAATTTAACTCAACAAGATTATAAGAATTAAGAGTTTAAGAAGCCAAGTACCTCTGCAGAACCAGAACCTTCACCATCGATAAGTTGCAGTAAAGTGAGGTAAGAGGCATAGACATTATTATGACAAAACATACAAACAAACTTGGGTGACCACTGATTACTTACCAAGCTCTATCTTAGGCATGGAAACTGATATCGGTTTGAATTTCAAGGATGTATATTGTTGATGTCAATGCAGAATTTCAGCATAAAAACAATTGACTGGATAGTGCCATCAACTTCTTTATTTTGGATGGATCACCTCATTTAATATATTTTTGGATTCCAGGAGAAATTACAAGCATATTTAAGTGTATAATATCCTATAACCCAACCTGAACCATTAATAAAGTTAAGTATAGAATATTATGCATAAAGTATGATTAGAATTTTTCGTAGAATCCAAAAATATAGTAATGAAGGGGTTGATCTATTAGAAATAAAGAAGTTGATGGCACTTCCGGTCAAACCAAAAGCGAAAATTAATTGTTTTAAGGCTGAAATTCTGCATCAATATGAATGATATACATCCCCAAAATTTAAAATCGATATCGATATGCCTAAGATAAAGCTTGGTAAGTATTCTCGGGTTCACCCATAATGCATCAGCAAAATATGAATGTACCCCAACTTAGCCTTACTGCCGTTACTACTTTCCGGAATTTACACCTTCAGCAATTTGTTGGAGCCTGCTATCCAGTACTTCCTTTATTTCACTCAGTCCTTGGTGTATTGTTTCCTTGATCTCTTTCAATATATCAATGGTTTCTCTGTAAGCTTCATCTGAATGATCTTTTTTCTTTTTTGTGGGAGGGGTTCCCTCATAATCATGGTCATGATAGTCAGTTGTGACTCTTGTTGTTTGCTTTCTGGTAGCAAGAGTCTGAAAATAAATGCCATTTATTACTATAATAAAAAGAATTGGTTTTATTATGTTGAAAAAATGCTGAAGCTCTAAATGCTCCTAAAGTCCGAAATAATGTGATGCAGACTTGTTTTTCAAATTGTATGTCTGTCACTTTTTAGTGACCTTCAAACTTGCCCAATGAGACCGATTAGGACCAATGATTAGGACTTACTGAAATGAATTCGCAATTTGTGACCACAAAGTGAATTGTTTTGTCATCACAATGCCTCTTACCTTATTGAAACTTCTCCATGGTGAAGGTTGCGGTTCTGCAGAAGTATTTGGCTTTTTAAACTGTAAATATAATGCCACAATTATTAATTTTTATAGTCTTATTCACTGTTGAATAATTATTCAGGCCACAGTTACCTATATCCGAGCACAATTCCTTAATTCCTAATTTTTGTCCTTAATTCGATATTTAAAAACACCAACCAACTTTTTAATAATCAAGAATAAGTAACAAATATTAAGAATTAAGGAATTGGGTGACTCTGGCCTTAATAATGCAAATATATAAAAATAGACCTTGAAATAACTCCAATGATTTATATATTTTTCAACCCACTAGGTATCAAATGAACTGTACCTTCAAATCGTCATCATCCAGTGCAATGACATCCAGTGACTCTGGTGTTGTGTTTGCTTTTGGTTGCGATATACTTGGTGATAAAATACCAAGTTCGGTACTCCCTGCTCCAGCATAAAATGTTTTGCCACCAAAAATGTTCAAGGCTCGTAATTCAAAACTATTAAACGGTGCAGAGGAATGTCCACCCCCTCCTGTTCCGTGCAAGTCTGAATTAATCATCTGTCCCTTTTTTTTCAAATTGTGTTTGAAATCCGCCCAAGTCTAGAATGGAAACGCTAATAATTAGAATCCCTGCTTTTAATTTTAATCCAATCCAAGAACAGGCAGTTGTTTTAAGCCAAGATCCTTATCGTATATTGTAGTGTAATTGCATAAGTTACTTACTTTTTGCCATTTTTCAGCCGATCTCTCGCCATATCCAAGTGCATTCAGCCGGTTTGCAATTGTCGACCACATTTTTCTTTGCGTTTCCCGCCCCTGGAGTCCTAAGAACCGCCCGTTCGCAAAGTCTTTGTGCTCTTCCATATATGCCATTAGGACTTCCCAATGGCATTCTTTTATTTTGAATGAAGCCATTTCAATTTATTTTCATTTATTAAATAGTCAATAACACAAAATAAACCAATAGACTCGAAAATATATATATTGAGGTTATATTATTATTTCACTTTTCACTTCAAAACAAAAAACTTACATCAACTGTCAACACATTCGAAATTCGATTTGATTCGGCACCTCTCGACCTGTCGAGCAATACGATTCGAGTTTATGCGATAGTTCGCATAACAGAATCTCGAAAAGCGAATTAATATGGCGGATTCGACTCGAATCGTATAATAGAATCGGCGCCCTGTGGTGCAAACACCCTACGTCAAAGCAAGCAACGACAAGTAGTCATCATCACTAGTGCTTTTGCATGGCGTGGTTTTGAGATATGAGCTACACAGGCCTTATGAGGATAAGATATCCTATAGTAGTAGTTAGTAGTGTGTAATATCCGCGAACAATATGGGCACATGTATTAAAACGTCAAAATGCACTCTGCCGCCTTATCTCCCAGAGTCTCGCGCGAAACTAATTGCAATTAGGGCAAAAAGTGCCGAACCAGTCTTTCAATAGGATTCAAAAACTTGCACTGAAATGGCCAATGGTTGACAAATATTACACTCGTTTCATTTTCATTTTGAAATTATGTACTTAACATGGACCCTTCAAAGGAGCGGACTTCCCGTGGCGCAAGAGTTTTCGCTATAAAATATGAAGTTTTTTTTTTCAAACGCAGATCGCGTGTTTCAATAGGCAATTTTTGGCGAGCGAGGAAAATCAAGCATAATTTGATTATGTTGGATTTTGTGATGTGTCTGGATATGTCAATTATGTCAAAATTCCTTTCCTCATTCTCCGTCAAATTCTAGGCATGTGAGTGACGTCACTATCAGCAGCTCATAATGATGACGTCATCCGCAGACCTCGATGGAATGCTTGCGATTCAGGCTGTGCTAGTGAGTTAATTTATTCGTCGATTTTAAATGTAGGAAAGGTGATTTTCGGTCTATTCTCACAGAAGAAGTTAAGTGTTCTTGATCCTCGAGTATCCCAGAATTTGATGGTGAGGGAGTTATGGGAGTATGACACAATTGACACATCACATATTCCAGCAAAATATTATACTTGGTTATCCTCGCGAAAAATTGCCTAAAATAATAGAAGCTCTGCTTTTTCAGCTCTGCTCGAGGTTGTCTCGGTGTCGAACCGTCGAACGTAGGCCTTTTCGGAAACGCTGAACCGATTATCCGGATCACCTGCTGGTGTACTTTGTCTTTTTTTCCATCATGTTCATGTAAGAAAGATAGAAAACAAACAGCTGTAGCTGGGTTCGGCTATTCAGCGCGGAGTTGGAGTGGAGTGAATAGAGCTAATGGAGTCACTCCTAATACGGTAAAAAGCAATACCCGAACCTTAACCCGAACGGCTGGAGTGTGAATGGAGTCACTCGGAGTGCACGGAGTGAGCAAGCCGAACCCACCTTTTATCTCGTGATCGTAGTGGAACCGTTACTCTGGGGCTCAACTAAAAATATGCAGATTCGAACGCAGTTCGCGTTTGTCAACAACACGAATACATATACCCTCTGCTCTGCAAGCTCCAAGCCGAACATCAATTATTGCACTGCACTATCAATGGCGCAAGTCATGGCGCTTTCCCTTGATAACACTAGTGCGTACCGAGTACAATAATTATATTTCATTGGTTAATTCATCGTTAGATTAAACCAATGCATGTTGCCGTTTCCCATTTGAAAATCATGGTAACGATGTTTACTCCGAGTGCAGGTGAATCGGCACGAGCTCTCGGATGAACTGCGGCTGTCAACTGTCAGTTCATTTTTAATGGCGGAATCCAGGAATTGGCGGGAAATGTTCATAAAGCCATCATCAAGGCGGCAGAAAGTTGATCGTGAGGATCTCAGTGGATCATTTCTCTTCGAGAAGCAGTAAAAGTGAAGACGAAGAAAGTATAATTCGCTTCAGTATTCGATAAAAGTATGTACGTTTAATAACATATTTTGGGTGTGTAAAAATATTACGTAGTTTTCCTAACTAATGCGGAAAGTGCCACTTTTCCGCGCGCGGTTGCAGTTTGCCTATTGCCGAACGACGCGTAGCTTTAGTATACCTGTAACTACTGTAAGTACCTGTATACCTACCAATTTAAGGTATTTTACTTTTCCGCACTATTGCAGAAAAGTACCTGCTTTTTCGCACTAGTGGTTATTGCCAACATAATGTCATTTTAACATCTTTAAATTGGAGATTTTTTCGTATAATCCTTCAGATTCATTCACTACCTACTCTAGTTTCTCAATTATTGGCTCACTATAATAAATTACGGGTTCTTCCTGAACTTTTTAATTACTATCATTGGAATGCATTTCGTTATTATCAGTATCAGACAAAAATTCATACATATAGTATTACGTCTAGTCACTAGAAGAACGACTGGTACTTCTAAATGGGTATCAAAAATTCTATACATTCATACTACATAAAAATAAAAGCCAAAAAGCACATCGCTAGATATTCTGTATTCAATTGGTACTGCACTAGAGCATATTTTTGACTGAAATGGTTAGTAGTGCAATTTGAGTGCAAGAGCAGGAGCACGTTATCTGAAGAAATCCAATAGAAGAGTAGTCGAGTAGAGTAGGCGACGAGCCAGCCAAAAAATGACACTGACAGATTTTTCATTCCAAGGTATTTGAACCCAAAATTCACCGGTTTCTGAACCAGTGCGATACCGGTTTAATAGTTTACTCACCAAACCGTTCCAAAATGTACCAACTTTTTACCGCTTGAACCGTCAATTTTGGAACGGACGAAATTGACCGGATTGATCAGTTATTTGAAACCGGTGAGGCACCGGATCCACCGGGAATACACCAAAGCGTTCCAAAATGCATCAGAAAAATTTAACCGAACTTACACCTAAACTTTTACCGGAATTTTTTGACAGCTACCGGTTTATTTAACCGGTCAATTTATCGGTGAAATTTGGAAAGTGTCCGATCCCGGTGGACTTTTTATTTTTCGTATTTTTACTCGCGGAGGATTTGGATCTAACCGAACCGCATAGGGTGTTCATTTGTACCGATTGCCGTTCTTCATGCAGATCTCAGCAGCAGGTGGGCGTTGACTTGTTCCATATGCGAATAAGCATAAGCTCATAAATAGCAGCTCCTAGCCGATCTTCCTGATTTTTCGAGCAGGTAGAGCAAGTACAAATGAACACCTTTTAGAACTCTACGGTCAGCTGAGCGATAAATGTCACTTGTCAAAGTTTAAAGGAAAAGGATCATTTTTGTCTTCACTTGCACTTCTCACTCACAAAATGCTAATTATTGTGATTGTGTGATTATAATATGGGTTTCTATTTTTTTAATTATTTGGTAATTTCTTTTATTTAATTACTTTGCAAATCCAATACAACCCATTTAGCCATAATCCATATTTGGGCCAAACAAAAGTCTGTGTTTATGAAGAACTTGCATTGAAGAAAACAGCAAAAATCATGAAAAATTATTGATAATAAGGCCGGCGAAAAAAATCACAACCATGCCACCCAAAAAGAGGAAACCCGTGGTGGTAGGCACAGTTTCTACTAGATCAACGAGGCGCGAAAGCATTGTTAATATCGAAGTACCAAAATTGAAAGGTAGATATAAGAAGGTATCTAAAGATGTTTCAATTGAACCCAGTACTAAAAAAGAAAAAGAGGAAATTCCCATTTCTTCTACAGAAGAAACTGTGTCAGTTCCTTTGAAGGAACAGGCAAGTGAAACTTTGAATTTTGCTTCAGATGAAGTAGCTTTGGATAATGTTGCTTTACAGGAAGAAGTCTGTAGTAGTGAACCTTTAGTTGTCCCTAAAGATAAAATTAGTAATGTTGATACTAAGAAGAAAGCAAGTGGCAAGAGACTTTCCTTGGTTGACCAACCAATGGAGGTAGAAGTTCCTAAAGATGAAGCTTGTAGTATTGCTACTAAGAAGAAAGCAAGTGGCAAAAGACTTTCTGTAACTGACACACCAATGGAGGTAGAAGTTGGAGATGAACCAATGGAGATTGAAGTTGAAACTTCAACAGAAGCCAAAACTAAAGAAGATATAATTGATGTAACAGAACATGACTATACATCTTACACTGTTGATTCTGATCCAGTCAAAAGAACGTCTGAATCTCCTGAACAGCCCAAATCAGGAATTCTAGACATTTTAAATGATTGGTCAGATGAAGGTAACAGTGCAGATTTAGTATTGTCTCATAAGGAAAAATCTTTAGCTGAAGATCAACAATCTTTAATTGATATTCTAGAAGGCAACGCCACAGAGCCTTTAAAACCACTAGTTATCAGCACTGATGGGCCCAGAAGCTATGATGAAAATATTATTGAGGAATGTGTCGTTGAAGATGATTTCAATATAGTGTCTATTGACAATATTGAAACCTCTCAGGAAGCTACAAGCTCTAGTACTGAAAGTAGAAGATTTACAAGGTCGTCACAAAAAAGCCAGAACATCAAAATTAGAATTCAAACAGGGGATGAAGTGCAATCTATGGTTTTTAAAAAGACTGCTGAAGGAGTTGTAGCGGTTCAAGATGAATTTTTGTCTGATCCTGATAATAACGAAATGCATTCCAATGATAGTAATTATGAAGTTCATGAAGAACACGTAATTTGTGATAGTTTAGAGCCCATAATTGAGAAACTAGAGCAGAAATTGGAGAACGTACTGAAAGTGAAAGCAAATGAATCTGAAGGATTGAATGAAAAAATCTCAAAACTATCAGTCAAAGAAGAAACTGATGATAAAACACCCAAAAAGCATTGGAAGAAATCATTGTATTTTGCAACAAAAACCTCTCCGGAAATAAATGAAACTGATGAGTCACCAAAACCCAAAAAACAATTTTCAATGCAAATGATTGACACAAAGCAAACAGAATTTAATTATCAAGCGTACAAATTCAAGAACCTGGAAACTGAAGGAGAATCTACATCCACATCAAACGATAGCAATCATCCTAAATCACTTTTAAGGCCCTCTAAGAAAAAGGAATCAATGAGTCCAGAATCATTGAACCAAATGCGATCCAATATTGATGCCTCCATAAGCGAAGTGCTTCGTAGATACACTTCTGAAGATGTGAGTACCTCTGACTCAAAACAAACCAAAAAACCATCAAAAAGCAAACAAAATAAATTAAAGAAGGATTTAGAATCGTGGGACGATGTTAGAAGGTCTGACAGAATAAAAACTATACTTCCTGTTAAAAAGAAATCACGTGGTTTAGTTAAATCCAAGTCGGAACCTGCTCTTTCCACAGATGAAAGCTCCATTCAAAGCGACTCTGATAAGCCAACACCCGCACCTTCACCAAAACCAACTAAAACTGTAAAAATGAAACCCAAATCTAAATCCATGGATAATTTAGACCAACAAGATATTCCAAAAGTCACTGTGACTCCTCAAGAACTACCAAAACCTCCAAATATAAAACCTGATAAATCAGGTAAAGCAGAAATCGCTGCCCGTTTAAAAACTTTCGCGCACCTAAAAGAAAACCAATATAAAACTGACAGACAAGTTAGTAAAGAAGCCAAAGAAATGGTTTGCGATTGTTACTTGGCCGAAGAAGATATTGAGAAAAACGAATATGGCTGTGGAGATGATTGCTTAAACCGGCTGCTTATGATTGAATGTGGCGAACTGTGCCAAGTCAGAGAAAGATGTACTAACAAAAAGTTTCAAAAGAGTGCATTTGCTCCAGTTGAAGTTTTTAAAACTGAAAAAAAAGGTTTGGGTTTGAGGGCGGCCGCTAACATTGCTTATGGAGAGTTTATTTTGGAGTACATTGGAGAAGTTCTTGACCCTGACGAGTTTGACAAAAGGGCTGAAGAATATGCGAAAGACAAAAATATACATTTTTATTTTATGTCTTTGAGGTCGGATGCTATTATCGATGCTACAATGAAAGGTGAATGATTTTTTGTTGGTTTTACACTTTTACTAATTCAATGTGTCTGTTATAGGTAACATTTCAAGATTTATAAACCATTCATGTGATCCTAATGCTGAGACCCAGAAGTGGACTGTGAATGGTGAATTGCGTATTGGATTTTTCAGTACCAGGACTATATTAGCCGGGGAGGAGATTACATTTGATTATCAGTTCCAGAGATATGGGTAAGTTTTTTTTTTTAATATTGTCATTGATTATTTCTATTATGTTATTCTTTTGAGATTAATTTGGTTTATTAGCAAATTTCTTGACATATACTGATTTTTCAATACTTCTGCCTGGGTAATTTTTATATTATCCTCCTTCATCTCTTGGGTTTTTGTGGGTTATTGTGATAGTTTTTGTATTTAATTACCTAGACAAAATTGTATATTTGTTTCAATAGTTTTGCACTTGAGAAGCTTCAAAATTGAATTTATGAAACATTAAAAATTTTCCAGAAATGATACTGAGACAGTTTTTGGCTCACAGAGCCTTAAATTATCATTCGATTTCAACGTAATTAAGCTCTAATTAAAGCCAATTGAATTCTCTATTAAGATTAACCCATTAATTAAGATTTCAATTTAGTTCCAACAGTTTTCACCTGAGAAGCTTCAAAATTGAATTTATCGAACATTGAAAATTTTACAAAAATGACACTGAGGCAGTTTTTGCTCCACAGCTCCTTTAATTTTCATCTGATTTCGATGTAATTAAGCTCTAATTAAAGCCAATTAAATTCTTTACATACTAATATATGTATTTACTCCTACTGTTTGCAATTATACTGTGAATAGTAATTTAAAGTTACTAAAGTCCTTTTTTTTTCTAAAGAAAAGAGGCCCAAAAATGCTACTGCGAAGCTCAAATATGCCGGGGATGGCTGGGCGAAAGACCAGACGACTCTGACGATGACGAAGAAGAGGAGGAGGAAGAAGACGAAGAAGAGGAGGAAGAGCCGCAAAAAGTTGAACCAACTAAATCCGAAGTTCAAATACCTCCTGAAGCAGTCAAAGAACTTATTACAGCTGAAATAGTATCATCATCAGAACCAGTAGAGAAACCAGATGTTCCTGAAGGTGCCGCAGTTGCAACAGAAATAACTGGAGAGGCACCGATACAACAACCAAGTCCTAAAAAGACTGTTAAGAAAAAATCCAAAAAAGAAATTCTGTTTGAAGATTTCGATCAGCTCAATGACGAAATTGATATGCTAGTGACCACTGGCCTCAAAAATCAAGCTCACACCTTAAAACTGAGCAGATTAATGGTCCGAGCCAAAGATTTAGAACAACGAAAAAAATTGCTAAGAGTTTTAAGACGAGGCGAGCTCCCTTGTCGCAGACTATTTTTGGACTATCACGGATTAAGATTAATGCACGGTTACATGATAGATGCTCAACAATTAAAACCAAACCTAAAAGAGGCTACTCCCAAAGTGGACGTTAGCCAGACAAAATTGGAATTACTTCAGACCTTAGCCGTATTGCCTATACAAAACAAAACCATGTTGATTGAAAGTAAAGTACTACCCGCAGTGGAAAAGTGGTCTAAAAATGAGGATATTGTAGAAGATGGCGATCAGAGAGAGCTTAGAAGATCAAAAAGGCATTATATGGATTCAAGTGAAAAAGAAAAAATTGATGAAATTAAATTTTTGGCTACAAAGCTTTTGGAAGAGTGGAAGAATTTGAAGCAAATCTTCCGTATACCAAAGAAACAGAGAATAGAGCAAATGAAGGAGCACGAGAAGGAAGCCAATAGAAAATTCATAGAGGTTAGCCATGCACAAGAAAAAGAATCTTCAAGGAAAAACGATCACAGATATCGCTCTTGGTCTCGTTATAAGTCTGAAAGAGAATCGAGTAATAAAAAAAGGTAAGTGCAAGTTTGTCATTGAAATATTTTCATTTAATTGAGTGAACTTTAGGTACGAAGACAAGGGTCGACCTTCAGCGGAATACCTAAAAATTAGCAAACACGAAAGACGAAAACTATTCGCCTTACAAATGGAATTGAAAGAGGAAGAAAGACGATCTCAGCAACGCGAAATGTGGCGGCAGCACGAAATTAATTGTATGCTTATTGGGGCCGATCCAAGATTCACGGCTCCGTTTGATCCCAGCAAAGGATTTCAATATATTTGGAATCCGTCGTTGGGACAGTGGCAGGCTTTGCCAGTTCCCACTAGTCAGAATCGAGGTGTGTTTAATTCTCCAGTTACTCCACACAGTACACCAGGTAATAATTGATATTATAATACAAGAAAGTAAGTATGAGAAGTTCCTTGCGGTATACCATGTATTGGTTCTTCCATTGTTGATATTTGACTGTATTTTTTTTCGTTGAACCTTTCACATATTATGTATATACTTCTCAACAACTTCTCTGTTAAAGATAATTAAATTTTCCTGATTTTTTTTCATTTATTACTGAAAATTCCACTCGATATAAAGTATGATCAATATAGGGTCCGAAAAAGTTTGAAACTAGCAACATGACTTACTATTATGGGTTGGCATTGAACCTATTTCAGTTATTTTGTGTATAAATGTCCTGTAATTGTTATGCAGGAGTGCCAACGCCATATTCAACCCCGAAGCCAAGCTATGTGACCCACTATCCACCGCCAATGATGAGCTTACCAGGTATGCAAAGTGCTTCCTCCCAATATTCAGGTTAGTAGATAAGTTTTGGTTTCTAGAAGTTTTATTAATTATGGTGTAAATTTAATTTTAGGTATACCACCACAATTAAATCCAATGGGTTCTATGGTACAAGGCATAAACGCTCCAGCTCCGGTTATGCCAGGCAACGTCCTTGGAATAACTTCTCTACAAAGCAATCCAGGAATCGCTGGGATAGTTGCGGCAATGCCTGGAATCAATACACCACCGGTAAGAATCATGATTTATTTATTTATTCATTCAAAGTATCAATAGCAGAACCAATTATAGATACCTACTACCTAATAACAATAATACAATAATACAGCTAGAAGTGAACCAATCACATTGAACTTAAACTATACATAGACGATTTATCAAAAACTACTACAAATACAGTGGCGGTAATATGTTCCATCTATTTTAATTTTAAAATAATGTCAGAGGAAAAATACTGAATTGAATCAAAAAAAAAAAAAAATCAAAAATTTGGCGGATTGATTCAAAGTTCTCATATACTCAAAATGTACTAATTTGGGAAGAAGTTCTTCTATACAAGATCGACAAAACTGTTACTAAAAAATTCATCCAGAGGATAGAAATATTTCTCAATTAGGTATGTTTTTACTACAAGCTTAAAATGTTTTGTAGGCAACATTTTTACTGAGGGATGCAACCTGTCAAAAAAGTTAGGACCATAGAATGTTATTCCACTCCTAATCTTATTTATTATCTTACAAATGCATCCCTACAATCGTCTCTGTATCTCAAACCACATATAACCCTTACATTCTGGTTTCACTAAAGGCATGGTAAACATACAGGAGCACTGGTTCAGAAACATCATCCACCAATATTCTCAATGCGTACACATTGGAAGCCATACCTTCACAAAGCTTGTTTGTGTGGGCATTCCAAGTTAGCTTACTATCAATAGACACACCCAAAAATTTAACAGGTTCATACATCATTCCCTCTAGATCTCTCATTGAGAAATACATTAGTTCAGTCTTTGTTGCGTTCAGGTTAAGTTGATTGCATGAAAACCATTCAGAGACAGTAACCTGAGCCTCCCTCATAATATATTGTTTTTCTTCCTTTGAAGCTACCTTCTTAAACATTGTGGTGTCATCAGCAAAAAGGACAAAATCAGCGGTTAGGTCACAGCTGCCCAGGTCATTATTATAAATCAGGAAGAGCAGGGGCCCAAAAACAGATCCCTGTGGCACACCATATAGAAAATTTTGCATTTCAGACAGACCCCCATTAAATTGTACAAGCTGCTTTCTGTTTATTAATATAAGAGCTTAGTAGATCAACTGCATTCTGATCGAACTTATATAATTTTAACTTACACAGTAGGAGCTGTTGGGAGACACAATCGAACGCTTTTGTTAGGTCACAGAACAGTGCCCCAGTGTACTGACCATCCCTATACCCATTAGCCGCAATTTATTATTCTAATTATTTCATTTTCAAGAGTAGTTGTAGATAGTGAATTTCTAAACCCAAACTGAGATTTGTTAAAAGTATTGTTATTCTCAAAATAATGAGAAATGTTTTTTGTTTTTGGGTTACTTTTTCCAGTATTTTTGAGAATATAGGCACTTTAGATATTGGTCTATAATTGTGGAGAATGTTTTTTTGGTCCTTTCTTATGGATGGGGACATTTCTAGCAATTTTAAGGATATTAGAAAATACTCCATCTTTTATACAGAAATTTATTAATTTTGTTAGAGGGCTTATAATTTCATTTGCCAGGTTTTTTATTATTTTCCTGTTAAATCCATAGAAATCGTTACTGTTTTTATTTTTTAGATTCATAATTATATCCCTAACTAGAGCTTGTGATACAAGAGAGAATTCAAAATTAAGGCCATCTAGTTTACTCCTTATGGATTGGCGATATTGTTCTACAAAATTTAAGGATAATTTTTGAGACGGAGTTATGTTATAAATAGGCTGTTTAGGTATATTATTGAAAAAATGATTGAAGTCGTTTGTTTGGGGTAATATTGCTGTTTTGCTCTGAGGTTTTTCCTTTCATAAGATTAGTGCTAATTTTAATAACATTCCAAATGAATTTGGGATTATAATTGTGATTTTTGATGTGTCATTTGCTTGGTTTTTGGCCTTTCTAAGTTCTTTCCTTTACAACTTTTTATAGTCTTTACAGAGTTGGACAACTTGTGGATTATTGTCAGACCTATCTGACTTTCTATAAATACCTAGTCTATCACGCATGTTTTTCAGATCATCATTGAACCATGGAATGGGAGGCGCATTGTTATAGTGCTTATAGCTCTTTTGTAGAAACGCTGTCTCTGCACAGTTCCTTACTAGTTAAACAAGCATTTCAAACTTCATTTCAATAATGATGTTATTATTATCAACAAAGTCCCAACACCTCTCACCAGAAACCTAAGTATATTTATTCCGTATTTTGTAACAGGTCTACAAACTGTAATTACTTTTTCTTTAGGTGTTATTTTGTGGCCAACATATCGAGCTTCTATACCTAAATAGTCTGAAAATCCCAAATCAATCACACATTTTTCACATTCACTCACATTTGTAAAAACATTATTCAGACATGCAGTTCCTCTCGTGTCATAATATATACTCCTGGACAAAATTATCGCACCACTTCACGTAGGCATCACCATAAGCAGTGTTGCGATAATTTTGTCCAGGAGTATATTTTTGTTGTTAGATGATGTACAGATGTACAGAAAAGATCAATAATTGCTGACTTATTCTCACTTTCATCAAGAAAATTCACATCAAAGTCCCATAATATAAAAACTTGATATTCAGAATTAATTATTTTTTGCAAAATATGTGTAAATAGATATATCCAGAAATGTAAGAAAATTAGCTTGTGGAGGCCTATACATAGTAATAATTATAATTTGCATTTCTTTTGATTGTATTGCACAGACTTCCAATTCCATTTCTACTGTTAATGAGTTTATGTCCTCTCTTGGTTTAAATTTACTGGCATGAGTATTCCTAACAGCAGTTGCAACACCACCATGAACATGATGCTTACCAGAATAAGGAGATTTAATAGAATAGTTATTTAATTCAAGCTGCCCTTACTCTTGCTCTGACAGCCAATGTTCTCTAAATACAAGAACCTTATGATGAAAATTCTTGGCCTCTATTTGATCAGTTTTGTTACGAAGACATTGCACATTTAGATGTAAGATTTTTGATAAGATATTATCTCTTCCCTGATTTTCAAGAATTGTCTTAGAATCCAATTAAGAAGAAGGTAATCTATTTTTGGTACCGTCTTTTGATACATTAGTTAACACATAAGTTACATTTAGGTTTAGAAATTTATAGAAACAAGAAATTCTTTGTGTCTATCAAATTTGAATCGCTTTATACCTACATTACGAGGCCAGAAATTTGGCCTATAAAGCTCCTGCCTTTTGTTCATCGAACCAACAGTTAAAAATCATTTGAGTTGATTTGGATGTGATGATATTTCTTTGAACATAATATTTTCGTCTCTAAACCCTGGTTTGCTACTAATGTATGTAGCAACCTGAAAATAAAATTGTAACTCAAAGGAGATTGAAATTAGTTATCAGTGTGCGCCACAGAAAAATATTGATATTGATATATAAATAATAGCCAACCTTTAATTCCGTCAAATATTTTTTTAGAAAATTCGCAGGTAATAGATAGTATATTAACAAAAAACATCATCTTTTATGCAGGGTTGGCATGATTTGAATCAAATGATTTAAATCACGATTTAAATCATGATTTAAATCAAGTGATTTTTTTGAAAAAAATCAATGATTTAAATCGATTTTCAGAAATTGAAAATCTATTTGTTTATTTTGATACATATACTTATATAAATGGGATAACCAAAGAGGATTTAGTGATTATTAAGAAATTTCTGACTGCAATACCATCCTCGGCTGGGGTAGAGAGAGTATATAGAGAATATTTTCAACATACATATTATAATCTGCGATAATGATTTGAGAAATCGACTTGGCAATGAAAAGCCCGCAAAGCTGGTATATTAAAAAATCGGAATATTTTTTTTATATAAGTAGTATTATTTTAATTTTTCACAAAAGAATTATTTACTTTATTTTGACTTATTTTTTTTTTCTCTTTATGCACTAAGTTTAAGGGGCAGGGTAATAGATAGGTACCTTATCTACACCTCTACCTATCGAATATTTTTATTTATGTTTTTTATTTTTGGTTTTCAGAAATTACCGTTTATTTACTATTTTGTTTGTTAAAACTATTTATTTATTAATAAACAATAATATTTTTATTACTCTATATACCTATTCTTATTATATACTCGTGGACAAAATTATCGTACCACTGCTTTTGTGGTGCTTATGTGCAGTGGTGTAGTAATTTTGTCTAGCAGTAGGTATACTATATTTACTGCATCATTCATTGTTGAAACTAAATTACCAATAATTGATCAAAAATTAATAAAGCCATTTAATTCAAAAAAATCAAAAAAAACTGATTTAAATCAAAAAATCTGATTTAAATCAAAAAAATCTGATTTTTTTGATTTTTTCAAAAAAATCATGATTTTTGCCAACCCTGCTTTTATGCAAATGCAAGGGAGACACACATCACAGAAGAAATTATTGAGGCTGAATTTCAGTTAAGGGATTTTAGACATACAGGAAGAGTTACGATTTACATTAGGGAAGGTATACAATTTCAAGAGATTTTAAGGGGGAGACTTCTGAAAAAAAAAAACACACATGGATTTTGGCAGTCAAGATTCAATTTAATAATACTCCGTATGTATTGTGTAACATGTCCAAGATAAGGAGGGATAGCATTACGATCTGGAGAACCGTTGGAGTTACAATGTTGGTTAGATCAGGGAAAACTTGCGCAATTTAACGCTCAATAAAATGGTACTTCTTAACATTTGAAAAATTTTGAACACTTTCGGAGATATCCGGAAAAAAACCGAAATTTTGCAAAATGCTTTTTTTTTCTGAGCTTATTTGAGGAGGTATTTCAAAACAAATATCCCTTCATCGTGCCAACTTTTTCTACTCTACAAGATGACTTTTTCAAATTTGAAATCTGATGTTTTGTCTTTGAGCCACCATCATCAACTTCATTTTTTTAAATAGGGCTCTTGGTTTTCTATTTCAAATTTTAAGAGCTTCTGATGTCCCAAAACATATGACGTATCGCATTTATTCGAAAAAAATTTCTTTTCTCTGTCTCTCTCTAACACATTCAGTTCTTATGGAAAGTGCCAATATTACAAATTTTTCGAATAAGTACGATAATACGTCATTGGTTTTGGGACATCAGAAGCTTATAAAATCTAAAATAGAAAATAAGGGTCCGCATTTAAAAAAATTGAAGAACAGGAGTTCTATCTCCGAAATTATGTCATAATTTCGAAATCGGACTCATAAGCTTCCTCTCTTCCAGTTTTGTAACTATGTTTTGTGTTGGGTGCGGCATGAGCAACCAACCTTATGCTGAATACAGCATGAACATTTACTTATTTATGTATAACTATTAATGCTTAGGCATATCGTATATAACCATATTTCCCTCCACCATTTGGTAAGTGGTAAGTTTCTTGATGTATACACCCCAGGCCTCCCCCCCCCTAACTCCCATATTTTGTACCTTGTAGAACTTATGCTGATGATGGATCTATGATAGATCCGAAACATGTTCAACCCCCCTTCCAACTGATTATATTTTTTATAAAATAAAGAGTGAAGATACACTGTTATTCCAGTTCTTTAACTATTCTCTTCACTGTGAGACATGGACTTCTATTTCAAAATTTAAAAAAATTAAATTGATGATTGTGGCCCAAAGACGAAACTTCAAATTTTAAAACTGATAATGTTATCTTGTAGAGTAGGAAAAATGGTAACGATGAAGTGACATTTATTTTGAGATATCTCCTCAAAACAAAATCGATTTTGCAAAATTTCAGTTTTTTCCGGATATCTCGGAAAATGTTCAGAAATTTTCAAATGTCAAAGTAGCATTTTATTGAGCGTTAAATTATGCAACTTTTCCCTAATCTAACCAACATTGTAATTCCAACCGTTCTCCAGATCCCAATGCTATTCCATCCTTATCTTGAACACACTGTATATCACTCACCTAATTCATCTCATGCGGATTTTATAAATTCTTTGGAAGAAAAGTTTGAAGAATTGTTACTACAAGGGTGTGTCATAATCATTTTAGGAGATTTTAACATCAGCCAACTTGTAACTGAATACACAAGAGTTACCCAGTCTTCACTAACACTTATGGATTATTTGGTCACTCTATCTAGTATTTTGATACATATGCCAATTAAGTTGAATTTTAACAAATTAAATCAAAAAAAGAAATTTTATTTATTTTAATAAAATTGAATTTTAGTTTACAGTATTAGAATCGCAATAGGCCACAGTTGGTTATGATGTAAACAAAGTGGCCGAATCCTTCGTGACTAACCTGGTAAAAGCTTTAGATATCCATGCTCCATTTAAAGAAACAAAAAATTTTAACAGTATAAAGTTGCAAAAAATTCAAAGAAAGAAGTCTGGGCACAATACAAAATCATTAGAAATCAAGTGACGACAAGAATTAGGAATGAGACGAGACATTATTGTGAAGAAAAAAATTGATCAGAATAGAGGTGATTCTAAAAGCATGTGGAAAACGCTTAAAGAATTAATAAATGGTAAATCAAACATAGTGCCACAGGCAATCCAATTCGAAGATGGAATACATAGTTCAAATAAGTTAATTGCAAGCTCTTTTAACTATTACTTTGTAAATAGCATTAATAATATTTTAGAAACTATTAAACCTACTCAAGATTTTGTGGAAATTGTTAGAGAAACACCCTTTACGGGGCAACAACTTTCACAGTTTAGAAAAATTGGTCATTAAAAATCTAAAAGAAAACAATTCAGATAAACTTGGAAGCAATCTAAACATTTTGGAACTTACAAATGAGATAGCAGGAAACCGTTTACTAAATCTAATTAATAAATCATGTGAAACGGGAGAGTTTCCGAAAGTTGGAAAGTATCGGCAGTGGTCCCTTTTCAAAAAATATCCAATACAACAAATTGCACTGATTTTCATCCAGTGAATACGCATCCAATATATGAAAGTTTTGGAATTAGTAGTTAATGAACAACTTACAAACCATATGGAGGATTCAGGAAAGAGCATTCCTGCGAAACAGCCCTGCAAATTATTTCACAATGGGAACATGGAGTGACCAACAAAAAGAAAATTATTATATCTGTATTCTTGGATCTAAGACGAGCTTTTGAAACAATTAACATAGAATTATTGTTTTAAAAACTAAATGCATATGGAGTGAGAGGGAAAGTGTAGAATGGTTTAGAGATTACCGGGGAGATAGATTACGTAAAAAAAAAGAAGACAGTATGTAAAATATAACGAATAACTGATACTTTAGATGCAGGGAAGTGCATTGGGACCAATTTTGTTTTAGTTATTTATTAATGACATTATCAAACAAGCAAAAAGGTGTAAGATAATTAATTATTTGCTGACGATACTATGATTTACATTATAGGAGAAGCAAAAGACATGAAACAGATGATAATAATATACTTTAATTTTAATTTAATAATGGCCTTAAACTTAACACTGGGAAAACTAAATGCATAATTCTGGGAAGCAAAAACAATATGGGTAATGGTGATATAGAGTACAGAATCGAAATTAATGGAGGACAAATAGAAAAAGTGAAACATATTTGGTATATACAAGTATTTGGGTTTCTTCATTATTGATCATGAACTTGATTTTAATTCACACTGCCAATATATTGAAAAGAAAATGGCTGAAAAGATGTTTGTTACTGTTTAGAATAAGGAATAAAGTGTATGTTTGCTAGACTAACCATCTATAAAACAACAGTAGCGCCACATTTAGATTATTGTGGAACATTCATTTGCTTCATGGTGCAGAACCAAATAAACATTTTGCAAAAAATACAGAATAGAGCTAGTAGAGCCATCATATTGTGTAAAAAACCAACTCCTATAAACATGATGTTGGAAACATTAAACTTTCTTAACGTCTCACAGTGAGGTGCATTTAATGTGCTAAAATTTGTCTTTCGTTTGAGAGTACGCATTTTGCCTAAGTATTCGACTGACGAAATTAAATATATTCATGACATACACTGCCTAAACACAAGAGCACAATCAATGAACAATGTTTACATTTATTACGCAAATGCTGCAAGTAAAATTATATTCACTGAATCGCTGAGGGATTAAAATTATTCAAGTCGTTACCAAAAGAAACTCTGAACTGATAGAGTATTTTAAAAAACTTTGCTTTAACTTTGTAAGGACCCATGTATGGTGAAAATTTATATAGGAAAAAGTAAGTGAGTTTATTTTGTGTTTTGTGAAAACTCGCTAAATGAGTATTCTATTAGAGATTTTATCATTGAAGATTTTTTTTTTTGTATTTCATATTTTTTATTTTACTATGAAGTTTGCTCTGATTGGTTTGTGATTTCTGTGCGAACAGACCTATAGATTGGTTCTAGGGTAGGCCAAATAAAAAATGTTTTTATTTCTCAAATTTATTCGGTTAACAGTAAAGGGCAGCTGTTTTAAAATACCTGGGCAGTTTATATTATTGGTCAACACCCCATATTATTGTTCATACAAATATTTTTTTAAGCGTGCACGCACACTGCAAATAATTATTTAAGGAGCACTAAATTCTCACTATCTACGAAAATGTCTCCCATTTCCACAGAACATATGAAAATGCTCAAGCAAATACTCATCTATACCAAACTAGATTTGGAATCAATCTTAATTTGCCGCGTTCTTATAATGAACTTGACTTAATAACCTTGTTACTTGTGGGCAAGAGTTGGTTCATTGCTATTCCACAAAATGTTAGGGATTTTAATCACAAGTTAAAGAATAGTGTAAGGAAAGCTTTTTTAATGGAGAAGTTGTCTGTTTAAACTCCGAGTTGCGCTGCAGCCGGAGGCTAATTGTGCTGAATCTTCCTGTTTACTGCACCCATTTCAGGCAATACACGAAGTAGGTCTGTTGGATGTTTGCCGTATGTGTCTGGATCAGTTCATCTTCTACAAATATATTTTGTCTTCTCTGGGTTAGTGCATCGCATAATCTTTAGCTCGTGTTTCCGTTGTACAAGCCCATTGTTTGTAGGTGCTTCTTTACTGGAGCATGCTCAGTAAGAAAGCCGGTTGCTACTCTCAAGTTGATTCCTGCTTAGTTGTAGCAGTCTTTTTGCTCTTTTGCTGCATGTCTCATGTATGAAGATTTTCCCATGTGCGTGCTGGGGTATTTGCTTCCAATATTTTGCTTTGATCCACCCCTTCAGCTACTTTCTTACGGTGCCTTTGGGCACTCCGAGAGCTGGTTCGGAACTAAGATATTCTGGGGATGACCCCCTGCCCCTGCGTGCAAGTTCGTCAGCCTTTCCGTTGCCCAAGATACCTTCATGTCCTGGCACCCACATCAATGGTCCGTCAAGTTGTTGAGTTCTCGAGATTCTATTACGACTATTCTTGCGAATTGTAGTATTGCATATACCTCTGCCTGAAAAACAGATGTATGTGACCCTAGAGAAAAGAAGGTCTCGCATCTTCTTTCTTGACTGTAGATTTCTGCGCCTGTGCCAAAGGAAAGCCTTGCTAGCCTCAGCCAATTATTCTTTTGATGAGTTTATGGAAAATTTCAACGTGCAGCTGTTTACTCTTCTTTAGATCATGTTTTTGTCTGTTGGTTGATTTTTTAATTGGCTAAATGATTATTGTTCTTAATTGTTTTTAATGTTTTTTGCTATTATTTTTATTTTTAATAATATGACATGAATTTGAAGAGAAAATCAATCAATAAATTGAATTGAATATATTACATATTTTGTCATACAGTTGCAGTTGCCGATTTATGAAGAGGACCCGTCCCAAGTGAGATTTGCCGGTCCGATACCGCCTCCAGCTAAGCTGCCTCCGAAATGGAGATGCGCCAAGGACAAATACGGTCGTCCCTATTATTATCATCTGGTAATCAGGAAGAGTCAGTGGGAACCACCGCCATTGCCCGAAATAAAACCCGAACCAGAATGTGAGTGGACAAATAATCAAGAATAAATTGTATATTTACGTGTTTTTAATTTGTCAGTAGTATCAGCATCTGAATCCTCTGATTCTGATTCGAGTAGCACTACTTTGTCAGATTCAAGTGACGATTCTGATACGGACGACGAAGACGATGCCAAATTGTTGGTGCAAGTGAAGAAGCAAATCAGTATGAAGTCGGTTTTGCCAGATCGCGTTAAGAAAGAAGTGGCATGGGAATCGGAGTCTGTTACACCTAGTCCTGACATTAAGGTAAGAGTCCATAATTTTACTGAAAATCCACCTCCAACCAATAATAATTAATTATTTCAGCTTGAATCTGACAACGACGAAATTCCAGCAAAGCTTCTATCATCGATAGATCAAAGACTGAAAGAGCAATTTAGCTTGGACGATCAAGGTCCACCGAAAAAGAAACGACGAGAAGGACTGTGCCAAGAAATAATAATCAGTGTAAGTTAAATGTTAATGTTTGATACTTATAAAACTATAGAAAAATATTTCCAGCCTCGGACCGAAGAAGATCGCAAACACTACAAAGAAAACATGAAAAAATACAAAGCGACCAAAGAAAAACTCAAACGCCAAAAAGAACAAATGTTGCTGCAAGCAAAGAAAAAGGCCAGATTGAGCATGGACGTGGACGATGTTAAAAAGTTAAGGGAAAAACGCTCCACTAAAACTTCCCCTAATAGATCACGGCACAGAGAAACAAAAGCAATGGAAGACGAACACGCTAAAAAAATTAAGGAAACTTTTAGACTGAATATGGCCAACACCGTAGTGAGTTGTTTGAACGTTCACAAGAAACCCGAGTGCAAAGACGCCAAGATTACTTCTACAGACGATTTCAAACACTTGGCCAGAAAGGTGAGAATTATTTTGCCTGAATTCAACTCTTATTTAACTGAATTTTTGTTTTCAGTTGACCCATCACGTAATGGTCAAAGAGATAAAACACCTTGCAACAATAGACGATCTGGTTTGTAATGACAATGTGAAATCTAAAGCCAGGGAGTTTATTAAAAAATACATGAGCAAATTTGGGGAGGTTTATTACAGGAGGCCCGACGAGCCTGATTTTATAGATTGATAATTTTTGGTTTAAAATTTGTTTTAATTTTTAGTTTGTTTGCATTTTGAGTTTCATTAGTGTTTTGCTGTGAGAAGGTTTTATAAAATATATTTTGAAAATAAGTTCAACTATATAATAAGAATAACACACGCCATTTTAAACATTTTATCAGATATTTTATAAAAACCAGGCACAGTGTGAGGCTATGAGTATGAATTGCATAGTTATGTTTTATTTTTCTATGAAATTAGAAATATGTATAAATATTTGATACCTAAATATTCTATTTAGGGTCATTCAGTTTATTTTCATTTTGAGTTTAGTGATAATTATTTGTTTGCAATTTTCTTACATGATTGCAAATTTTCTTCAAAGAATGGAACTTTGTGAAAGAAAAAACATAATTTTAATTAGTCAGATCACCTTTTAAGGTCTTAAAAATGTCAACATTGTGAAAATTTTATCGAATAAATAAATGAATAAATTTCAGTTGTGTTTTGCTGCGAAAAGAAAATTATATTCCAAAAATAAATTCCACTGTACCATGTCTCCCACTAAGGTTGGCAAGATATGCCGTAAGGTATACGGTTTCCATAATATCGTACCTCGCCCACCTTAGTGGGACACCTTGTACAAAAGTGTGGTTCACACGAGTTAACTATCTCGATAGGCCAACTTTGTTTTTAAAAAATATTTATTTAAGTTTATTACAAAAGCACTTAAAAATACTGACTAATTCTAACAATGCAATTCTAATTATTTTATAAGATTAACTATGTGGGGTCAGCATGTCGTCTCAGCTTGTTTAGCTGTTTGGTGGTAACATAACTAGCGTTTATTCATGAAATTTCATAATCGACAAACTTTCAATGGTTTTATTAGTAATGGGGGAATAAATTTTTTGTTACATCTCCATGAACTCCATGACAACTTGTTTCATAAAAATATCATTCTTTTAATAATTTGGATTTGAGTACCTACAATGGCGGAACATAATAATTACTCCAATACAAGATTAATGAATTTATATTTAAATATCCATGATCAATGATTATGCAATTCCATGAATAAAAGCTGATAAATCGAAAGATGAAGAATTAGGTATTGGCAAAACATACATACTTCGTTGACCAGTCAGAAACAACTACTCCGAGGGCAAATACCCCTACCGGCGTTGAATTACACTGATTGGTCTGAGCTTTTGTTGGCAATGAAAATTGTTAGAAAGTTTTTACAGGTAATGACCAACGTGAATTCAGGGACACAACGGTCTTTGTTTGGGAATCGACACACTGAGCAATGGACTCAGACTTCCTGTGCCAATCCTTGACGCGTTTCGTCCTTGTTAGGACTCATCAGAAGGACATAGGCTGAAGCTCCCTGTCCAAGCAAAATTGACACGTTGGTCATTACCTGTAAATTTTTTTTAACAATTTTCATTGCCAACGAAAGCTCAGACCAATCAGTGTAGTTCAACGCCGGTAGGGGTATTTGCCCTCGGAGTAGTTGTTTCTGACTGCTCAACTAAGTTCAATTTTGCTTGGACAGGGAGCTTCAGCCTATGTCCTTCTGATGAGTCCTAACAAGGACGAAACGCGTCAAAGATTGGCACGGGAAGCCTGAGTCCACTACTCAGTGGGTCGATTCCCAAACAGGGACCGTTGTCTCCCTGAATTCACGTTGGTCATTACCTGTAAAAACTTTCTAACAAAACATACATAGTCTGAAATCTAGTTTTATCAGCTTTTCGAATCCGTATATATACAGGGTGTTCCATTTTGAAAAAATAATTTTTCTGGCATTTTTGTGAGTTCAATCAATCAATCAATCAATATGCTTTATTGTCGTAAAAATACAATTGATCTTCATAGACAAAGCAAAGTATAGGGCTTTAAAACAAAATAAAATAAAATATAAAGACATATAAAATCACAACATTTAAATACAAAAATTTTACAAATAAAATCAAAAGAAAATACAAACAATAGAAACATACTTAAGCAAAATACACTTTGGCCTAACAAAATCTTAACTTATATATAAATACCCGGTTTATTTTTATAACCTGTCATCAAAATATTCATCCAAGGAATAATAGGCTTTATCAACCAGCAACGCTTTTACCGTTCTTCTAAAAGTCTGTATATTATGTAGTCTTCTACAGTCAGATGGCAATTTATTGAAAATCTTAATGCTGTCATAAATCAGGGATTGCTTTGTAAGGCTGGATCTTGGAATTGGGAGGGGAATATTTTCCTGGTTCCTAAAGTTATAGCTCGGGGCAAAGATTACATCCCTGAATTTTTTAAAAATTAAGCAAACTGTTTCCAATATAAAAATGCATGTGACAGTTAAAATCTGATGTTTCAAAAATAGGGGCTTGCAATGTTCTCTTACATCAGCCCCACATAAGTATCTTATTGCCCTCTTCTGCAAAACAAATACCGAATCCAAAAGGGTTCTGTTACAGCAACCCCAGAATGCCACTCCATAACGCAAAAACGACTCAATCAAAGCAAAATATGTTGTCCTGGCCATTCTGAATCCCAACGCAGAAACTGTTTGACGCACGGCAAAACACCCCGAGGCTAGTTTCCTATTTAAATTTGTTATGTGCTCACTAAACTTTAGTCTATCATCAATATAGATTCCCAGAAATTTTGCAGTATGAGAACCCCTTATTACCTTGTCACCAAGGGGAATGTCACTAATGGATAGCTTGAAACTTAAAACCTTTGTTTTTTCTATGTTAAAACAGAGAAAGTTGCTATTGCACCACTCTTTAATCTTGCCCATATCCTCAGAAATAATCTGTTTTAAAACCTCTGGGTCTTTATGATGCCATAAAACGACACCACTCGTCAGCAAAGATAGTAAAAAACCTTGTATATTAGTTCTAATTAAATCGTTGATGTATAAAAGAAAAATAACTGGGCCAAGCACCGAACCCTGTGGAACCCCATGATTTATTGGTCTCGGATCTGAGGCCTGGCACCCATTCCTGACCATTTGCTTCCTCCAACCAAAATATGATCTAAAAAACCTCAGCACACTACCTCTAAAGCCATACATATGTAGTTTTTTAACAGCAATTCATGGTTAATGCAGTCAAAGGCTTTAGAGAAGTCGCAAAAAACGGCCGCGGCATATTCCCGATCATTCAGTTTGAAATAAAGCTCCTCTAAAAAAGAAAAGACAGCGTCATTTGTACCCGTACCTTCTTGAAAGCCAAACTGAAATTTGTTCAAAATTTTATGTTTATCTAGAAATTGCAGCAGTTACTGACAAAAATTAATTTCTGGGCCATCCTGTATACTTGAACTAAGATGTGAGCAAAAGAAATGCCTACAGGCAGTTCAGGAATAACCTAAATTTCAGCTCAAAATTGTTTTATAGTCCTGTTTCATTAAACAGAAAAAAATTAAATTAATTTATTCTCGAAAAACTGTGACAGATAGGTAGGTATAGGGAAGTATTAGGAAAAGTTCCTCAAGAAAATATGCAGAATTTAAATATATACAGGGTGTTCCATTTAAAATAGCGATGTTGCCACTGGTTTAGAGTAAAAGCGGTAATACCGCATAGTCAAAATATTTCCAAGTGTAGATCATGATCGTTTATCCCGGTTGCCAAATGTTCAAAATAATCCACTTTTTAGGTCTCCGTAAACGTCTAATACACTATCCACTGTAAGACACCCGTATACAAATTAGCTTATCACCTTACTTTGTCATTGTAATAACTTGAATTTTTGTGGGCAAATTGGTTTTGAAAAAACATCAACAATTAAGAGTCACTTATAAATTCAGTCCATTCATCTAAAATGAGGTTATCTTAAGTATAAGTTACTTATCTGTGGCTTAGAGGTAGAGCTATTCAAATTTGGATTAAAAACCATCAGGGTTTCTAAATATCAATCAGTACTACATTGGATAAACATTTTTTAAAAAAAGTTTATTTATGAAATTATACAGTGTAATTGTCAATGTTATTCAAAAAATGGATCTTTGTGAAAGAAAAAACATAATTATTCATTAACTTTATGTACAATTTTCAATGTTAACACCTAATCTTGATGCAGTATGGTTTCATTCTAAATTTTCATTAAAAAAATATAATAGGCAAGAAAAACTCTTCAAGGGCTAGAACTGCCACAGTCAAAGTTACAACTAAATCTTCATCTTGAAACAATAATCTATTTCCATTTAGCAAAAATAATTCTTCATTACCACTTTACAAACTTAATTGCAAAATCAAAATATTTTTAAAAAAAAATACTCCCAAAGAACTATGGCACATTAAATATTACCCGCCAAATAGTTAGTGACTAGTTAAAAATTATAAAACATGTGCAGAGTAGACGTGAACACTAACTAAAAATAAAATAAATACCTAAAAAATACAATTATTTTAGCTTTCTAAATTAAATGTTACAGTTTTACAATTTTTTCCATTATTATTTAACAAAGCAGTTTCAAACTTCTGCAAAGTCATGTTCAGTTTCGCATACAAAAGGCACAAATTATTTTCATTGTCATCGGGCTTCAGGTTGTCTAAAAGTTGATAAATCTGATTCAGTGAAGACACCATTTCCGATTTTGTTAGCCGTTTTTCCGAATGATTGTCAGTCCACTTTAATGTGCCCAAAAAATCACTAATCTTATTATTTGCTTGGAGTTTTAAATTTTTCAAAGGCAACAAGGTGTGTTTTCCATTAACATTGTCTACTATTTTTAGTGTTTCTGAATTATAGGTACAAATAAGTCCGTTTTCACTGCACCACTCTTTGACGTCTTCAACCCAACTATTACAAACATTATTTTCTTTTTGGCTTGTCAAAACATCTTCAAGCTCTTCTAAAAAGTTTGTCCTATAAGGTGACAAACAAACATCTTCACTCACATTATTCAAAAGTCGAACTTTTGACTCAAGCTCTGCCTTATATTTTTCAGCTTCAGCCAATTCTTTCAATTGAGTCTCTCTGCTCTCCATAAAACGTTGTTTCCACATTTGCTGGGCTTCTAATAATTTGTTTTCAGACATTGAAAGTTTCGTTTTGATGTCCTCCATTTCAATGTTGCTACTATTGCTGTCGTTGAAACTAATAGAGTGAGAACAACTGCTACGTCTCTCATAATCTTGTCTAAGAGCTCTAAGTCTTTCCACTTCGGATCTTAGTTCTCTTATCAGTCGATCATGAGGGCTTTCGTTTATTCTCGCTCTATTCACAATTGTACGAGCTTGGCATGCATATCTTAAAGTTGATAAGGTTTCTTCTAGGTGAGTGCTTGATGGTGAAATTGTTGCTAACATTGATGTTAAGGAGTTTCCACCTAGGCTTTCCTACAAAGACAACAATTATAGCTTTTTGACTAAATTTGCAAAAAACTTACCCTTAAAAGCCATGTTAAAACAGACTCCCTATAAGGTATAAAATTATTCTTCTTCTGTTCAGCCAAAGCTGAAATACATTTCCCAAGCGTCAAAAGAGACTTGTTAATGTAAACTCCTTGCTTCATCCTGTCTTCTTTATTATTCGTTGAACCTAATCTTTCACTACCTGCTAAATCAACTAAACTAACTTTACTCCTTTTACTATTATCCGTATCATTTAAAGTTTTTGATTGGCCAATTTCTATTGTAAATATACTGTGAGATCTCGAGGAAAATTCGTTCATTGCCGTACTGGCAACTGCTCTGTTTTTATTCCCAACTATTAAAAAGTTTCTTAGCTCGTTATAAGAATTAACTGTGTGTGTAGTTAGATCTACAATATAAGGCCCCAAAGTTGGATGTTCACGGACCTTTAAGGCAATGCGCGGAGCAGTTTGTGTTTGACTGGCTAACAAATCGTGTATTTTTTCATTGTATATCTCAAAATAACTTACTTCGATGCTCACAGTACACTCTTTCCGAAGATCTGAAGTTCTTTTGAACAATTCTCTGCAAAATCTTGGTATTATACCAGAAAAATCTTCAGAGTCAATATCATTGAGTTCACACATATTTTTGCCCATCATGCTGTAGCTTTTTCCAGAGCCAGTTTGGCCGTAAGCAAAAAGACAAGCGTTAAATCCTTTGAAGGCACTGTTTAACAGTGGAACTCCAAGGGTTACAAAAACATCTTCTTGTTTCGAATAAAATGGGTTTGTTTCATCAACTGACCAAAAAACATAATCATAATTGAATGTATGATCCACACAAACGGTTTGATGATTATTTTTTGGGAGACAAACAATTATTTGCTTGTCTTTGACTCGGATGATATCTTCTGAGCCTACAATGGTAAGTTCCGAAATGTTTCTCGGTCTAATTCTTACAGCCACTCGTAAATTACACTCTTCGTCGCATTTTTCTTTGTCCCTTTTTGTGCTGGACTTTGGAGTTTCCAGTAAAACTTTTGAAAAACATTCCGGGGTGCCGAATGCTGGTTGCGCACCTCTCACTGTTTTCGGTGTTGAATACTGACCCGGCGTTGTAATATTCGGTAAAACACGTTTTCTGGGGGTATAACTTTTAAGCGGTGATAAGGACATTTTGGAAATTGGTTTTTGAAATCTTTGGGAAAGAATAAAAATTATATTTTAGTAGTCATAATTCGAAATGAAAATGTTTGGATGTTTTCAAAAGAAAAAGCAGTTGAAAATAAAAATTGCCAAATTGACAGATGACAGGACAGATGTTTGTTCTTCGTTGAAATGACGTGACTGCGTTCAGTAGCTAAGTTCGGAATGGTAGAAAGTGTCGACACTTTTTACACTATTGACACTGTGGCGTTCGTTAATTGGTAGGAGCAAGTTTTGTGTACACTTTATTTGCCTTTGGAAATGATTTGGTGTCCAAATGGTGTAAAGATGGTGGGACACCATTTACTCCGTTACAAAGTGATGGTGTATTTGGTGTTACACCGCCAATTACACCTTCATCACGTGATACAACACTGCACTACACGAACACCGCACTAGCACTACACTAAAATCCCAATCCGAACTCAACTAGTATTGTGATCCGAGTTCTCCGAGCTTGAATTTACCGTTTCAGAGGGAACCGGACCGGAACGATATTGAACCGAAACGAAACCCATATTTCATAGAAATGTTGTAAGTCAGGCAGTACCGGAACCGATATAAATTAACCGGTTCTTAGCGGTATTTTTCAGTTTCAAGATTTCATAAATTAGAGCAATTAGGCTGATTGCTGTTTGGTCGTATTGTAATAAATGTGACACTATACGCGGGTATTATAAAACTGCTTTGACAGTTAACTTGAAGTTAACTTTTTGAATTACATGTAATTCCAGAAGTTAACTTTAAGTTAACTCTCAAAGTAGTTTTATAATACCCGCCGTTAATAATATAATAGCGTTTTCCATTTGTCGAATCAGGCCAAAAAAAATGTATCCCTATCCTTACATGTTACATGCTTTTAGAAAAAGATGCGGATACACTCAGTGCGGCACTGATGACAAATGGAAATCGCCATAAGTAAAACGCGTGTCAACTGTCAAAATTTTTATCTTTATGCTCTCGGAGCTATGTTCCACTATTAGCATAGCAGCTAATAGTAGTGACGTCACCCGCAGGCCTCAAAGTTGTTGCAGATAGACTGAGAAATCCAAAAAATAAACCAGAAATTACAGTAACATGAATTTTTCTGTACATATATGTAAAAAACTATACCGGTATGAACCATTAAAACCGAAATTATTGGTCAGAACCGAATCGAAATATTTCTCTTAGAACCGGAACCGATATTTTTCATGAGCGCTCTGATACTGCTCAGTCGTCTCCGAATTGACATCGAGAAAAACACGCGATCGAAAAGAATCAAACACACCAACACGGTTTTTAGTTTCTATAACTTAACCTTGTTTTTAGGAATCGCGGCCATATTGTGTAGCACCATTGACGACGTCATCAACTACGTCGTCAGATTACAGCTTTTCGTTCGTGGTTCAAACAAACTGGTTCAGAATGGCTTGCAATTTGGGAGTGCAGGGCAATAAAATTATTCGGGTTGAATTTGGTTATGGTCATGAGAGACAAATCAATCAAATCAGACAAATACTTATCGTCCATCTCTTTTAATTGAAAACGTCAATTATCACGTTCGACACCGAGACAAGCTCCGGCAGCGCTGACAGAGCAGAAATTCTAGTTTGTATTCGGTCGGGATGTTGACATACGCGATCTGCGTTTGATTTCGTTTGAAGCAAAATACTTCATACGTTAGATAGTATGTAGAGTTTATTACTGAAATTTGTTATAACCGAGCTGTTGATAGTAGTTACATCAACCGCAGACCTGCTGTCGATACGAAAACTAGCGAACGTACGCCTTATTATTAATTAAGCTCCGTATGGACCTGATTATTACGCCGAACAACGAATGAAAAACAAAGGACGGGGTGACGGGGCTACGAACGCGTTTACAAACCGGTTCGCTAATCCTGGCTGACTCTTGAAAGGAATACAACTAAAGTCTAAAGTGTTTTTTTTTTAAAGATAAAAGTCAAATTGACATTATGTTGGCAATACAATGTAAAATTGTCAATGCTTTTAAGTAGAAAAGGCTTGTGTTGGAAACATAGTTACTAAATTTTTAACTTTATGTCCGATTGCACCATCTCTCTTAACTGAGGCTTAACGATAACTATCCCTTAAATTGACAGTTTTGCATGGGAAAATGTCACTTTATTAAGGAATAGTTATCTCTAAGCCTCGGTTAAGAGAGACGGTGCGTTAGAGAATTATCTTTAAAAAAAAAAACAGTCTTTATGTGTAGGGATGGTCTAAATAACTACATCGTAGTTGTATTTTCTTTATTAATTAAATCTTTAATAACTAATTTCACAAAATTCTAAAAGGTTTCTAACGTGTTGTTGCTCATCGACATACAGTGTTGTCGAACGTCAAAATACTAAATCGGGAGAAACTAACGTTGAAAATCGGTAGATTACTGGGCAAAATCGGTAGGTATACCACAAGGATAATAAACACTACTAAGGATTGCTTATCGGCCTTGCCTTCGGTAATCGCGGCCATATTGGTGTATCATCATCGCCGACGTCATTAACTAAATCGTCAGCTGTTTGCGCCAGCGGTCCTAGTTCAGAACTTAAATTTATGATGAAAAATATCAATTAATTTTGGTTAACATAATAGGTAAAGAGGAATGATGCAAACGAGATCTAAACAGGAGTTGTTAATTATTAATGTAGTAAGACCAAGTATGCATAAGGCAAAAGACCGCGGAATCATAACCTGTGATGCAAACAGCCTACGTCAAGGCGAGAAATGAGAAACGACTTGCTGCCTACGTCATAACTGGTGATTTGGTGTAGTGAGGGACTTCAGTTTGTTCTACATAGGTCTTATGAGGATAGGCTATCCTGTAGTAGTAGTGTGTATATAAAATAAAGACTAAAATCCAGCCGTGTTTTCCTTTTAGTTTTTTATTTCGTTTAGTATGTAAAAGCCCAGTGATTGACGATTGTTTCCGTGGAAAGTCTATTTCTTTCTGATGTTTTCATTCGATTTATTACTGAGAATGTGCGCTCAACATTGGCGGAAGAATGAAGTGGGGTAATGACAAAATATTGAAAACAAATTCGGATTAGGGATAACAAACTATCGATAGGAATATCGATACTATCGATAGTTTTTTAATTTTCGTTAGTATCGATAGACCTGTACCAATATCGATAGTTCCAATGTAGCCAAAGGTAAATGAAAACATCTGTGTATTGAGGGAATTATAAAGAAATCTGTAGTTATTTTGAGAAATCTGTAATTATTTTTGGGGATAGACATGCTGTGCTGCCAATTTTTCGGTTAGGAGGAGTGACGAGTGACTTTGATGGACTTGATGGAGGTTGGAGGTTAATGTTTATCGTAATTAATTACAAATTTAGTTACTTTGGTCAGAGCAAACTATCGATAGTACAATCGATAGTTACTATCGATGGGTAGGCTATTCTATCGATATCACTATCGATAGCTTTTTTTTCGATAGTTTGTCAACCCTAATTCGGATATCACAGGACCCACGGGTATTCCCCGAAATAAATGCACTGATACCAACCATTGCTAACAAATTTGTCGTCGGAGGGTCTATTTGACACCTGACAGTTCTGACACGAACAAACAATTCGATAGTAGATCGGGTGCGGTTATCGATAGTAGATCGGGTGCGGTTATCGATTGAAAAATCGGCGAAAACAAAACCGATAAAATTGATTTTTTGGCAAAAAACGGTAAAAAAATCGGTAGAATCGCAATTATTGTCGAAAATCGGTAAAAATTCATCAGTACTCGGTTTTTCGGTAGGTCCGTTGCCATTTCGGTAGAAATACCGAAATTTCGGTAGCTTCGACAACACTGTCGACATAAGACATAAAGATCTAACTTAACCTCAAATTCGAATCAAGGATATTACACACTTCTTCGCCGCTAACTACTCAACATCCACGTCATCACTTCAATTAAAATTACCATAATTGAGCGCGAAATTCAAATTTTAAAATTTAAATTCCTACAATTGATGTCAAATGGTGTGCCCTCGTTTGGAATATATTGGCTGAGTTCGGATTTGCACCCTATGGCGCGGAACGGTATGAACCAAGGATGATATACACTACTACTACAGGGTAGCCTATCCTCCTAAGGCCTGTGTGCTGTGTGGAACTGTGGAACAAATCCCTCCCTCCCCACCACCCCAAATTACCAGTTGTGACGTAGGCAGCATGTTATTTCTCACCTTGACGCAGGCTGTTTGAACAGCTTACGACTAAGTTATGACGTCAGAAACGGTGACACACCAATATGGCGGCGATTATCAAAAACGAGGCCGATAAGCAATTACTGTATTCCTTTTACCCCTTGAGTTACTCGGAGCTCAATGTCAAAAGCTTGAACGTTCCGCACTCGAGTCGCTCATAGTGCATCCCCCTTTCCCCTTATGCACCAAATTTGCGGGGAGTGCAAGAAGCCCTTTTAGGTAATGACGCCTGAAGGTAATGTTAATATTAAAAAATAATGGTGAAATCTGAATTGTGTGTTTTTGAGTGACTCCGAGGAGCTTATTCGGTGTAACTCGATGTATAAAAGGAATAAAGTAAATCCTGTATGTGTGTATCCTCCTTGGTATGAGCAAGGATATCGTGACGCCATACGCGGTCATAAGCCTATCGCAAAAGAGAACACTCTGAGAGCTAAAATAAACAGAATCTTATGGTCTCGAGCGCGCTCAGAGTTTACAGAGTGTAAAGCCGAACTCAGTCATTATAATCGCCCTCGGAGCACTCCCGCAGAGATCTGTGACGTCATCGCCTTTATAGGAAGCGCTCTGGGACTAGGAGCAGTAGCCGAAGATGGTGGCGTTCATCAGGACGTAGCCCTACTGCAGCGATCAAATTAGGATGGAAGAAATGACGACCGGTTGAGGACGGGACCTTGCATGGATAATTAATACACACTACTACTATAGGATAGCTTATACTCATAAGGCCCGTGTAGTTCAAATCTCAGCCCCCCCCCCCCAATGCCAAAGCATCAGTAGTGACGTGGCAGCGAGTTGTTTCTCGCCTTGACGTAGGGTGCTTGCACCACAGGTTACGATTCCGTTTTATGCATACTTCGTTCTAGTACATTAACTAAAATTCAAAAATAACGGTTTTTTAGATCTCGCTGCCTATTATTTTAATTAAAATATATAATATTTTTCATCATAAATGTTTATTCTAAGCTACGGCAGCTGGCGCAAACAGTTGGTGACGCACTTGTAACGTCATCGATGGTGCTACACAATATGGTCGTGCTTCCCAAAAACGAGGCCTATAAACAATCCTGTTTAGTGGTGTGTATTATTCTTGATGCAAGCGACAACTACCTAGTATTTGTGACGTCAGCCGCAGACCTCAACTCTTGGCGCAAGATGTATTATCGGAGTTTATAGGTCTTTAAACAAAACCTATAAAAAGTTAAAATCACAAAAATTGACGAAAAAAAAAAACAACTCAGAAACACAGCCTGAATAGCACGCATTCCATTGAGGTCTGCGGGTGATGTCACCGCGATAAGCTGCTGATAGTGATGACGTCATCCGCAGACCTGTTGACCACTGAGGCGAACGTACGCCTTATTAGGACGAGCAATCTTGTTTGGTGGAGTGTTCTCGGTATTCAACTACCCTGCATTCGCTCATAATACCGTGGAAGGCAGTTTCACTTTAAAATGGACAGGCATAGTCACGTCCAATGGAACTTGCTACCGTCCCTGCTCTATCTAACAGAGTAATTGGACTGTCAGGCTACGGAACTGTTCCCGAGCAAATTACGGGATTTTTCTCATCAAATTTTACCGATGGATCCACCATTCTATGTCGGTCATTGTCATTTTCCATTCACTAAACAAAGATAGCTATCTCATCGGTGAAGTCACCGATGAGAATAAAAACGAGGGGTACTTCAAATTGACGTCAGATAAATTCGAAAGCAGTTTTCATTTGTACCGGCTTCTATAAGAAATATTACCACGCAACTCTTCTGCTTTTAAGGATGAAAATCTGACGTTAGAGCGATCAGTGGTTAGAGCCAGTCTAGCAGATACTTTTGGAGCAAGGCTCTTGAAGTTAATAGGTTGCCTGATAATGGATGAGTAACTTGATGGCGCATCTGGGGAGTTTTATGGAAATTTGCACTATGTTGAGAAACCCCAGATGACGTCATAGAATTATTAGGCAACCTACCTCTCTCAAACAACCTTGCTTTTGGAGCAGCTTCATTTTTCCATTGGCGAATTCGATAAAAGTTCCGCACCAGTATGACGGCACCCACACTGATTCAGTTCAGGTCAATCTACATGCCCTGGTTCAACACCACCAAGTTATTTGACCTTGGAAAGTTGTGCTTGGAGGTTGAGAATAATTTAAACATCTGAGGTCAAGTTTTATTATGGTTTTTGTTGGTGTTCTTTAGATTTCTGGTGATTTTTCAATGGATGATTTATAGGAAACTTAACATGTACCAAGTATAATACACACTACTAAGGATTGCTCATCGGCACCGTTTTTGGTAATTGCGGTCATATGGTGTAGCACTCAAGATCATAGCACCATGTCAACGTCATTAGAAAGTTCTCGTGCATCAGACCAGACGCTACGCTAATACGGTACCGCTAACAATACGGTATTTCACATGATATTTTTAGTTCTCGGGCACGAACCACATTTTGACAGCTGAGGTGTTGAGTAATCTAACCCCACTTTTTTTGCTTGTTTTATAACTTTTATTTATTCTTGAGCTTGATTAATTTTCCCTTGGTGTTTTTTATGGAGGAATTATTAGAAGTTGCTGTTTTTGCAGACATAAATGTAGCGTAAACTAGTTTTGACATAGCATAGCGTTACGGTAAGGCATCCGGTAAGTTCCGTTAATACTTGTCAAATAGCGTTACGGTTTTTGAAATTTGGACGGCACGAGAACTCTCTATTAACCAACCGTGCGTTCGGTATTTTGATCTGAGTTCTCCGAGCATAAATTTACCGTTCGTTTATTTGAAAAGTGTACTCGATGCAGGCTCATTCACGTTTGTTTATTAAAATTTTGAGCTCTCTGATACAGCGTTTAACTGCTCTGTGCGCTCGCTGATCACGTGATTACGGCTCCGCTCTGCACGCTATGCTCTTTGAGCAAAATACCGAACGTAAGGTAAGTCGTCAGCTGTTTGCGCCAGCGGTCGTAGCTTAGAATTTAAAATTTATGATAAAAATTTAATTTAGTACAGTAGGCACAGCGGACGATGCAAGCGAAATCTAAAAAAGACTTGTTTTAGAATTGAAACCGAATTTTCGCGGCGAATGTAGTTCATCCAAGGAGGAACCACGTCCAACGAACCATGGTTCGTCTTGTGACGTCATAAGTTTGAACGCTGGCTAGAAGCTGCGTCCATGCTTCTGGCGACTACGTTCAGGAACTGCAAAGGCCTTATGAGGATTGGCTATCTTGTAGTAGTGTTTATTTTCATAAAATTGCCGAATTACAATGGTGCCGAACAGGATTGCATTCGTGTCAAAAAGGTTTGGGTTGCACTCTTGTTGCACTAGTCAGGCTAATAGAATTCGCTATATAAAACGTCACACTGTTGCCAACATAAAAAAAAAATTGCTGACAGTCTAACATAACCTGACTAAAATAAAATGTTTTTTTTTCACTCGTCCACATAAAAAGTTTAGGAAATTCCTAAATTAAAATAGTAATAAGATTAATTAATAAATAAATAGTTGTTCAGTGATGGCTTTAGTAAATGTAGCAACAAAAACATGCTGTAACATCAGGATATTGGAAGAGAAGCTAAGGACATTGAGGTAAGATTGCCTTCCGAAAATGTGTGGAATAATGTGAATTTTTCGTAGCCTAACAGCCCTAACCATCAAAAGAGAAAAGCATCTAAATGCAAGGCCTCGCCTCAGGAATCCTACTTGGTTTACACAAAAAACCAGAGCGGTAATTTACATTTTGCAAAAACTCAGTGTTGTCGAAGCTACCGAAATTTCGGTATTTCTACCGAAATGGCAACGGACCTACCGAAATACCGAATACTGATGAATTTTTATCGATTTTCAACAATAGCTTACTGTATTCTTTTTATGCATCGAGTTACACCGAACGAGCTCCTCGGAGTCACTCCAAAACACACAATTCAGATTTTATCATTATTTTTTAATATTAACATTACCGTCAGGCGTCATTACCTAAAAGGGCTTCTTGCACTCCCCGCAAATTTGGTGCATAAGGGGAAAGGGGGATACATTATGAGCGACTTGAGTGCTTAACTCACTAGAGAGATTTTGAGCCACATAAATTTTGAAATACGTTACACGCTAAACAATAAACTGAGCAAGCGCAGTCTTTGAAAAATAGCGGATGACATTTAGCCTTTTTTTAGTTTTTGAAGCCAAAACTTGTGAAAGACGTTATACGCTAAATGTTAATGAAAATTTGTGGTTAGGAATTTGAATTTCTGTAACTAGCGTCAAATTTTATGTTGTCTGTTGTTTATGTTAGGATGGTTGGGTATTTATTTGTGTTTTGTTTTGTGTAATTATGTACTGCACTTCATGAATAACATTGAAAATATAATAAGACGTCGAAATGCTGAAACGTTAACGGTTAATAACGTTCCGTTTATTTCCACATAATTAGCGTAGTACGTTACCGCTTATTAAGCGGGCCGATTATTTTTTCACTATTGCGCATGAGCAAAATAACCGATAACGTATAACGTTGATCAAATAGGTGGCTCAAAATCTCTCTACTCTTAAAAGGAAGGTTCAAACTTTTGACATTGAGTAAGCTCCGAGTTACTCAACGGGTAAAAAGAATACAGTAATTACAATTACGATTCTACCGATTTTTTTACTGTTTTTCGCCAAAAAGTCAATTTTATCGGTTTTGTTTTCGCCAATTTTTCTATCGATAACCGCACCCGATCTAAAACAGCTGCCAGATTCTATTTTAGGAGTCGAGTCGGGGGTCGATTTTACTATCAAATTGTTTGTCCGTATCAGAACTGTCAGATGTCAAATAGATCTTCCGACGACAAATTTGTAAGCAATGGTTGGTATCAGTGCATTTCTTTCGGCGAATACCCGTGGGTCCTGAGATATCCGAATTGGTTTTTAATATCTTGTCATTGCCCCATTCTTCCGCCAATGTTGAGCACAGATTCTCAGCAATAAATCGAATGAAAACAGCAAAAAGAAATAAACTTATTCCTACTGGTTATATTCAAGGATAATACACACTACTACTAAAGGATAGCCTATCTTCATAAGGCCTGTGTAGAACAAATCTGAAGCCTCCCACTACGCGAAATTACTAGTTGAAGTTGTGACATAGGCAGCACGTCGTTTCTCGCCTTGACGTAGGCTGTTTGCATCAGAGGTTATGATTTCGCCGAGGATTTCGCGTTCTTTTGCTTTATGCATACTTGGTCTTACTACATTAATAATTAACATTAACAACTCCTGTTTAGATCTCGTCAAGCGCTAAAATCTTACTTTTTTCCCGTCTATAGACTATAATACACTATTTTTTTCTGTGACGGGAAAATCTCATCTTTTTCCATGTATACATTTTTTTTTTATGACAGTGCTTTTCCCGTGGGAAAAAAATAATCACTTTTTTCCTGTGGGAAAAAAGTGACATTTTTGCCCCTGTCAACAGGTACAAAAAGTCTACTTTTTTCCCGTCACAGAAAAAAATATTTTTCATTATAAAGTTAATTACCGAAACGAGGCCGATAAGCAATCCTTAGTAGTGTGTATTATCCTTATGTTATACCTAGCGATTTTGCGCAGTAATCTACCAACGTTAGTTTCTACCGATTAAGTATTTTGACGTTCGACAACACTGCAAAAACTACACAGAATAATGATTTCAATTTTCAGCCTACTAATGAAGAAATGACCTCAGAAAATCAGGAATTTCTCAAAGAGATTGTTCAAGATAAAATGACGGAATCTGCAGCCCATGCTAAGGAAATAGTTACAACAAGCAATATTCCGTGGGATCCGAAAATGCAAAGAGCAGGAGTCATTGCTAGAAAAATCGGAATTTACCCATTGTGGCTAAAAAACGGTAAAAAAGTCTCCACAACGTTATTGCAAGTGTTGGATAATCACGTTGTCAAATACTATAGTCCCGATTATGAACCACCTAAGCAACTGAGACCAAAAGTTTACAATAGAAAAGCGTGTTTATTAATTGGAGCCGAAGTAGCAGATCCATCCCTATTCACCAAAGATTATTGTGGCATATTTAAAAACTCTGGAGTGTTGCCCACTAAATTCTTAGCAAGATTTTTCATTAGCCCTGACGCAGCTTTACCATTGGGCACCACAATAACCGCCCAGCATTTTCAAGTGGGCAATTATGTGGACATCAGAGGCAAAACCATAGACAGGGGTTTTCAAGGAGTGATGAAAAGGCACGGATTTAAAGGTATGCCAGCCTCACATGGTGTAACAAAGACGCATAGAAGAGGTGGTAACATTGGCGGTGGTGGTGAAAAAGGTAGAGTATGGCCTGGCACCAAAATGCCTGGACACATGGGTAATAGGTTTAGAATAGCGAGAGGTTTGAAAATATGGAGGATTAATACAAAATATAACGTGCTTTGGGTGTCTGGGCAAGCGATTCCTGGAGAAACGAATTCCTTGGTTTATGTTTTTGATAGTAAATTGCCATTGAGGAAGCCAACAAGTGCTTTGCCGTTTCCAACATATTTTGAGGGACAAAATGAAGAGGCTCCTGAAGATATTTTTGATGAAGAGGTTCACTTGTTTTCTGAACCTACCATAGTGTTTGATGAGAAGAAATAGGCAATAGGAATTAAAGAAGTGTGAAATTTTCAAATTTGGTTTTATTTTCAACTAAACAAACAAAAAATTACATTAGATTTTATTTAAATTGGCCAGGTGCAGGTCCAAACAAGCTATTGCTTTGTTTAGAGGCTGCTCTAGATGGGGCAAACCCGAGTACTTTCTGGATGTTTTGCCTTATGGACATTGTGCACAAAATATACAAAAATATAAAGGAGCAGTCATAGTAGTCTTCTCCAGGTAAATTACGGTGACTTAAGCCTTGGATCCAGGTTAATGGTTGGAAAGGTAGCCTGGCCACTACTCTTCCATCAAAACTAGTTAAAAAAATAGATTTAGAATTTGTTTTAATTTTTGGTTGAATAACTTACATGCTGTTAAACATGCCCAGTAAAGCAGTGAAAGCGAATCCAATAGCAAACATCGACTTCATTTTTACAAAAGAAAGATCACGGTTGTTGTGCTTGAGCCTGTCCTCTTCCCTTTCAATTTTCTTTTTCTGTTGCTTGTCCAAGGTGTCTCCATGAGTTTCTTTGCGTTTTTCCACTAAAATTTAATTCATTTGTGTTAGGGATAAATTTTGGAGGATTTCTACTTACGTTTTTTGCTCTGTTTTTCAACTTCGGTTTTAAGTTTCTGGTATCTCTCTGTACGGTATACCATCAGCCAGGTGAGGCCTTCGCCGAGAAGAGCGGTGCATATCGATATGAAAACTATTAATAGAGTGTCTGCCCACATTTTTCAAGTTCTAGTTATGTGATTTAAATTTGTTTAAATAAATAAGGGTAATGTTCTAATAAATAACCTACAAAATTACATCGATCGGAGTGTGACAGGGGAGGGATTATCGATACGGTATAACGATATATATGTACATCGATACGTACTCGATGATTGCGCTTATCGATACGAATATGTTCTATCAATAAGATCCTTTAAAATTTTTACGTTTACATTCAAATGCATAAACCTGACGCAACTAACAGGTTTTAAATGATCTGGAATCAAGAACACTTGGGCTGAGTTCGGCTTTGCCCTCCACGGAGCAGAACGGTATGACCATGGATATCGTGACGTCATACGCAGAGTGCGCCCTGAACAAGGTCATAAGCCGTCGAGCCGCCGAATCCGGGCCGGCTGGGATCACGACAAGTGGAATTCTACTTTTATGACGTCACCCGCGACCTATTTATCGCGTTCAGTACAGGTACAGGCGATGATGACGGTTGCTAGGCAACCTGATGTCATGAAAGTAGAATTCTAGTAGAAAAAAAAATCCTCAAAACCAGTCACACTTGTCAGTAATCTGAAAAAAAATTGTTTTGTTTTAATTTTAGTTTTATTTTACTAGTAAACGAGTAGGTATAGATGAAAGAAAAGAAAACGAGCTCGTTACGTTCTCGATTCTAATCCGAACGTAAAAGGGAACACTCTTGAGAGCTAAAACGAACAGGAACTTATTGTTCCGAGCACACTTGGAGTTTTCCGAGTGCAAAGCCGAACTCAGCCTTACAGAACTATCGACTTTTGCCTCAAAACTGCACCCGATAGCTCAAATACTGATCCGAGACGGATTCACATGTTCGGCTTAAAACGGAGCAGTGCTCTGAGCGAGATTCACGTGTTCGACTTGCGACTTGAGCAATAGAACACCCTCAAATCTTGCCAGAAGTGCTCTTTCTTGATCCGTCAAATTCTATGGATCAAATAGGCTATCCATTCGTCTACCTACTCGAAAAATCAGAAAGATCTGCTGGGAGCTGCTATTTATGAGCTTATTATACATGGGACAAGTGAACGCCGATCTGCTGCTGAGATCTGCTTGATGCATTGCCGCACTATGCCAAAGTACCAGTCAGTGAGCAGCGTGTTGTTTCTCGCCTTGATAATAGGGTGTTCGCACCGCAGGTTATGATTCCGCTGGCTTTTGCTTTATGCATACTTGGTTTTAATACATTAATAAACATCCTAAAACAACCCTTTTTAGATCTCGTATGCATCTTCCTCTCTAGCTACTATGTCAATCAAAATTGAATAATATTTTTCATCATAAATGTATATTCTAAACTAGGACCGCTGGCGCAAACAGCTATCGGCACCGTTGATGACGTCGAAAGCGGTGCAACACCAAATGATTTTGATTCCAAAAATCGAGGCCGATGAGCAATCCTGAAGTATTAAGACTGCATTTTGAGCTGACAGTTGTCTGCCAAGTCCTCCCGACAACGCTCCACTATTTGTGACGTCAGCCGCAGATCTCAACTTTTGGCGTAAAATGTATTATCCTAGTTTGGAATACTTCAAAATAAGTTCAAAAAAACGAATTCCTGAACGTTTAAAAATCAACTGTTCTGCTTATAAAATCGACAAAAAAATTTAACTCTCAAGCACAGCCTGAATCGCAAGCATTCCATCAAAGTTTGCGGGTGACGTCACCACTATTAGCCGCTGATAGTGGTGACGTCACTCGCAGACCTTATTGACTCAAGATCTGGCGAACGTACGCCTTAATAGGATGAGCAATCCTATCCCGTGGAGTTTTTTTGATCTGGGATATTCATAAGTATCCCAGGCTCTTCAATATTGTTTATTTCGTGAAATTCAAGTGCCGGCCGAGAAGAGACAAAAATCAAAATTGAGCTAGAAAAATTGAGAAACAGAAACACTTATGGCGATTTCGAATTTTGTTCCAAAGTTGATTGATCAAAAAGCGATTTGAAACGGATTAACATGTTCAGCGAACATTGCTCTCGGCGGGATTCACATTTTCGACTTGAACACTCTCAAATCTCGCACGGAGGGCTCTTTCTTGCTCCGTCAAATTCGATGGATCAAATAGTTTGATCAAAACAATAAAGCACGTTCGGCTATTGATTTCAAATGGTGTGCAGGCGTTTGGAATATAATCGCTCCCGTAGCACTCCAGAGATCTGTGAGGTCACCACTCTGGGAGCCATAAATCTGAAAATGGTCGCGTGTCGTTTCTCGCGTTGACATAGGAGAGTGTTTGCATAAACTACGACCGCTGGCGCAAACAGCTGACAGCACGGCACCGATGATGACGACGCAACGGTGCAATGCCAAATGATTTTGATTCCAAAAATCGAGGCCGATGAGCAATTCTGTAGTAATGTTCAATATCCTTGATAAAAATAGGACTGCTTATTCAGTTGAACGTGTTTGCCATATCCACGCGACAACTCCCCACTATTTATGACATCAGGCGCAGACTTTAACTCCTGGAGTAAAATGCATTATCCAAGCTTCAACACTTGAGTTCAAAAAAACAAATTCCTAAACGTTAAAATCACCTGTTTTACATTTAAAATCGACAAGAAAATTAACTCTCAAGCAGAGCCTGAATTGCAAGCATTTCATCAAGCTCTGCGGATGACGTCACCACTATTAGCCGCTGATAGTGGTGACGTCGCAGACCTTGCCCTCGAGAACTGGCGAATGCGTTATGAACGTTGGATGAGCAATCCTGTTTGGTGGAGTGTTTTTGATCAGGGATATTCATAAGTATTTTTTACTATCTCAGCTGTTGAATTTTCTTTATTTCGACAAATTCAAGTTCCGGGAATAGACAAAAATAAAAATCGAGCTAGAAAACAAAGAAATTTAAAAGGATAGCGGAATTGAGAAAAAAATTGGTAGACAAATAGACACTAAGGGCCGGTTTATTAACCCTCTGATAAACTGTCGGGTATACAATTTGACGGATAAACACGCAATCCTGTAATCCCATTGGTCGGCCAGAATTATAGGACGGTGAATTTATCTAGCAAATAGTAACTAGAAAGTTTATCTGAAGATAAATAAGCCGGGCCTAAGTATTTTGTTTCTACTCCAAGCTCTTGAATTTTCTCTATTTGCTATTTGAGGCGTTTGTTCGCGGGGCGAATGGTTTAACCTACGGTTTAAACAAACCAATTTGTAGATGACGTCATCACTGGTGAACGCGAGGAAATGGAAGGTTTGAACACGGTCCTATGTCAACAAGATGTCAACGAAAAGCAAGCCAAGAGTCCGGTTGAAACTTTTTTGAACCAGGTTCAATGTGACGTCACTGGTACAACGCAAGAGTACAAATTCGAACCTAAATGGACTGGATCGAACCAGTTTCACCGTAAGAAAACAGCTCAAATCTGTTTTAAAAATTGATCGAAAACCTGTTTCGAACCCGTTCACTGTAAAATGAAATGTTGAACTAGATCATAATGAAAAAAATCCTGAATTAGGGCGGGTATTATAAAACTGCTTTGACAGTTAACATGAAGTTAACTTTTTGAATTACATGTAATTCCAGAAGTTAACTTTAAGTTAACTCTCAAAGAAGTTTTATAATACCTGCCCTTAGGGCGGGTATTATAAAACTACTCTGAGAGTTAACTTCTAGAATTACATGTAATTCAAAAAGTTAACTTCAAGTTACCTGTCAAAGCAGTTTTATAATACCCACCCTTAGTGTCCTAGAACACATTGAACTTACTCTATTTTTTGTTCGTAATTCAATTAGAACCAGTTCCAAACTATATAAAGTTCAACTAAAATCAGTTCCAAAACGTTTCTTTGTGTTCTAAAGAGTTGTTCCGAAATAGTTCCCGATCAAAAAGTACAATAGAAATACCCTGGAACACATCGAATGTATTCTTTTTTATTCACAATTCATTTAGAACCGGTTCTAGATCGACTCTGAAGTGATTCTAATTTGGAATAGGTTTGCTCGGACTCAGTTTAGAATCAGTTCTGAATTGAACTGCGCTTACGAATTTGTTCATATCGAACATATGTACATATTGCGCAGTTCAATTCAGAACTAATTCTGAACAAATTCATTATTGTTGCGTTGTTCTGAACACATTGAATAGACCTATCTTGCATGATTAGAAAAAGAGAGCCTAATTATAATAAATACAAGTTAGAAAGCAATAAAAGATGACATGCGCGCGCAACTCGTAGGCTGCAGTGTAGCCAGATTGTATTGTTGTAGAACAAATGTAGACAATATAAATCAAAAATTATAACATTAAAGAAGTGATATAGTGTAAAGTGTTTTACAACGCCTTAAATCAGACAAAAGAAGAGCTTTAAACTGGATGAACATCGTTTGGACTTTTATTTTGATAAATGTTTCATCCGGCAACATCATTCAATGAAATTGCAAAGGAATATGTCAAGTATAATCTAACAAAACCTTAAACGACACTGCGGTCAGTTCGAGTAATATGTAAAGTATTAGTTTGCTCTTTGTCGAATTACACGTTACAAAGAAAGAAGGAACGATTCATTCTGAAATGGCCCCTGAATAAGAATATGACGCAAGCCTGTCACAAACTTGCTTCTCATTGGACGCTCACCTGCAGCCTACAAGCGACGCGCGCAGTCCAGGTAATAGGAGATCGGTCGCAGTTCATTTAGAACCGGTTTCAGATAATTTTTGAACTGGGTCTCAGGGCTCCAAGTATTTCGATTGCTGTTCCAAACTATTTATTATACGCATATGGTGCACAATTAATGTTGTAGAACCCATTAAACTTACTATAGTACCGGTATCCAGATCATTTCTGAACTGGTTTATAGAGTTTCGAGTAGTTCGATTGTTGTTCCGAACTAGAAAAAATTATGAACTCTAAATTATCATTAAACGCATACGGTGCACGAGAATCCTAAATTAGTGTCCTGGATCACATTAACATTTCGTTTAGAAACGGCTCCAGATCATTTCAGAATTGATTTTTAGAGTTCCGACTAGTACAATTACTGTTCCGAATTCGGAATAAACTAAACTGAATTGTATTGGAGCACATTGATTGTTCATAATTTAATTAAAACCGGTTCCGAATAGATTTTGAAGTCTTGAACTAGTTCACAATCGAGAAATCTTTAATTTGTGTTCCAGATCATTCTTCGCGGTGCAACTAGAATCCCAAATTGGTTTTATCTGTTCTTAAACCCAAAAACCTGTTCTGAACTCGTTTGCTTTTTTACTCTTCAATATTCGAACCTACTCTATTTACTTCAGGAGTAAAAAAATACAATCTTGAACGATTTGCTTACTCAGAGTATTCGAAATATGGCAAATAGAGTAATTATGTTCATGTTTGAGTATTAAGGAGAGAAATAAATATAACTTTTTAATGGATAAACCTACTTTATTCACTCTAAAACAGTAGTACGAGTAGACAGAGTTAAATTTAGTGCACGAAAACGAGAATCTCAGACCAAATGGAGTAACTGTTAACGTTGCCCGATTAGTTTCGAACATAGAAAAACCTACACTAGATCCAGAATTAGTGTTCTAGCCCAGTATTCAGACGGGTGCTTGGCTCAAGCTCCGATTTTTGACAGTTGTGAGCATCGTTCCGTGCTGTTTGGAAATGCAAATATGGCGTCAAGTCGTACTTGAGCCAAGATGCAACCTTGAGCATTGACTATGAAAACGGGCCCTAGAGGAATAATAAACAGAATTTGAGTGAAAAATGTCGATTGGAATGAAAGCACCTCTGAAAAGTACGCAAACATAACCTATAAAATCCGAAAATGCCCGTAATGCTGGCACCTGCAACAATAAATAGAATTCTATTTTAGTTAAGTCACTTGTCATTTTTAAAATAAAAATGTTATCAATTAAAGGCGTTTTTTCGCGGGGCGAATGGTTCAAACCACAGTTTAAATCAATTTGTAGATGACGTCATCGCTGGTGTACGCGAGGAAATGGAAGGTTTTAACACAGTCTTATGTCAACGGAAAACAAGCCAAGAGTCCGGTTCGAACTTTTTTGAACAAGGTGAGTTCGGCTTGGCAACTCTTTTGCCTCCTTTGAAACTTTTTGGTGCAAAAACGTTCGGGTCAAGTCACTGGGAGCAAATAGTGCAAGCTCCTCATCGTCAGCCAAGTAGAGTGAAAAGAGTTAATTTCACAAGCAACACCTCGCGAGATGAAGCTCGAAGATCAGGCATGCGCACTTCCTATGACCATCTTACTCTTTTTACTCTGTGATCACGTGACTATGAAACTGCTCTTTATCCGCTCCAACTTTCTTTTGCCAAGCCGAACTCACCGACAATAAACGAGAGTTATTAGCCGTTTTCCCGCGTTCACTTTTTCGACATTGGTTCAAAACAGGTTTGTAACGGGCAATGGTGTTTCCAATGCCTGTTCAAACCGGTTTTGAACCAAATATCGAAAAAGTGAACGCGAGAAAACGACTCTGAGGTCTCGTTTCCTGTTCTGTTCCGAAATCGTCGAACCGTTCGAAATGCACTAGTGACGTTGCAATTTGATCATTCAGCAAGGGGCCATGTTGTTGAAAAATGTATCGTTACGGATTTCTTTTAAAACAATTAAAAAAATCAAATAACATCGATACAGACGATACAAATTACCACAAGAGCATTCTAATGCTTTTTCATGTAGAACAGTTCGAGAGCGGTCCACTCCAGAGCACTGAAGAACAGCTAAAATTCAGATGGTTAAGTAAATTGAGCAAAAGTTGCGCCAAATTTGGATACACTTTGCACTTTTACGACCACTAGAATGTTTTCCCGACACAAAAATCCAGTCCCAAATATCACTACCCACAAATCCGAAAACACCTATTACAAAGCCATGATTGCTCAAATGGATTTAATTTGAATTTTTGAAATTCAAATACAAATAAAAATCGTTGACGCTCAATAAACAAATTACAATTAACATTACATTAACCTCGTGTTTGTTCATTTAAAAGGTTGAAAAGTCAGCAAGAAAACCCTAGAAGTTGCTTATCAGCGTTTTATCATTGCGACCAATTGAAACCGTGACTATGCCGATCACGTGATTTCGATTAAATCTCGCTATTATTAATTTGAATTTTATTCTCTCGGTGCCCTGCCCAGAGGCAGATTATAAATCTTATCAGTTTTAAAAATAGTTTCAAGTCGGTACCGCAACCGGGTACTCATCTCGCCGTTTGGTACTAGCGGAGCGATTATAATTACGGCGAAAAAATGATGAAACAGCGCGAAATTAGTGTAACAATTAGAAAAGCGAAAAAGGAAGATATGGGACAAGTTTATAAAATGATAAGGGTGAGATTAATTTATTTATTATGTTGTACTTATCAGTTTATGGTAGGTTTATAAACAATAAATAATTATAATTTCCTTTAGATTTCATTTTCAAAATGTGTTTCACTTTGTTCCATAGACTGAATTGCGGCAAATTACACTGGCAAAAATTTATGTTTTGAGCAATATTTTACCTTTTTTTTTTGCTCAGGATAGCCTAAAATCAGTGGAAAGCTGAAAAATATTCTCAAATTTTAGTTGAAATAACGATATTTTAGAGCAGAAAAGCGCTTAATTAGACAAAAAACACACAATGAACACAGTTGTATTGTGTAAATCGACCTTTTTTATCACCCCAACAATGACAAAAAGAGTCAAGTCTGTGTCATATTTAAACATTTTAAACCAATCATAACATAAAAACATGTTGCATTTACTTTTGTTCAGCTTTGACATTGACAAAAACTGTCTAGCCTATGTTTTTCAGAAGAGACTTTTTGTAGTTAAGCCTGACTTACACTAGGCAAATTTTAAATATATATATATATTGCCTGTACAAGTTTTATGTTTGGCCAAGTGTAGCTTGTCTAGCCACAAAATTAATTATATCCAATTAACTATATGATATAAATCTCTATCATTCTTTGACATACCATATCATTAAGATTAAAAAAATTATCTAAGCAAATTCCAGTCCGGTCTGCTGAGATCAAATAATAGAAAAAATACTTTCAGAATCGTTCAAGTAAATCTCCATTTAAATTTAAATAAATAAAACAAAAATTATTATTGTTTGATTTGTGTCTTAACTATCGCTTATTTACAAGAGATAAGGTGAGATTATGAAACAATCACACATGCAGTTGAATATATAATATGTTTTATTTACGACTGACATATAATGTAAGTATTACATATGTGATTTTGGCAGTATAATGCCATATATTATTCCCGCAGGGATTAATGGTCATTATTCCCGCTTGCACAACAATCACAAAATTTCTCAAATTAAATAAGTAGTACCTACCATGGAAACAATATACCTGAACAAACTCAAAAGTGTCAGTGTCAAACGCGTAGTGTTTGTGTATTTGTATTGAGATGAATGAACAAAGAGCGTTTTTGGAAAGAAAATTTCAAATAAATTAATTTGTCGTAAATAAAGTAGAGTATACTACTCGCAATAATGGCTATTATTCCCTCGGAATGTTACTCCCTCGCCGCTAACGCGGCTCAGTTCGTAAATATTCCTCGGGAATAATAGCTATCATTATCGACTCGTGGTATAATCTACTATTGATAATTTTGATAATAGAAATAAACTATCAACTATTTTGAAATTGATGCAAAAGGAAATATTTACGAAAGTAGTCATAACATTCAGGGCGGGTATTATAAATTTATAAAATTCTTTTGACAGACTAATAGCGATTTCCATTTGTAGAATCAGTGCTTCGAAAGTGTATCCTTATCCTTATATTTTACATGATTTTAGAAAAAGATACGAATACACTCTGTGCGCACTGATTGGAATGACGCTACTTCTCAGTTCCAGAAGTTAACTCTCAGTTTTTTGTCAAAATAGTTTTATAATATCCGCATCCGCCCTTAGTATATCTTTGACTATACGCTTGGATCAAAAATAATACCAGAAAGGACCAATTTAGGCTGTATCTAAAACTTAGAATTCTCTTCATATATGACTGAGAAAAAAATACTAAATTTCGATCAAGAAGGCTCAATCTGAGTTAAAAATAAACAGAATGTACAGCTATCCATCATACTGGTTCAAAAATGAAGTTGAGATTTTTTTTTATACCAAAAAAACTTTAAAAAATTTTGAAATTAGTGAAATTGCCTCTGAAAAATACTTCCAGCACTCACCCTGACCAAGAGACAAATCGCTGGTGGAATTTTTTGGCCCGTTTATTTTGATCTATCTCGGTATATGGAAATTTAGATATTTTATGACAAAAAGTTTTATAGAAAAGTTCTAGGGTTTAAATCATTAATTTGTTTTTTTGTACCTTGTAAGTCCAATTTTAAAATATTTATTTTTAACATCTAACATTTTTACAATAATTGAATATGAATAACCTAAAAATTGGCCGGTCCCCGAAGATAACTGTAAATAGATCCGAAACCGTGCATAACCCTATCAAACTACCTATACATATTTGTCTTTGAAAGCGCTATCAAAAAATAAAAAATATACAGGGTGTTCCATATTAAAAAAAATCTGATGTATCACACAATCCTACAATTTTCGTACCTATAAAACTTTTCGTCATAAAATATCTAGATTTTTATATACCGAGATAGGACAAAATAAACGGGTCACCCATGGGCGCCGGCAGAAAATAATCCAAGGGGGAGCAGAAAATTAGGCATTCCAACGACCTGTCAAAAACTATTCCAAAATGGCGTCCGGGGCGGAAGTTCATTATTCTATGGTCACTATGAACCCAAATACATTGGGAGAGCCTAATAGGGACATAAAGCTTCCGTATTTTTTGGTCGGTATCCATATCGGTATCGTACTGCGCATGTGCAGAAGCGATACGGAGGCCGAGATACCGTACGTACAACGTAACGTTACGGCCCTCTCGCGGTATCCGTATCGGTAACGAATCTTGACATTCCTGACGCCTGTGTCAAATTTTAAATGAATATAACCTCACTTTTCTTCCCAGTTGATTTAATTTGTTTAGTTTATACTTTCTTGAGTTTCTTATGTGTTTAGTGCTTCTCTATCGCAAAAAAAAACAATTTTAAGGTTAGATATAAAAACGCCGGAGTTTTGACACAAACATTTCTAGGTAATGAGATGCGTATAAGTTTACCGGAACAGGGAGCGCTTTAACAGTAGCCTTTTCGCTTGTTAACGTATCTAGTTGCGTCACGGATACCGATACCGGCATATTATTTCAAGTAGCTTTATGTCCCTAATATTTACCAATAAAAAACGTATATCTAGCAAACATACGAATATAATACCTAACCTAAAGTAAACTTTTTTGTTCAATCTTATTCACTGATAAATCTTAAAGCGAATTACCAATTACGAAAACCGGTCTCGTTTTTGGTAATCGCCGCCATATTGGTGTGCCACCATTGCCGACGTCATAACTAAATCGTCAGCTGTTTGCACTAGCGGTCGTAGTATAGAATTATGTATGATGAAAAATATTCTTTAATTTTGATTAACATAATACGCAAAGAAGAAGATGAAAACGAGATCTAAAAAAAAATTGTTCTAGAATGTTAATTAATGTAGTAAAACCAAGTAAATTATAAAGCAAAAGCCCGCGGAATCATAACCTGTAGTGCAAACAGCTTACGTTTTAGTGCTTACGTCAAGGTGAAAAAGGACATGCTGCCTACGTCACAACTGGTGATTTGGCGTGGTGGGGGGCTTCAGATTTGTTCCACACAGGATCCTGTAGTAGTAGTGTGTATTCTCCTTGGGATTCCCCGACGTTTTATTGTCAATCGGTAATCAGAGATGTCGCCCTAGTTCAATTTCTAAATTGAGTAGTTCCTATACCATGTGCTGTGTGAGACCGACTTCGACCGTATTGGACTAGAGATCAGAAAAATTTCTCAGTATTGTTTTGAAGTTCATATCATTATTATGATTTTAATCCACAATACTTTTTCATGGAGCCAGCTTAAATTGTCAAATTATGCCGAAATCTAGCTAATAATTTTCAAGTATGATTTTTCAACTGCCCCCTCTTGCTCTCCTGCCGGCGCTCATGGAGCCACCCTGTATGTACACAAAAGTGCATTTTTTGTGGAAATTTTTGAAATCAATGGCATTTTTGTTAAATTCTCAGTATCTTCAGGGAATTTTTTCGAATTTTTGTGGAATTTTCTGGCTTTTTTGTGGAATTTTTTGGCATTTTCATGGAATTTTCTGGTAGCACTACCTACTAAACTAAATACAGGACAACAGTACGTCGTCTTTAATCTGATACTCAAAAGGAATGTGAGCTGGAGAGGCTCCCTACGTTGGAACGCCAATGATCACCTGATCTCACACCTGTTTTTGCCATATGTTTTACCCCCTCACACCTCATACGGAAAGTGTCAGATTAAAAACGACGGACAATAAATATGATAGTATAACTTTATGAAAACTAAACTATGTGCAGGGTATTTCCTCATATTTTGGCCCCTATCTACAGCTTTAGCTATACGAGGTGGAAAAAAAAACTAAATATGAAAGTTGTACGGTTGTATCGGTAGTATATTTTTCCGCTTCTAAAACAATCGAATTCAAATCGCAAAGTTATAATAAAAGGCCAACCCAATTTTTTTTTACTGAAGCACCCTGTATATTTTCAGCTCCAATGAAAGTCCTTTTTCTCCTGTTCCCAAATATACTATATATGTTGATGCTCGTGTTGATGTTCAGTTGTTTTTGTGGTATTTAAGTTCAATATTGCATTATGTAAGCCTCACCATTCATATAAGGAACCACGAACAGACCTAATTTAGGATAATTTAAATGCATTTTCAAACTTAAATAGCGTAAAAACAGCTGAACCAGATATCAACATATATGGTATATTTCTCGGTATATTTGGAACAGTGTTGTCGAACGACAAGATACTGTAGGTACAGTAGGTAAAGGATTTTTACGCTATATTTAGGATGACGTCACATTTAATAAATTTCTGCTGCCAACCTAACAAAATTAAGTACTTTTTAACGCATTTAAACTTGGGAAATTTCAGATGTTTTTGTTGGGCAACGCCGCGCGACGTTGCATGACTTGTATAAACATTTTCATTTCGTCATTTTTCTGGTGAATTATAAAAAAAAAATAGGCATTGACAACATGTCTGTCTTTGTTCGATGACGTCATCCTAAATATAACATAAAAAACCTATGACTATGAATATGCAAAATAATAATAAGGGGTTGAATTAAATTTTTCAAAGGGAATCGCCTTTACATACTCTCAAGTGGAAATAAGTATTGATATCTATGCCGTTTTTACCATTGTAAGATATTGCTCGTTATCAAACTTTTTTCCAATTTTCAGTAAAGTGCATTCCATTTAAGTAATTTGTTAGAGGAACTATCATTGGATCTTGGGCCCTTCTAGAAAAATATCCAGTGAATTAAACGCCGGTAATAATCAAAATTTGACCAATTACAGGCTTTTGATTCCCTCTAGAAAAATTATCCGACGAATCAAGATTCGAGAGCCGGTAACAATCAAAATTTGACCTATCACTGACTCTTGATCGTGACGTCAGTGGGCGCATTTTTTCTATCCTGGATAATTTCGACAGCTGCCAGAATCTATTGACATTTTTGGTCTACAAGTGCCAAAAAATAAATAATTAAACGTCTCTTTTGAGTCTAACAGTGACATCATTAGAGAGTTATTGGATGTGCAATAAGGACAAGCAGTATTTAAATTAGCCTTATTTTGACATCTACGCATGCGCATTTGGGTCCGAAAATAAGGATTCCCTTAATAAGGTTACTGCTTGTCTTTATTTGTGTATGGTTAGTGCGAAGCAGTAAAGTTCCCTTATTTCAAATTTCTGACATTTTGGACGACTTTGACGTTTTGCTTTTCGACGATGATGTAATTTTACTTAGAAAATTAATTTTTTACAATAGTTTTTCATTTTACTGTGGGTAACATCCAAAAAATGAGTATCAGCAGAAAATCACAAACAAAAATAAACATTTTTTGAGGCTGAAATTTATAAACATAGCTAACATCTGTAGAAATTATGAATACAAAATAAGGTAATACTCTAGCACCTACTACAGTCTTCCAATAACTGTTTTTTTCTTGGAAAATAGTGCTGATGCACTAATAAAATAATGTAGATCCTTAATACTGCGAGGCAGTATGGGCACTTTCCAAATTTCACCGATAATTTGACCGGTTAAATAAACCGGTAGCTGTCAAAAAATTCCGGTAAAAGTCAGATGCAAGTCCGGTTACAAGATTTTTCTGGTGCATTTTGGAACGCTTTGGTGTCAAAGTTTGGTGGTGTTGCTTATTATTTTTTGGAATGGGTTTTTTTTGTGGGATGCAGTGAGGTTGGTATGTATTTTTATTATTTTTAACAGTCAACAAACGGTAGTTTTCAGTACGATTTTTGTAGATTATGTGAGCTGAGTATTTGATTTGTCGAGTTCATAATTACGCCCACGCACAAACATTTTTTATTCTGCAATCTGCAAGTAGCAATTTAACGATAGACTGCCAATAGTACCCATTCAAAGCAATTAAATTAATATACGTCAAAAAAAAGTGTCACAAAACCTCCAACCGAAAAAACCGACACAAATTCCCGGTGGATTCGGTGCCTCACCGGTTTCAAACAACTGATCATTCCGGTCAATTTTGGAACGAACGATCGGGTTCAACCGGTAAAAAGTCGGTACATTTTGGAACAGTTTGGTGAGTAAACTATTAAACCGGTATCGCACCGGTTCAGAAACCGGTGAATTTTGGAAAGTGCCCTATTTAGTACATAGTTTCAATAACTCTCTATTTATAGATAAATAATTGTCGTACTTGAATTAGGCGATTTTTTACAGCTGTCAAAGTTGAATTTGATATAGGATTTTCACGGTATATTTAGGATGACGTCACATTTCGTAAAGTTCTGCTGACAACCTAACAAAATTAATAAAAGTACTTTTTAACGCATTTAAACTAGGGAAATTTCAAATTTCAGATGTTTTTGGTTGGCAACGGCGCGCGACGTTGCATGACTTGTATAAACATTTTCATTTCGTCATTTTTAGTTGTCACTAGAATTATTGACACCACATGACATTCTGGTAAATTATAATAGTATATTACAATCCGAGACGGGAAATGCTTCATTGCTGGTCGAGAGGTTTTATAGTTTATCGAGACGCGTAGCGTTGAGATAAACTGAACTCGAGACAGCAATGAAGTTTCCCGTCGAGGTTTGTATACTATTTTATTTTTAACCATAATTTTTTGAAAAAAAAAAAAATTCGGGGCAACCAAATGAGGTCGGGAAATGAGGAGAAAAATAAAGACGGGAAATATTTCCCTGCTCCATTTTCCATCCGTGGACGGGAAATGTGGACGGAAAAAATTTCTCGTCTTCATTTCCCGTCCTGGGACAGGTAATGGAGCAGGAAAATGAAAAGACAGAAATGTGACATTTTCAAATTTTTGAAAAGTCAGTAATGACAACATTTCATATATGGTTAAAAACAAAAAAAAAATAAATAGGCATTGACAACATGTCTGTCCTTGTTCGATGACGTCATCCTAAATATATATAATTAGGGGTGAATGTTGTATATGTAGAAACCTCGCTAGAAACTTTTAGAATTAGAGATTTTCTTTCACTTCACTTTGTAATTAATGGATGAATCACACTTTTACAGAAAAAGAAAGTTAAGCAACTTTGTAATGCTATAATGGTAGCAGGTATCTTAAAGGTTGCAAAATCCAATAATCATAACTGAATCCCTATCCATATGAGTATTTTTTGCCGGTGACGATTAGAACCATTCCTAAATCAAAAACCACTTCAGGTCATCATCCCCCTTTAGATTAGGTTGTTTAGAAGGTCTTTATGTTTTACCAGATTGCCGTTTTCTTTCTTTTCGAACACGAAAATCATGGTTCTATTGAGAGGGAATAGTTTGATAATTTAATGGTTGATGGTTGTGTATTTTTGATATCAAAGAAATCCTCCAACTTTATTTAGTTTCATCTTCACCTGGAGCTTTATTATTCCTCATTAATTCAAGTTTATCTCTCTCTGATCCTTGGTTAACAACACTCTCTAATTGCGTGTCTTCTCACAGACAACCCTGTATAAAACAACTAGAGGCACTCGATTCAAATAAAACTAAATTAATTTATTTCTTCCTTTCCAGGCTTTGGCAGAATTCGAACGCCTAGAACACACAATGACCCTAGACTTAGAAACTCTAGAAAAAGACGGTTTCGACAGCGAAAACCCCGTCTTTACTTGCCTGGTTGCCGAGCTATCCGATGGTTACATTGTCGGTTACGCCCTCTACTACCAATCGTACTCGACATGGTTAGGACGTTCGGTATTCCTCGAAGATCTGTACGTACAACCGGCTTACAGGAAAAACGCAATCGGTACTCAACTATTTTTGGCAGTAGCCAAAGTCGCGCACGAGTCACCGAGTAAAAGATTGGACTTTCACGTGCTATCTTGGAATCCCGCAGCCGATTTTTACAAGAGGCTTGGTGCCGTGGATATGACTATTCACGAGAAATGGCATCACTTTAGAATGGACGATAGTTGTTTGGATAAGTTGTTTTCATGATAATAAGTTTTGATATAATTTAGATTTAAGAGACAATTTTGTTTTGTAATTCGTTTATGATATTATTCAGTATTTTGGTGACTGATAAAAAGTTACAGGGTTGATTTGATTTATAGATTTTGCCTTACCTATATATCATGAATTTTTATAAGCAGAATTAGTATATGTATATTCAACTATTTGATTGTTATGCGATACCTATATTTCCGAAACTCTTGGAGCTATCCAAGACTTATGTTTAAACCTTACCAAAAATTTCAATGAAATACTTCACCGTCACCAAGCAGACTAAAATATGCTCCCAAGGCATAATAAACTTTTTATATTCTTAGCATAGCGTTACCCTACTTTTAGTTAAAATCAAATTGTTATTTCTCAATACTTGGCAGCTAGAAGTTTATCAACAACTGTTTTGGTAACTTTTAACTTGTAGTTTTAGGTTTCTTTTACATGGAACTTTATAAGCATTGTGTATTTAAATAAAAACTGTATCTAGAATTCTATACCCACAGTTGTTTTGCTACCGCTCAGAAACAAACAAAAAAATCACCGCTGTAATAATTTCATATGTACATCTATATAGTAAAAAGTGATGAAACAAGATGATTTCCTTGTGAAACACCAGATATAAATTCTTCGACAGTCAGACATGATCGGAGTGTAACTCCTTGTCTAGAAAACATGGATTGATTAATCTAATACCGCCGTAATTGAAAGAGTTCTGAGTTCTGGTGTCAATTGTTGAAATTAAGTTACTCTTCCAAATAAATTCCATTATTCATACCAAGCAGCTTCACATTTACAGTTAACTTTGAAAAATCCAAAACCCAATGGAAAAAAAATTTAAAGGTTTTATTTTTAACTTACTGAATATACATAATATATCTTATTCTTCTAATAGAAATTACTACACTTAATCGTATAAATCACACCTGTTGTAGGCTCATGAATCCTCAAAAGCCCTTCATCATTTCCCAAAGCATTCTGCATATTATAAATAGTCAAATTCCCACCATCCACTAATCCCTCGTTTGTATTCACCACAGCATCATTAGCAGTATTTACAACAACATTCTCATTTTGCATAGGCTCGTCCGGACTTAGAGAATCACTTTCCAAAGGTACGGAATCATTTCCTAAAGTATCAGAATGATTTTCCGAAGTATTGGGATAATTTTCCACAGGATCGGGATCATTTTCCACAGGATCAAGATCATTTTCCAAGGTGACATTTTGATTCTTTGATTGGTGAAATTTTTTTAAATGAGTATTCAAATTATGTTGTTCGGCAAACTTTTTTGAGCACAAGTTGCAGGCATAATCTTTGGCTGATGGCTGGTGGGCCGTTCTCAAATGCCTTTTCAAATGGGATTGTGTTAGGAATGCGTGCTTGCAAATTTCACAGACGGCGTCTCTCACGTTCGCGTGGATTTTCAGGTGCATTCTAAACGAGCTCTGGTGGATAAAATCTTTTCCGCAATGCTCGCATTGGAATCGAGGTACACCTAGAATTTTACCCTTATTATTTACCTATTGAACTATAAAAGACATTGCACCTAGGATGAGAAGGGATTTACTCTTTATCTTCTATTCATCTATAATTTTTGCGCTTCTAATAAAATTCACACCCAACATACAATGCAAACTTTGACCTGATTCTCGTCAACAAAAGCAAAAAAATTACCAACACTCATGAAACATTCAATTAATCTCAATAAGAAACAATTACGAATAAATTGATCGTGTAGCATACAAGGCTGTTAACTAACCAATTTAGGTTGGTTATCTTTAAATAATAATTTATTTCTTTATAAATAATTCTTACCTGTATGTAAGTGTAAGTGTCTCTTCAAAGCCGCTTTTTGTTGAAAACTCTTACCGCACACATTGCAAAGGCACTCGTCGCTTTGTTTATTCAGAGCCAACAATTTGATTTCGTCATCGGCGTCGTCATGTTTTTTTATGTGTTTCAAGTAGCCGACTTGCATTCTGAAAGACATGCCGCAAATTTCGCACAAAAAGTCTTTTGGTTTTTCTTTGTTGGCTTGTTCAACGTGGTTGGATAGTTCTTTTTTAATGGAAGATTGAATCTAAAAAGGAATAGTGTAGGTATATTATTATGAAACAAATGGAAAAGGACGAGAGGTTAACCACCTTGGAGTGATAGTGTACAAGCATGCGGGATTCCCAAATGGAATTCTAGATTTTGAGAAACTCCTCATTTTTATATCAGAACAACTCAATAATGAGTAAGATGCTGCGGAACTCGCTCCGCTTGTCCCACAAAGGTTCAAAAAGGAGTAGAACTCAGTTTACTCATGAAATGTATTTCTTACTTATCAGTTTAAAGTTTAATTCATATTCAGGTCAGAATTTTTCTTATCAATGAGTGAACTAGTCACAAACTTCTGTGGGACGAGCGGAGCCAGCTCCACAGCAATTAAGTCATGAAATTCACTCATTAGTTCAATAACTCATTCATTTTTGATTCAGAATTATTACTTATTAATTCGAAAACTCACTAGGTAATTTTCAGGTCAGCACATTTTTACAGTTTTTTCATGCAACTTTGATTTAGAGCTTCAAATGAACTTCAAATTAACCTTTCCATATGAAAAATACTTTAATTCGTTATTTCTGAAAGTTTCAAGTCACTGTGATCATTAGAAGTACTTTGCACGAGGGATTTTTGCAGATTTTAATAATTTTTGCATGTATTAACTTAAGAAGAAGCTTCCAAATTCAGTTTGAAGCTTCAAATCAACTTCAAATGAACTTTTCCACAAAGAGGAAACTTTAATTCATAAATCCTACAGGTTTCAAGTCACTGTGATCATTAGAAGTACTTTGCACAAGTGATTTTTTCAGATTTTGATTATTTTTGCATGCATTAACTCATTAATTCAAAAACTCCTCATTTTTATATCAGAACGACTCATTAATTTTCAGTGGAATTCCAGTGGGATTCCTTAGAATTCCAGTAGGATTTCGTGGGATTCCGTTAAAAATGGGATTCTAGTGTACGTATTTTTCAAGTGGTTTACCCCTGGGAAAAAGATGAAAACCAAGAAGACAAAACAACGAACAATACTGACAAAAATAATCAGTATCTGTATATGTAATTCGTTTTATATTCGCGTATTTTACGTTAAAATGAAAGAAAATCATAAATAGTTGAAAAAAACTGCAGTCGTAGATAAAATGTTACATGTGGTACAAGGGCTTTCAACACGTACCTACAAAACTCTTGAGTGTTGTACCAACCACAGGCTATCAATTGTGCAAAATAGATAAATTGTATTTATTACTGATCAGGTAGGTACAAAGTATCCTATGATACAAGTTCTCGTTTTCAAGAATAAAAGAAGAACAGGTTCTGCAAAATATAAAAAAATTAAAGTCAGTCAGAGAAGTCCACTGGTGGGGACGTTATACCAACCTCTATTTTTAAGGGATTTGGCAGAGGCTCTATCTGTGTCTCTAGCTCTGATCTATAACTTGTCAATCGAACAAGACAAATTTTCTGATAATTTAAAGATGTCTATGGTTTGAAGCGTGCTTTCTGAATTCAGTTGCCAAGATATTTGAGAGATTGCTTTATGATTATTATTTTGCTTTTCTTTATAGAAAACTTCTCCCCAGAACAGCATGTTTTTTTGCCGGGAATGTCTACTGTCTCAAATCTGTGAGTTTTTACAGACTCAGCAGCAAAAGCTATTGATCGCAAAGCTCAGCTAGATGTCATCTTGATGGACTGTACCAACACTTTTGACAAGATGAATCACTCCTAACAGTCTAAACTTTGGTTTCAAGGAATGCATGACTCTACATACGGTTATATCTCTCTGACAGGTTGAACCAAGTTCTCGACCAAGTTAGAGTGGGAAAAAACCTGTCAGAATCTTTTGTATCTATATCGGAGGTGCCTTAGGATAGCAACTTGAAGATCTCAACAGTGCAGGATTCACGGGAGGTACAGTGTGATTTAAATTCGACTTGTCAATGGTTTGAAGATAATAAAATGATGCTCAACACATCTAAATGTCAAGTTTACAAGAAAAACACAATATTTGGAGTACAAATACATAATAACATTGTGTGGTTGGCTTCATTATCAAGTCAAAGTTTTTCACTAGGTTTTTTATAAGAACTGAAACAGTTATACTATTTCACAATGCAGTAGTAAGACCCCACTTAGAATATGCCGAGGAATATGCATGATACATATTCCTCAACATAATGCATCTGACCTATGGGTGCCAAAAGCAGAATCCAGTAGTTATCTAATAGACAAAGCTCAAAAGAGATTCCTAAGGTTCTTTTATGTAAGAGAGTTTAATGTTTACCCATAAATCTAAGAGAATTTGCAATAGGATGTTGACTTATTTCAATCTACAGCGACTCTACAAAGACTGCTCTTTGATAAATAGGATTAGTTTTCTTGTCTAAAAGGTAGGTACATTCAAGGATTAGCATTAGGTAAAGTACCCAGTTGTTGACATGTTAAGGGTATTCCTCGGGGTATTCTTGCTTATGATCACTACATATTTTCCAAATTTTCAAATCCAAGGCTTTGATATATTTTTTGGCGTGATTTCAAACTCATAATTGAATGCCTAGATATATTATTTACTCTATATTCCTATTATTTGTGTTATTATGCCAAAAATACCTGGAAGGTGATAAAACCCCAATAGTTGACACCCAAAAAAGTTCACTTCGCCAAAAGTTGACACATTTTTGGTCCAAAGGTTGACATATATTTTTTTACCAAACCAAATTTCTACTCATCACGGTCTATGGAACGAAGAAGTATTTTTTTCCAAGTGTACAATTTTTTAAATGAAATATATGCACATAACCAATTATTTTAATTTTTTTTAAATATATGTTGTGGTTCCATTACTTGACACTCTTGAAACCAATAGTTGACATGTTGCCTGTATCAGTAGAAACCCTGGTAGATGTGAGAATCAAACTTTTTATTAATAAAAAATAACATTGGGAAACTTTTTGTTGGGAAAAAAATACAAATTTCAGTTCCAAATTGGTAATAAAAGAAATTGCTTGGAAAGCATTGGTATATTGTGTTTTTTTGCTGATGTAGCTAAAGTAAGCCCCCTATCGCAATCATCCAACGCAGCAATCACGTCTTCTGGTAGTTCTGGTGCATATTTCAGCAATTTCCATCTTTCATAAGCCATCTCTTGATTTAAACCTGAAAGGACCAATTGTTGACACTCCAAAGCTCCAAACATTCACAGGGGTAACAGGGGTGTCATCTATTGGATCTACAACCGTTACATTCCCCAAACCCATATCTAGGTTTCTTTTCAATCCAGAGCAATAAAAAGAGACAGACTACAATGTTAAAATATTTTTACCGCCAAAAATCCATAAGTTGACACTAGTGTCAACATTTGGATCGCCCCTTGATTTGGGATCCAATAGTTGACACCCCCCCCTAAAAAGTTTATGCCAGTTGTTAAGGAGATAAAACAAAAATAAATATGTATTACAATGTATCTTATTATACAGTAAATATTTAATTTGTTTATTAACGGACTTGCCATTTAGCTTTTACAATCTATCATAAATTACATTCAATGCACTAAAATTACAATAACTAAAATACAACTACAAAAAATAGAATAGGATAATTAATAGATTCACCCAGCCTTTCCAGTAATTTGATACAATTTAAAGAATTAACTTTATAAGTCTCTTAAAACAAGCAAATATATATTATTCATAAATTATCAACCCTACCTTAGCTTTGAGAACTTTTGTTTTTATATCTTCTCAACTAATTTCATTAGAAATCTGGAAAAAAGTTCAAACAATTGCATCTGATTACTACTTTTTGCTATCATTTTGAAAAAACTTGTGATTTCAAATCCATGCATCAGCTATAACACGCAAGAGGGCTCCAACAATACTATAAGCTATTTCAGTAAGCTTATAACCTCTATAAATTCTTATTTTCAGGAATAATATGCTAATGTGTCAACTTTTGGGTCCCTGTCAACAACTGGGTACTTTACCTTAAATAGAAGTGGAGATAAATGTCCGCCTTGCAAAACCCCAGAAGGTATATCACCCGGTATATCAATCTCAGTCAGATAACATTATCTACTTCTACTTTTTGCTTTCTTCCTGAAAGCTGATCAACAATCCAATCCAAGAAACTACCATGAAAACCTATGCATTCCAGTTTATTTTTTAGAATCCTATGGTCAACTCTGTCCAAAGCGCCAAACAGAGTCTGTTCAAATTCCAACAAATTTGAAGTCGTGGACTTCCCTTTTCTGAAACCATGTTGTTCACAAATTATTAAATTTTTAAATAAAAGTGTTATTTTGTCCGTTATTATCGCTTCTAGTATCTTAGAGAAAATGGAAATTCTAGAAACAGGCCTGTAATTCTCAATTGAGGACTTATCTCCACTTTTGAAAATTGGAGTCACAAAACTGGTCTTCCATGCTTTTGGAAAAATACCCCTGCTCAATGATCTATTATAAATTTGACACAATAAAAAGGAAAATATACATAATGCATTTCTTACCTTTTCAAATAATTTATCATTTTCAGCTACTTGTTTTTTGGTTACTCTAGATATTATTTCTCTGCTCGGTTCTACATCAATCATACTGGTTTCAATAATTGGCTTAACTCTTTTGATTGTTATAGGCAACTTTTTCAAATCTATAGAATCAACTTTAATTTCTTCTTCTTCAGAGGAATAATCCTTTTTTAATTGCCCCTCAATTATGGTACTTTTACTAGGACTAGGCGACTTAGGTGAGCTACAGTTAGCCATGTCAGTATAATCAAAATAATCTTCATTGTCGCTCGATAAATTGGTATCCAAGTTAGTTTTCTCGATTCTTGATATGTTTTCTTTCAATTTGGTGAACAATTCCTTTTGTCTATGCTGTATGGCATCCAATTCATTCAGCACTTCGTAGCAGGCTGAGCATATGTTGCAGTGCAAAAATAATACGTTTTTGTAGAATTTTTCTACTAGTTTAATAAGTAAAACGTTGGATTTTTCTGCGAATGTTGTTTTCAAGTTGTACTGGATTTTATTTATGTGTTCTCCGCATATTACACAACTGCTTCTGGTCAAATACATGGCACTAGGGATTTTTCTAAGAAAAAATAAAGGGACACTTAGATAAATTATAAAACTCGCCTATTCTGAAGAATGAAGACGAGGCAAATATTATTAACAAATAAACAAAAATCCAAAAATGTAAACAAATTAACCTGAATCACAGCTTCCTCAGCCTCCCTGAATGGTTTGGTTGACAGTTGACGTAGAACTTGTGCACTAGGTGCAGTCATTTGACACTCGTTCCAAAGGGACGGTTCGAAGTGCACTAGAGCTATTTTTCAACTTTCAACGACAAGGTCGAATAATTCTTAAGGGATAGATTTTGTATAATTCGAATCTTATTATAATCTCGAGACTAAGTATTTACAATGAATATTTACTCCAAAAAAAAACTAGTACCTAAATATCTTGTTAAAATCACCTTTTCAAACAAACTCAAACCTGAATCGCAAGCATCCGATCGACATCAGCCGCTTTCCAGCTGACGCTTTTGAGCACGCAATCGAGCTTTTGCGCGCGCAAATGCTTCAAGCGCATGTTCGTGTTCCAGCCGTACTGCGCTTCGAGAGCTACTAACTTTTGCGTTTCAAACACAGAACACTGTGCTGCACTATGCTTGAAGCACACAGCTGGAAAGCGGCTATAGAGGCTTGCGGTTGACGTCACCACCATAAGCTGCTTTGAATAGTAGTGACGTCACTCGCAGGCCCTGCCGATTCCAGAATTGGCCAACATACGCCTTTCGCCTATGAGGGAAAAGCAATCCTGTAAGTTTTTCGATTCTTGGTCGCCTTTCAAGAACACTCCCCCACGTTAGCAGGCTAGAGTCGTTTTCCAGTGACGCACTTTAAGCACTCCTTAGATGCTCTAGAGCGCCCCGGGCTGTTTATAGGCGTTCCAGTTTCGCCCACCAGGAATGTTCATTTTTCTTCTCCCCTGCCCTCTCAAGCACCAACAATTTTACGGGTGCATCAAAAACACGACGCTTAAAGTAGGGTGCGTTCCAGTCCAGTGAAACAACAGTTATTTGCAGCAACAGAGTGTGAAGCTACGAGTGTGGAGCACCTGAAAATTCGTCAGTGAAAGCGGCTCTGACCTTAGACCTACTTTTGTGTATTCTTCCTCCCCTCGCTCCTCATACGGAAAGTGTTCTTAAATTAAAAACAATAAACTAAAACATTACGGTTTGCCAATGACCAGTTCCCGAGGCAGCAGTGTCTGCGGGTGACGTCCTCACTATCAACAGCTGATAGTGGTGACTGCACCCGCAGACCTTGATGAATTGTTTCCCATTCCGGATAATGCATTTTACGCCATAGTTGAGGTCTGCGGCTGACGTCACAAATAGTGGAGAGTTGTCGGGTGGACTTGGTAGACCTAGCAGATCTATTGTTAAGTGCTCCTGGTCGCCATCCATCTCTAACGACTGTAACACGGTGACATCGGAATTTGACATCATTCGGAAACGCCATGTTGAAAAATTGACCGTGACGGATTTTCGTATCGCTGGCTCAAGGACACTAACCTAATAGAACTGCTTATTAGCCGAAATTGTCTGCCATTTCAGCTGTGACCTCAACTCTTGGCCTAAGATGCATTAGCCGAGTTTAAGACCCTATAGGTAAAAAAAGCGAATTCCTGAACGTTAAATAAATCTTGTAAAAATCACCTCTTCTACATTTGAAATTGACGAGAAAAGTAACTAACGAGCACGGCCTCAATCGCAAGCATCTCATCGAGGTCTGCGGGTGTCGTCACCACTATAAGCTGCTGTGTCGTCACTCGCAGGCCCTACCGGCTCGAGAATTGGCAAGTACACTTTGGCTGAGTTCGGCTTTACACTCTGTAAACTTTGAGCGCGCTCGAAACGATAAAATCCTGTTCGTTTTAGCTCTCAGAGTGTTCTCTTTTTCGATGGGCTTATGACCGCGTATGACGTCACGATAGCCATGTTCATACCGTTCCGTTGCGTGGAATGCAAAGCCGAACTCAGCCTTTGTTTCACCAGGGTTTATACTTTTGACGCGCGAACATAGTTGCCAAAAGAAGAAAACAAAAATTGTTAGCGGGCTGCCAACATCAAAAACCCAGAAGTCATTTATTTTAATTTGTCAAAAAAAATTAATGTGTAGCATGAACTAATCTACGACAACCCTTTTACTCCAAGTTGTGACGTATTCGATAACAAAAGTATGAACCCTCGAAAAACGAACCTTAGATATTTTATTATTTCTATTCTGCCCAATACAAGCTAAAATTGATGGCTTTTCTTTTCAAAAACATTCATAATAGGCGGCAAATTTGAATTTTAGATATAATTTATTCAGTAACTTTTGTTTTTAATTTTGACAGTACGCTAGTAATCCTTTTTTTCCAAGTTATGACGTCTTCGATGTCAAAAGTATGAACATGTACCCTCGTGAAACGAACTTTATACGCTTGGAGGATTAGCAATCTAGTTTACGATTCTTGTCGCTGGTACCGCTGGCACATGACCCGACCCACAGCCTTGAAATTTTACTAGTATGCAATATGCATGTTTCTTTTCGATTTCATTAGTTATAACAAAGAAATGGAATTTATTTATCCTTGGCGGGAAAATTAGAAATAATCACAGAGCCGCTTTCCAGTATGAGAGTGTGAAGCTCGGAGCTACTGGGAGCGTTGAGCTCCCGAGCTAAACGTACGGACAAACGTCTCACGTCATGATACTGGAACGGTACAAATCTAGTGCGTGGCGCTCCCGGGATGCTCTAGAGCACGCTAATGTGCATAATGAAAAGCAGCTCTGTTTGGATATTTGTTGCTCCAAAAGTTCTGGGATGTTCGGGTATACTTTACCAAGAACGTGCGATAAAAAACTGCTCTGACTCCATTCCAAGTCAGTGTTGATTTGCCGAACCCAAAACGTTTGGAGTGGGCTCTATGTTTAGCTATTCCAACCTATTAGGGAACCCTACATTTTCACCGTCCATCAGGTTTGTGTAAAATACGAGAAATCCGTATACAGAGTGGTTCTGAAACCGTTCTTGGTGGGTTGGAACAGACCTATAGGCGACTGTGAAAGTTATTAAATATTCTTTTTTTTTTACCCATATTCGAACGGTTAGAGTAGTCTTCGGAGGAGTACTAGAGTGTACGGAGTGATCAAGCTGAGTGTAAATTGACGTGTACTGTTCCTGTCAAATCCGGTGGTGGGTAGTCAAAATGTCAAAAATGTAAATAAAACAATTTTTGAAAACATTTAAATATTTATATTACTATTTATTAACAAACCAACAATTTGTATAAAATGCCGATATTGTTTTCTGCAAGCAGAAGCATCCTAATTTTTTACGTTCTCTTCTGTTGTGCTTGCATTATCAATGGTGCGGTTGTTCATAAAACCTATTCTCATGGGACTCACGAACATACAAATTTGAATAAGGAACGCGAAAGTGATGGGGCATATTCACCAAGAGAAACACAGCATTACGATGAAGATGGTAAGAAAAATAAGCATGCTTGTAAAAAACACATTGTAATGCTGAATTTGGACTTCCTATCTGGTTTCGTCTCACTTTAAGTTATTGAATGTCCTACTATTTATTTCATAGGTGCGCATCATGAAGACTTTGATCACGAAGCCATACTAGGAAGTGCCAAAGAAGCTGAGGAATATGACCACTTGCCACCTGAAGAAGCCAAAAAAAGATTAGCCATCCTATTAAAGAAAATGGACTTGACAAATGATAGTTACATTGATAGACAAGAGTTGAAAGCTTGGATATTGAGGTCGTTTAGGTAATGGAACTGGAAAATTCAACTTGTTACAGAGGAAACTCCTCAATGCAATTTTGCTTAAACTCTTATTTGCAGTTTTCAGAAAAGTATAAGTATGTAATTCCTTACAGTTTATTTCCTGGGTTCTTATTCTTGAAACAAGAGAGCAGAGCACACTTGTTCTCATGGGAGAACAAGTGTTCTGTCTTTCTTAATGAATATGCAAATGATAATATAAGTAGCAAACATTTGTTCTTCTGCTCTCGTGTTTCAAGAATAAGAACCCAGAAGGAGAAAAAACTGTATGGTAACGTAGTGTTTTTTTCTTAGTTAATTTTTGGAACTTCAAAAAATTTGAGAATAGTCATGCACTGTTGCATGTTGCATACAGGCCTCTTGTAACTTCATTCAATTTTCCCTATTTTGTGAGATTATTTTAAAATAAAAAAAGCCTAGTAAAGTAAACAATTTATACAAAACTGTTGTAATTTGCTCCAGGATTACATAATTCCTTAATTCTTATATACCAATGTTAAAATATAATTTTAACATACACTTTTTATTAGAATGTTATCAGAAGAAGAGGCAAACGAAAGACTGGAAGATTGCGATGATAATCATGACGGAAAAGCTTCTTGGACTGAATATTTATCAGACACTTATGGCGTAGATTCCGACTCTGATGATTCGCTCAAGTTTCACGAAGAAAACTTACATGTTAGTATACGAATTGTGTGGCATAGAAAATATAAAAAATCCGATTCTTTAGTTAATCTCAGAAGACAAAGAAATGTGGGATGCTGCCGATAGAGACGGCGATGGCCTGTTGGATTCTCAGGAATTTGTAGCGTTTGCTAATCCAGAAGAGCACCCCAACATGTTACCTTTAATTTTGAATCAAACTTTAAGAAATAAAGATAAGGATAATGATGGAGCGATTAGTTTTCAAGAATATATTGGCGACAGAGGCACCGAGCTGGACAAAGATGCCTTGAAGGCAGAAAAAGATAAATTTGACCAGGAACATGATAAAAATAAAGATGGGGTGCTGACTGGGCAGGAAATATTGAGTTGGATTGTACCAAGTAATGAGTAAGTAAATGGTTTAAGTCATAGCGGTTTTTATAATAATTAAACATTTTAGGGACATTGCAGACGAAGAAGTTCTACACTTATTTGCGCACAGTGACGATGATCATGATGATCTTTTAAGTTTTGACGAAGTCCTTGATCACCATGAAACTTTTGTCGGTAGCGAGGCTACTGATTATGGTGATCATTTGCACAATATTCATCAGTTTGACGACGAATTGTGATTATTTTCACTTAGATATTTTGTTTACAGAATTTGGTAATCATGTAGGAGTTGATCTATTTCACCATTTTCAAGTTATTCACGATCAAATCCAGTGTCTTCCTACGGGTATTCAATTGCTCTCTTTTCTAGATTTTAAGTTTACTTAGCTTTACCGTGTATAGTCAATGTGGGTAATTGGAAACAGAGAACTGATCATATATTGGACTTTTTTATATCTTAGCTGAAGTTTTTTGATTACCGGTTCTGGTTTTTTCCTTAGTAGAATACATTGTTTGTGATTTATTTATTTTTGTGTTAGAATGTGTGCCATTTGTAAATTTTATTAATGTAAATTAAATATATTATTGACTGATATGGGGTTTCATTTGAAGTTTTGTTATCAAGATTAAATAATAAAAACATACCTACTATAACTAATAGACAGCAACAAATAAATATTTATTTATAAATAACAAATGTATGTATATACAGGAGTCAAATACATGAGTTTTAAATATTATTGGCTCCTAATTAAAAATGTAATGTAATGTTAAAAAATAAAGAATAATTGTTTGACAAAAATTTATACAATATACAATAATAATAACATTTACAACTATAAATTTAGATCCCGTTAAAAAAAAATTCGCTATTTTAGACAGAAAAAGTACTTTGTTCAATAATAATTGTCTACTTAACAATTTAGGAGATTGGAAACCTGCAATTTGCGATTAGTGAAGCTACTTTCATACCGATCACAAAATACCTTACCTTACGCCAAATAATTAAATTGATTTTGTGAATAAAAAGCCCTAAAATACAATTATTAATTAGTGTTTGGTGAAATTACATTATTATAATACCATTGGCAGCCTCCCAGAAAAAATTGGGGCTTGAATTTATATTAGAAATACTCGCAAATAAATAGGCATTAAATATACTATTCCTTTGGCGTTTGGTTTACAAGGGCATTTCGAAATTGATGTCTAACTTGGCGTCGCGCGCCAAACTGACGATATTCGACAATTTAACCGCTAACCTGGCTGCTTCGTCCAGGTTGTCTACCGGCAAAATCTTCAATCCCGAACTGGCGATCAAAACTTTCGCGTCGTCAACATTGGTGCCTTGTAGCCGACAAACTATTGGCATTTTGAGACTGAGTTCTTTAGCGGCAGCGATGATGCCTTCGGCGATCACGTCGCACCTCATGATTCCACCGAAAATGTTGACCAGAATTGCGTGGACCTAAAGATAGGAAATTTTAGCACAGCAGATATTTGATTGAATGGAACAAGCGCTTTCTGGTTTCTTGATAAGAAGTGCTTCTTTGATTCGTTTCACAGTCTCATCAATTATTTTATTGACAATTTTCAAATCCAGCTCCTAAATTTCTGCATGTAAGAAACGATATTTTTGGTTAGTTCAGAGAGATCTTTGATAATACTATGTATCGTGGCAAAGCACTCATAGATATTCTTACATTTCTCACAGCTCTAGATCAAAGACCATTAAAAGGATCTTCAATGTTCTTGCTTTGGGTTAAAGAAAATAGAGTAATTATGCAGAAAAAAATAACGATTTGTTTTAAATATTTCTCACGAGTTGAAGTGACATTATTAATGGAAAAAAGCCAATGAATTTCTTACCTTGGGATCGGCAGTTATAATTTTGAAAGCCTCCTTAACAGCCTGCGCTGTGGCACCACCTCCAACATCTAAAAAGTTAGCTGGCGATCCTCCGTGTAAAGAAATTATGTCCATGGTGGCCATGGCCAAACCGGCGCCGTTTACCATGCACCCAATATTACCGTCCAAAGCAATGTAGTTTAGATCAAACTGAAGAAAAAAACCATGAAAACAAGGAAAAATAAAAATAAAATTTTCTTACTTTGGAAGCAGCTACTTCCTTCTCATCTTCCTGTGTCCAATCTCTTAGAGCGAAAAGTTCCTTTTGTCTGAATTGAGCGTTGTCGTCGAATCGGAATTTAGCATCAAGTGAAAAATCTAGAAAAAGTATAAACTCCAGCATTTGTAAATCTTACCAGAAATTATGATTTAATTTATTGGGTTATTTTTAAATTAGTATTTGAGTATCAACAATTCACTTACATTTTTCTCCAGCATCCTCGGCATAAGGATTAATTTCAATTAAAAGCGCGTCTTTCTTGACAAACAACTCGTACATTTTCAAAAGCATCTGAGCCGTTTTCTCCTTTTGCGATTCCAGTCCTACTTTGACCGCAACTTTTTCCGCTTGTTCTTTGGTCAAGCCTTTCATTACGTCTACTGGTTCGTAGAGGATGGCAGTTGGGTTTTCAGCTGCTACCTCTTCAATATTGACACCGCCTTGAGATGAAGCGATGATGACTGGACCCTGGAGAATTGGATTGAATTAAATTTTATTTATGTACTGGCCATTTTAAAGGACAAAAATTCTTAGTCTTAGTAGTAGCAATCTTCATTTATTTATTTATTACAGTCTTTAGGACACAAATGGAACAAGTCCAAAAATAGTAACCTGATATTACATTCTACAAGAATATAATAAAAATATATCAATAGGTAATTAACAAATCTAAAAGTAATATCTAGCTAAAACTAAAAATACAGTATAGTATATAATAGAACAAAAAGAGGTACCCTGCATCAAAACATCACAAACAATAAAGCATAAATTGATTGATTGATTGAACTACCACCCCAAAAGCTTCAACTTGAGATTCCTTTCAAAAGATATTAAACTTGTTGAGAATAAATCTAGGTTACAGTTAGTACAATGTAAGTTAGCAGACTTATGGCTGGTATTATAAAACACTCAACTTCATGTAAATTGATAGGATTCAACCGAAGGTTGAAACTCAACCATCGGTTCAGTGTTTTATAATACCGCTCCTTAACCATTCTCGTCAAAGGTGCATTCTGACTGTAATTTGTTCTACAATATGGAACATAAAATAAATATGGGTTTCTGAGTTTACGAGCGGGTACATTAAATTTGATTCTTGAAAGAATTGCCGGAGAACTAAAGAGATTATTAACAATTTTAAATAACGTCAAGATATCTGCTAAAGTTCGTCTTCTCTCCAGTTCTAAAATTCTAAAGTGGGATCGAACCAATGAGTAATCAGGATCCACTCTATGAAAATTGGTTTTATAGATAGGAATCTCAAAAAATTATTTTGTATTTTCTCCAATCTATCGATTTTATTTTTATATTAAGGATTCCATATGACTGAGGCAAATTGTAGTACTAAAAACATATGAATAATGAAGTGTTTTCATGGTCTCAGAGTTATGAAAATCTGAAAATCAGCACATTGTCTCTTAATAAAGCCCAACTTTCTGTTACACTCATTAATCAGTTTGTCAATGTGTAGATTGAATATCATTTTGAAATCAAATAGCACAACAAGATCTTTAATGCGGGAAACCCTTTATTAGGTATGTGTATAACTGATCAATCATATTGTAATTATTATCTAACTAAATAGAACATCATTTGAATCAAAAATATACAATTCAACAAATTGGAAGTTTATATGAAACTCACACCTAAAGTTGCGAATTTTTTTACTCATTGATTCCCGAGAAAATCATAAAATTCCGGTAGAACCGCCTTTGAAGCTTCCTGAAAAATACTTCGAGCCATCCCAGCAATTTGAAACTCCCAGGATTTCTTTAATAGAGTTTTTTCACGATACAAAACAAATTGGAAGTTGATATGAAATTCACAACTAAAGTTGTGAATGTTCTTACTCATAAATTCCTGATAAAATCGTGAAGATCCTGTAAAATCGCCTTTGAAGGGTCCTGAAAAATACTTTCTAGTCATCCCAGCAATTTGAAACTTTCAGGATCTATTATTTAGGTTTTTTCATGACACAAAACAAACTGGAAAAAGGCAAAGATCCCTAATGACATAAACCCTAACAAGTTCCATTCCATTCATTCATTCTTACTATGTCGGGGATAACAACAACCTGTTTTATTTAGTGCTCTTTCCTAATGTAAATTTGTGCTGGTTTTTCTCATCGGAAAATTGTGAGATTTGTATAATAGTGTGTGCCCTGGAGCCCAATTCTGTGATCATTTTGGTGAAGTAATTATTGATTTGGCAGTGGTTTTTAATCAATAGATGGACAATAGCACAATCATAGTACAATAGACATTCCATTCTTTGTTATCCTACTTGTTTCTTTCAATAAACAGTACAACTGTTCGTTGGATGTCAATAATGAAATTCCAAGTTTAAAGGATACGGATAGCTAAAATTTGCTACTGAATATTCCTGAAAAACTGTTATTTGCCAGTTTTGGATTTGGAAAATGGAATGTGACGTGTGTGAAAGGAAAAAAAGTACAGGTTTAAAGATATTTTTATGTGATGGATGCCACGAAAGAAATTGCATTGAGTGTGGTGACCTTACATCATCTGAAATAAAGGTGCTGGAACTGAAGGAAGGAAGAGTTATGCGATTCCTATGCTATGCAGAAAATGTCTAAAGTTTGATACTTTCGCTTTACTAAACAACACAATTGAGGACAAAATGTCTATTATCACTAGTAAAGAGGAAATAATAATGATGCTAAAAGATAAAGTGGCTCAACTGGAAGAAAAGAATAATAAGGAAATCGTACCAGTCAATCTTCAACATGATCCTATTTCTTCAACTAGAGAGACGAGAGACGCCTATGAACAATATACCAAATCTATTAATTCTACCCAAAAAATCTCAAAGAGCTAACATAACAAAAAATGATCTGCAACGAAATATTAACCCACCTACATTAAAGATTGGAATTAAGAATACAAGATCGACAAAAAATGGAGGAATCATGATAAAATGTAACACTAAGAATGATGTGGAAAAGCTCAAAAAAGAAGCTGAAACTAGACTTCGTGAATGACATTCAAATAACACAAATGCGAAATCCAAGAATGCTATGTGGATTCTTAGATCTATGGAAAGATGCAAGGAAAGACATGACTTTGCACTACCTACTTATCAATAAGTACCAAATGATTATCTTCACACTAGTAGAAGAAATTGTCAATATCCTTGTAAAATTGAGAAATTTACAGTGTTTAAACACATTTTTAACATAGTTCAAGGAAATACTGAAAACTCCATCCTCTGAGGGGGCTGATGCCCACCCTGCAAAACAAAAGGGAGTGATGTTGACCTCTGATGAGACTGAGTTTTCCATTTGTACTTTCTGTTTTCTTCCTGAACATTTGTCAATGACCCCTTTTAAAAAGGCTCCGTGAAACCTTATAGTTTCAAGTTTTTTTTCCAGAATTTTATAGAAGAAGAAGTACATATCTATATACATTACACAAGAATTACAGCTTCACTAAATTTATATAGCATTTGAGACTTTCATATCACATTTAAATTATTATTATTATTATTTTGTCCTTTAGCAGGCAGTAGAAACTGATGAGGCTATTGCCAAATTGTCTAAGTACATGTATTTGATGTATTGCACTATAAAACAGAAGGCTTTCTGGAAAACTATTTCTATGGCTCATAATGGTCTTGAGGTGGATTCCTGCATCTCTTGCATTAAATCACAGTTCATATTTTTTCAGAGTAACTTGTCATATGCATGAATAAATTACATATATATATATATATATATATATATATATATATATATATATATATATATATATATATATATATATATATATATATATATATATATATACATAATATTTTAATCTTGAGCAAACAAGAGTACAGCATAATCACACATAAAACTAATTAAGTATGTTTTTATGATAGATAAGTAGGTACTAACAGGGTTTCAAAGATACCTAAAGTAGCTTATTACATTCCTCAATATTATTATGATTTCTAGATAACATTAATTCCATTCATTATTAGATACTTACTGCGAATGCCCTCTCCATCATAACAGCAAAGTAGAACTCCTTCCTGGGGAATTTACGTTCGGCTACCATTACAGCGTTACAAATTCTGCCTTTTTCGCCGGTTTGTTTCGTTACCAGGTATTGGTTGAGCATTTGTCCGGAGATATCTTCAGCTTCATCAGGTCTGAAACCATCGAAAATAATTTCAAGCATAATTGATAACAATTAAAAAATCTACTAGGATGGTTTATGAAAATCTTGCCCTTGCCATTCTCTATTTTGTTCATTTAGCATAACATATAATGCATCAATAAGGTGTCTCCTGCATTAATTAAAATTGAATTAAATTTAAACTGACTAATGTGTTCATTTTTGTTGGACTATAAAAATCGCTGCCACAGAAGTATGATCTCTGATCTCTGTCCCGATCCATTCCAACTAATAACTATAAGATTCTCTGATTTTTATTACTGACGAAACCACAATCGATAAACTATTGCCTGTATACCTGAATGCTGTTGGCAACACCTTTTATTTTTCAACAACTTTAATTTAGAAATGAATTCTGAAAATGGCTAAAATACTGATCAAACAACTTGAGGGAACTCAAATTGGATATGGAATTCAAGATATTTTCAGTACTGGTATTCTCGTTTTCAAAAACGCTCACCGCTTTTAAGTCGCTTGGCACTTCTAATGTAAATTTACATTGAAAGTGCCGAGCGGCTAAAAAGCGGTGAGTGTTTTCAAAAACGAGAATACCAGCCCAGTTGATTCTTAGTAGGTGTTGTTTTATTGTAATTGTGTTTTGGTTACATGAAATTAATCAAGATTATAAGGAGATTATCCTTGATTATGAGATTCTTTGTAATTAGTTATGCATAAATTATACTCAATTACAACAAAAATCAAATAGATTACAAGAGATTAAATGCCTTAATTTTACTAATTCCTGAAGTTATTGAACCAATTCTAATGTTTATGAATACACTTAGCCTTTGACCCTTTGTGTTACTATTTATTAGATATTAAAAATAGCTTCATATAATGTATAAAAATATACACTAAACAACTCACGAGTAAACCATCCTGACACCGCCCTTAAGTCCATTTTTAAAAGACCCTTTTCCTCGTCCGCCAGCAAGAACTTGAGCTTTGAGCACCAAATCTTTGGTGTTCAATGTTTGCGCAATCTTCTTGGCTTCCGCCTTGGTTTTGGCGACGCCAAAGTTGGGCACGTCGATTCCTGCATCCTTCAGTAAAGTATAACTTATGTGCTCGTGTACGTTCAGGTTCCTTTTCTGTTGGTGCTGCGGATTCCATCTACTATTAGCCACAGATCCTAAAATCTAAAAAACGTATTTATTTATAGACTTTTATGTAATGTTTTTAATCTAGGATCTAGGGTTCTGGCACATCGGTCAAGGTTATTTGAATTATTTTATTTTCGGGGTTTTTGGTGATATTGGTTCTAGTTTAATTTTGTACCTTTGGGGTGGATTTTATCACATTTTCAGTAATAGCGACGGTCCTCAGTAAAGTAGCCATTCTAAATTATAATTTGGGAATCACAGAATCAGGAAATGTTGTTAAATTATTCGGTCCAGTCAAAAAATAGATACTCAAATAGATAGTTAATCAAATATCACCAATTTAATTGATTATGAAATCGTCCTCTAAAGATTTATGACACTGAACTGCACTGACACTGGCAGCCAAACCAGCTGAGACTGACAGTTGTCAATTTTTTTTTTTCGTTTGGTGGTGTAGTTTGGGGGTTGACAACATTAGGCGAGTTCGGTTTAATCCTCCACATTAACCGAACACGCCTAGTGGATGAAAATCACGTACCCTTGAGCTACTCCAGAGCTGCTTTCTTTTAACGGGCTTCGGGCGCTGGATCACGATTTTGAAATGTGTCAACGATCTAAGGTCGGAAGCCTGGGGTTTCAAAGCTCTGAAAAGAAAGCACCTCAGAATCACTCAAGAGTGCTCCGCAGACCGCAATTACTCTTTGCCGTGCCCTACTTACATACATACACTGAACCAAGAGTCGTAAGCTCTAAAGAATTGCCGAATCGGTAAATCTGTCCGCCAATAGTTGTATTCCTTTCAAGAGTTTAAAACACTCGAGCTACTCGTTCCGGTGTTAGTCGCCCCCCGATTTAAAAGGAATAGATGCGTGGTGCAACAAACACTGTTCGAAAGGAATAAGCGCGTAACCCCCGGAGCTCCTCCTAGGTGTGAAAGGAATACAACTAATGCAATGCCAAAACTCGCGCTGGATGGGATGTCACTGCAGACCTGTATTGACGCGTTTACTGTAAATGCATGGAAAAGATAGGAAACTTGCAGAGTTTTTTTATGGATTATCATTATACGAATATGAAATAACACTAAACACTACTATTTCAGGTCAAAATGCACCGTCATAATGAAAATAGTCCGAATAAGGACTGCGACTGACGTCACGTGCGATTGATATTTTTGGAGAACGTAATAACATTTTTGGCTTTACTGCTCCCAGAGCGCTCCCTGTGTAGACGGTGACGTCACAGATCATTGCGGGAGGGTTCCGAGAGCGATTAAGCCGGGAACACACCTTCAACACGGTACGTCACGTTACGAGCTGGCACGTACCGTGACGTGTAATAGAAATTTGAGCTTAGAAATGCGCTATTTGCTTACTTTAAAACATGCTTCATACCCTGTCCTGACACTAGGTTTTTTTCAATAATTTTATTTTAGTTCCAGAAGTAATTAATATTCGTATATGTAATGTTAAAAAATGGAATGTGTCAGCAGTACCAATTCTTCCGATTGGCGATTAGGAAGAAGAACTAGAAGAGGCGGCAGTATGTTTACAAATATTAGAAAATAAAGCAAGTCATAGGACATTATGGGTAGATGAGTTTAACGAAAAAAGAGAACCATTAGACCAATTTCATCGTCTTGTTCAAGAATTACAAACCCCATTTTCGTTTTTCAAACCACAAGCACTAACCACACAAACATAGACAATTTTCCACAAAACTGCTTGCATACCCAGCACGCATGTGAGGAAAGTGTGTATTTCCACAAATCAACGACAAGCGGAGACACGCGTGTTATGTGACGACAGCGTACCGTGTAGGCTATACCGTACCGTGTGTGTTCGAGATCCATTAAAAGACACGTAAAATTGAAGAACTCACTTTACCTGCCCGCGCCAGCTCGTAACGTGACATACCGCCGAATTTGACGGTGCAAGAAAGAGCGCTCTGTGCGACATTTTAGAGCGTTCTATTGCTCAAGTCGAACACGTGAATCTCGTCGAGAGCCACGCTCCGAACATGTGAATCAGTTCCGGATCGCTTTTTTTTTATCAATTGGGTGTAGTTTTGAGGCAAAAGTCGAAAGCGCTTTATCATTGCTGTTAGAGGCTGTGCTGTTAGCCATTAGTTGTATTCCTTTCACACCTAGGAGGAGCTCCGGAACAGCTCCGGGGCTTCACGCGCTTATTCCTTTCGAAAAGTGTTTGTTGCACCACGCATATGTTCCCTGCAAATCGGGGGCGACTAAGCACCGAAGCGAGTAGCTCGAGTGTTTCAAGCTCTTGAAAGGAATACAACTATTGAGGTTAGCTCACAAACCGTGCGTTCGGTATTTTGATCTGAATTCTCCGAGCATAAATTTACCGTTCGTTTATTTAAAAAGTGTACTCGGTGCAGGCTCATTCACGTTCGATTATAATAATTTGGAGCCCTCTGATACAGCGTTTACTCTGTGTGCTCGCTGGTCACGTGATTACGGCTCCGCTCTGCTCTTTGACCAAAATACCGAACGCAAGGAAATGAAAGCGCCTTGTTATCAGAACATAACCTAATTTTTTTTGTAAACAATCCAAAATAACACATAAAACATTTTCAACCAATAATATTTCATATTTCTATAATATAACTGATTTTCTTTATACCATATAGGTGAATTTCCGAAGCTAGTCATACCAAATATTCATAAAATCCCATAAAAATGAGCCAAATCACCTCAGACGTTGAATCATTCTACCAAGATGCAGCTAAATATTGGTCCGATATCCCAGCGACAGTCAACGGGATGCTGGGAGGTTTCGGTAGTATATCAAGCACAGACATCCAAGGCTCCAAGCAACTGCTAAAGCAATTATTCAAGTCTAAATTTCCGCCCGGTAGAGAATACGCTCTGGACTGCGGAGCTGGTATTGGCAGAGTAACAAAATTCTTATTAACCGATTTGTTTGATAAAGTTGACATGGTCGAACAGAATCCGATATTTCTCGAAAAGGCTAGGAATTATTTAGGTACGAATTTGCTGGACAAGAAAATTGGGAAAATGTTTCCCATTGGCTTGCAAGACTTTATACCTGAACCCTGTCAGTATGACGTGATATGGGCCCAATGGGTGTTAGGACATTTGACTGATGATGATTTTGTTAAGTTTTTTATAAATTGCCAGTAAGTAGCAAGTAGCTTGATTGTATTATTATCTGCGATATTTTATGCTGCAAGTTTTTAGGACAGGCCTTAAACCAAATGGCGTTATTATAGCCAAAGAAAATGTAACTTTCACTGAGGAGATAGTAGTCGACGAGAAAGATTCGTCAGTTACCAGACCTATGGGTCTATTGAAGGAATTATTCAGTAAAGCTGGCTTACACATATACCGATTATCTAAACAAACGAATTTTCCTAAAGGATTATTCACTGTGTATATGTTTGTGTTAAAACCTGAAGATAGGGTAGATGAACCAGACGACAAAAAGCAAGATGAACTTGACAGAACTTTGGATAACAATAATCAAAATAAATAATTTGTTGGTTTTAATTTTTTTTTTTTTTTGAGAAAACCCCATAAAAATAATCTAAAGGTTTGAGCAGTGGCCTCGCGCCTTAGGGCCGGTTCGACAATGGCAGTATAAAACTCAGTATTGTAATACCCCGAATATCTTACACCTTGATTTATCCCGAGTATATCTGACCGCCGGTTCGACAATGATTTTACAAGAGCCGTATAGTTATTCCGAGATTATCCGAGAAACGTGAAGTTAGTTACTCGAGGCAACCATTTTAATGACAGATGCCGGTAAAATAGCAAGGGTTTAAGAAATGAGTTGTGAACTGAACCTACCTTTTTTGTTCTTGTTTATATTAATTTATTTATGTTTGCGTCGTGTTTGCACTATGGAAAGGCATCACTTATATTTTGGAATTTTGTATAATTTGTATTCGTATTATGGTCATTTTAGGTATTCAATTGTAAACCCAAGTACACCCTTTCAAGCTCAGGTATAGAATAATTAATTTACATAAACCAGGTTTTTTGGATTTTCTCAGAAAAAAAATCATGATGGCTTGCTTTGAAATTTCTTGGTCTTCGGATTAATACAAGTTCTTCATCAAGCTCCTCGTCGTCTGATTAAAAATATTTACTTGAAAAAGATCCATTCTATTCTTTTTTCCACAAAACAGAACACAAAAAGTAAAGAACGATTACCAATTTTAAAATTTAAAATAGTTTTAAGGTTATTATGCACGTTGACAAACGGAAAAACCGACCCCTAACAGCTGATTATCAATCAGCACAGATAATCAAACCCAACCCCGACCAATAGAAAGACAGTATAACTTTATTCCGAGTATATACGGTCGAGGACGGCCGGATAACTTATACCCTAATTTATTCTCCGAATATCGTTATACGGCAATTGTCGAACCCAATAATGAATTTTTATTCTAGGTATAGCCTATACTAGGTATATACCTGAATTGTCGAACCGGCCCTTAATGAGCCTCGCAAACAATAGGTTACCGAACCTAGAAATAGGCACTTTTCGATTTCCCAAAATAAAATGTAGAGAACAAATAAGCTTAATCCTATGTTTATGTGATAGAATACAAAAAAATAACATGACAACTTCCTATTAAAAAAAAATCTCACACCCCCCCCCCCCCCCCCCCTACGAAGTTATGTGCCCCTGAAGGACGCCTCTGAAAATCGTTTTTTTTTTCTTTGACTATGATGGATACTAGATAAGACCCCTCAAAATGGACCCTCTCTTTTATTGACTTCAATTAAAGCCAATTATATTTTCTGCAAATTTCGTGTGAATGATTTCATTGCAACTTCAATAGTTTTGCAGCTGCAAAGCTTCAAATTCTTTTGATTATGATTTTTTTTGTTCCACAACTTTGTTAACTTCAATCCGATCCTAACGTAATTGGGCTTCAATTGAAGCCAATCAAATTCTCTACAGATGAATAATTTCAATCCAGCTTCAATAATTATGCAACAGCAAAGCTGTCTATTCAAATGTAATTAGGCTCAAACTTTATAAATAAAAACCCCTGTAATAGACAAAAAATGAAATAAAATAAGGTGGTGAATTTCAAATGTCCAATTTTGAAGTCTGGAAACTCGTGTAAAAGTCCCTTTAATTACTCAAAAAGCTCTATAAATTATGAAAACAAATTTTCTCAACTTGCATTTTGTCTCTGGATCAAAGCTGGAAGTTGTTCTAAGATAATTTTTTCTCGAAAAATGAACTCAAACTTAAAACATTGAAAAGCAATTTTTCTCATTTTGAATTTGGAAATTGGTCTGGCTCTTGATTCCAGTGTTCAAAATAAAAAAAACTAGACAACAAACATTAAAATCTTACCCTGGTTTCTTTGAAGTTCTTACCATAATTACACATAATTAGGATTCCAGTGTCTTTCAGCTTCTTTCCTCAGAAATCTTGCAGATTTAGGATTCAACTTTTGGTTATTAGTGCGGCCCTGTAACAACAAGTCAACAATTTAAGTTACTTGTTAGGAAACGTTTTATTTTCAATAACTTACCTTATTAAGATTGCCAACTGTAACTTCAAGCCCAATTTCCACACCACCCTAGACGTACGAGCTGTCGGTGCGTTTTTTTTTTCAAGTGCTTTCCCCGTTAGGCCTAATGCACTTTGAAATTACACTTGTACAGCCAAAACCGCTAACTATCCATTAATTCAACCTTCACTCGCCAGCTAGGAAGGCAACACTTACCATAATTACGGTGTATATTAGTGCAACAAATGAGGTCCAGGACAACTATGGCATTAAATTCAAATTCAAATTCAAAAGCATTTATTTGCCAACAACCTAAATATAATAACATAAACTGAATACTTAGATAATTTCATGACAAAAAGGACATCTTCTCGATTATAAAAACCGCTTACATATTGCACCATAGTGCCTATGCGAAGCTGCTCTACATTAGGCTCCCCTGGGGCTTCCCTGCCTTGAAGATTCAGTCGAATCATGAACTGTTTTTTGGCAATTGTCATATATGTAATTTCACCTGGAAGAGAACATTAATAAAAGTTTAGATCTGCGGCCATGGTCCATCATTGCCAGTCAGTTGTGGTTGCCAGTCATTTGTCCCAATGTCCACCATTCCCAGTCATTTGTCCCATGTCCAGATGGACAACCAGTTTGCAAGAAAGGCTGTCCAATGTCCAAAGCAATAAATGACCTAACTGGAAAGGATGTTAAGACAAAATGGACATGAAACCTGGAATGTTAGATGAATGTATTATCATTATGTCTGAAAAAGACAAAAATGTATTATTATTATTAACCACCCAAACTGATCCATAAAGCCTCCATTGATTCATTTGTCCAGAGCCAAAACCATTTCCAACTGAAAAAGGACAAACTGGATTTAGAAGCGTCGAAGGTGGTCATTTGTATCATATTCACGGCCAAAACCAGCTCACTTATGGTTCAATTTGAAAAAGGGATGCCTGGAAAAAACAACTCTATGTTAGTGAAAATTTAAATGTTTTATGTTAGAAATTTCCTATTTAAACAGCTTCCAATATCCAACAAACTGAAAGAAATGAAATATTCTAAAGCATCCTATCCTAGATTATCCAACGGTGTTCAAGGCATCCTACCCCGGAAAGCATAAAATCCTCATATCATTTTCAGAAAAGCATGAAAATCAAAACAACACAGTTTAAGAACAGGGAAAGGGAATCTTTTTGTTTTTAATGTAGGTATTTAATGTTCTGAAAAGACCTTTGTGTTGGAAACATGTTCCAACAATCATGCTATCTCTTTTTGATGGAAAAATATTTTTATACATATAAAGTTTGCAACACTGCAGCGTTGTCGTCATGTCTATTTTGTCATGTCTGTCAATATATTGCGCGCCATTTTTGTCATTGCAGCAGTGTAGCTTGGAGCTTGTCCACGTTAACAAGCATCCAGAAACCTTTTCACATTTTAATAAATTTTATAATCTAGCTCTGCCCTGTTGGGCATCTAAGCAAGCTCTGGCTTCTTGTCATCTTGTAGTAGTAATTGTAAATAGTGTAAATATTGTGTAAATTGTTGTAAATATAGTGTCAGTGAAAAGCGCGTGTGTTTTAGTTCCCTATCCAGTCGATCATCCAGTCCACCTAATTATACAGTCCACTAATTATCAAGTTATTTATCTTCCATTATGTGGTTTTGCACATAATTTTGGCCAGTTCGAGCCGGATACTGGATAGTTCGGAACCTAAAAGTGCTTTAAAAACCCTCAAAAAGTGCCTTTTTAGTGGTTATTGATTGTTCCATCGTGATTTTTGGCGCCATGTGATGCAAAAAATCAATCATCCACTGTGCAGTCTGCACGTGTCTCAAACAACGTTGGGTTCCACGTGCCACCAGCGAAGGTTTCCGCCGGAATCGGAAGTGCGTAAGTAGAGTGGGGCGGAGCAAACAAACTTCACTTGTCAAATTCAAAAGGGTGCTTCTTTTTCTCGTCTGGTTCAACCCAAGTCACCCCGGGTGCAGTATCCTTGCTTGGTGCAATGAAGTACAGCCCCGGAGCAACGAACATGAAAGTGAGAGTTCACCACCCCGACAGCTTAACCTCAAATTAAATGTCAAACATTTGTTTACGTTTTGTTGTTTGTTGTTTGTGTATTTTGGATTTTTGCAGTGAATTTGAGTGAATTTGCATTATTTTTGAAAAACTGAATTTTTCGCATTAATTATTGCTATTTTTTCATTATTTATTTAAAGGATGAACAATTATCCGTTTTTCGTTTTGTTAAGTAGTTTTTAAAAAAAAAAAAAAAATCTAATTTATTAGGTAATTTTAAATTTTGTTTATAGATTTCTTTTGATATTTTCTTATTTTTTTGATTGTAAACTTTGTAAATATGGCTACCAAAAAGCAAATTGATAAATTATTGTCAAAGAAAAAGCAAGCAATCGACTCCATGGTTAGAATAAGTCGTTATATTTCCGATCACAAATCTGATCCTGACAGTGAGTATAAAACCGACCAATTTTTAGTTCGGAAGGAAATATTGCAGGACAGTTTTCAAAAGCTTAAAGACATTCAAGTTGAAATTCTGTGCCTTGATGGTAACTATGATGATTCAATTGATGATGTAGAAACTCTTTTTTATGATGTCATTGTAAGTATTAAAAATTGTTTACCTAAATCTAATTTACCAGGACCAGCTAATACTAGTAATTTAGCAACTAATATTGCTCAATCGGTTTCAATTCCACCTACTCAAAGTAATAATTTTATTTCTGCTGCTAAATTGCCCCCAATCGAGATACCTACCTTTGATGGAAAAAATTTAACCAATTTCAAATCTTTTATCGATATATTTAATGCTGTCATCGATAAAAATCAACAGTTAAAAGATGTTGAAAAGCTCTTTTATTTGAGAAATTATTTGAAGGGTGAGGCTTTAAGCCTAATTGATAATCTGCCACTAATAAATTCTTCATATCAAGGTGCCATAGATATTTTAAATAACAGATTTAATA